GCATTAGTAATATTTATTTGTTCACAAAACTCGACCAGGGAACCCCGACTGAATGAATTGAGTCAACGCATAATTGACGAATGTTCGCAGATTAAGCACCTGCATTTAATCTTTAATAATTAAAAACATGGATTCATTTCGAAAGAAAAGCCAAGCATCGTGCATTAATGTTAACGGAAGTCGGTCTGAACAGTTGCTAAAGTAAATCAACTAATCCCATGTCCTAACTTTTGGGCCACCCTGTGTAACACATTCCTGCGGAGGGAGCTGGTAGGAACGTTGGGTTGCTCGGTCAATGGCCAGGGTCAACGGCGGCGTGGTGTATTCCGCAAATATGGCAGACTGTGAGGGCGGGCACAAGCCGGCGTGAGTAGGTTAAATGTTGAGTTTTATAAGGGCACCACGGGGTGACCAGCCCCTCCCTCCCCACCCAGCCCCACCCCTCCCACCCCCCACCCAGCCCCTCCCCTCCCATCCCCCACCCAGCCCCTCCCCACCCTCCCCACCCAGCTCCTCCCCTCCCCACCCATCCCCTCCCTCCCCACCCAGCCTCTCTCTGCACGACGGACGGACACAATAATCCCCTGTGGGCTGGTGGAACCAGTGGGTTCCTACCACTAATATCAACCCTGTGTGTCCTGCCTTTTTGGCCACCCTGTACATGAAATTGAATAAATAGCGAAATGTAAAGGCGGTGGGGGTTGTTGTGGTCGGGGGGAGGAGAGGGGGAACGCTCCCTGCGATTTTCCGTGACCTTTGCCCGAAATTATTTATTTTTATTGATGCTCTCGGCTCTCCCACACCCAGGTCGTAAATCTGACGACAAAAATGCAGCCGCCAATACGAGCAGCACTCCGCTCCCATCGCCAGCCTCATCATCACCACCATCATCATCATCACCACCACCACCATCACCACCACCACCATCGTCACCACCACCATCATAATCATCATCACCACCATCCATCATCATCATCACCACCACCATCATCACCACCATCACCACCACCATCATCATCATCACCATCACCATCGTCACCATCATCATCGTCATCACCACCACCATCACCACCACCATCACCACCACCATCATCATCATCATCACCACCACCACCATCACCACCACCATCACCACCATCACCACCACCATTGTCACCACCACCACCATCACCACCACCATTGTCACCACCACCATCATCATCACCATTGTCACCACCATCACCACCACCATTGTCACCACCACCATCGTCACCACCACCGCCATCGCGGCATGCGCAGTAGACGGGGCAGTCGCAGTCAAGCTCTGTCTCTGCTGCTACGCCAGGGTGAGCTGGTGGAAATAGTGTATAGTGTCTAGTGCAGCGGTCGGGAACCTATGGCTCGCGAGCCATATATGGCTCTTCTGGTGACGGCATATGGCTCCCAGACAATTTTGAGTTGAAAAAAAAATACAAAAATCTGTTTGGAACTGATTTTAAATACTTGTGATATTGCTTAATAATACTGTGTCATTTTAAAGTAAACAGAAATTAGTTTTGAAGATAAATTTCACGGGTCACGGGGCCTCAACGCCTGCATGAAGCTCAACCTCACCACGTACGAACCAGACTACAAGGCCGTCAGCAAAACCATGCAGCACCAGAAGTCGCATTAAAAGTAAGACATTTAATTTATTATACGTTAAAATTACTATATGGCTCTCAATGAAATATATTTAGAAATATTTGGCTTTTATGGCTCTCCCAGTCAAAGAGGTTCCCGACCCCTGGTCTAGTGTATAGTAGTGTAGTAGTGTGTTGTAGTGTATAGTGTAGTGTAGTAGTGTGTAGTGTATAGTATACAGTAGTGTATAGTGTACAGTAGTGTACAGTAGTGTATAGTAGTGTATAGTGTAGTAGTGTAGTAGTGTACATTATAGTAGTGTGTAGTAGTGTAAAGTATATAGTAGTGTATAGTAGTGTATGGTGTAGTGTATAGTGGTATAGTAGTATATAGTAGTGTATAGTGTATAGTCGTGTATAGTGTAGTGTATCGTGGATAGTAGTATATAGTAGTGTATAGTGTAGTGTACAGTATAATAGTGTACAGTATAGTAGTGTATAGTAGTGGCGATGTTTTACACACCGCACCAGGTACTCAATTGAGGCTGAGTCGACCTAGGGACTGCTTCAGATAATCGTCACTGGTGTTGGTGGCCGTGAGCGGGAATCGAACTCAGGTCCGCCGGTTCGTAGCGCAGCGCGCTAACCTCTACACTACCACTACACACACACTCAACAACAACAGCCATTCACCACTAAGTGGCGGGGACGTCACCACGAGGCTTGTGCCAGGCCATGTGCACCTTGAGGCCACGTGAAGTGTCGAACGCCCGCTGGCAGGAGGTCACGGGGCAGACCCAGCAGGTGCCACGGGTCGACTGACTGAGATGACCGAGATGACTGGCTGATGCACCACCTGTGCCCCCTATTGTGCAACTCGCACACACACTGACACACACACACGTGTCTGTCACACACTCTATACACACATTACTCACACACACACTGACTCACACACTCTACACACACATTACTCACACACACACACTGACACACACTATACACACATTACTCACACACACACGACTCACACACTCTACACACACATTACTCACACACACACGACACACTCTACACACACATTACTCACACACACACACGACACACTCTATACACACACGACTCACACACTCTACACACATTACTCACACACACACGACTCACACACTCTACACACATTACTCACACACACACGACACACTCTATACACACACGACTCACACACTCTACACACATTACTCACACACACACGACTCACACACTCTACACACATTACTCACACACACACACGACTCACACACTATACACACATTACTCACACACACACGTGTCTTTCACACACTCTATACACACATTACTCACACACACACTGACACACACTCTACACACATTACTCACACACACACGACTCACACACTCTATACACACATTACTCACACACACACGACTCACACACTCTACACACATTACTCACACACACACGACACACACACTCTACACACATTACTCACACACACACACGACTCGACTATTTATTTATTTAATTTTACCCGGTAAGGCCCATTGAGCTATAGAGCACTTTTTCAGCTGTAACCTGCCCATCACAAATGATAGCCAAATTAAGTTGCCTATCACGTAGAAGTTTGTAGCAGCAGCAGCCAAATACAATACTCTGGACGCGAAGTGATGTTGATTTTAAACGTGGAGGAGGACCCGGAGAAAAATCCACGCGACCACGGGGAGAGAGACACCGCAAACTCCAAATACAGCAGGGGTCAGGGTCGGGATCGAACCCACGATCTTCTGTATACCAAGCGAGGTAGTTAACATCTCCTGGCCACCGTACGTAGACCAACCGTGCCAAAAGTCACCTCCACGGTGCAAAAAGAACATTCTAGATTTGAAGTTTTCGTGACTGCAAGGATTCATACTCTTAGGTTTTATCGGTAAAGTCACGTAGGTAAAATAAAACAAATAAAAAAATAAACATGTGAGACTAGGCTCGAAGAAAAGCTGTCTCGGGAAAATAACTCAATTGAGTTATTTTCATTTATTTATTTTTACCTACGTGACTTTACCGAAAAAACCTAAGAGTGCAAAAAGAAAATCCCGACAGGCGATGCCGTGTACCTACAGTGGGCCATGCCGTCTTAACGCTTCCGCCGAGGGAAACCTTATCGGCGGCAGATTATGACCCCAAGGGCAATCTGGCGGAAGCACGTTATGAGGCGCGTGGAGCGCTACTCTCTCTCGCAGTCCCTTCGCCCGTTGCGTTTCACGCCTTACTGTTATTTTGATTCCAAAATAAGTGGCGGTGGGTTTGGGTGGGTGGAGGAGGAGGAGAGTGGAAAAACAAGAAGGCTTACATTAAGCGTACTCCGGGAACTGATGATGTGATTATTGGAAAAAAGGTGCAAATGGATAAAAAAAAAATTCTTCCCCTTAAATTTCGATTTAAAGCTTTCGTGACTGCAGGGATTCATCTTCTTGGTTCTTTCGGTAAAGTCACGAGCAGCTCTGCCGTGGCAGTGGCGACGCTACATCGATGGCACGTACGGCTTAAGTTTCACGGTTCCCGTGTCGTCCGTTTGGCTGAACATAAAACGCGGCACGCATCTATGCACGTACGCACGCTCAACTTATTTCGCACCGTACGTAGCCAGCCGCTCTAAACGGAGGTACGGGGGAAGGACGGCAAACTATGGGTCTCTGTGTGAGTCTGTGGGTCTCTGTGTGAGTCTATGGGTCTCTGTGTGAGTCTGTGGGTCTCTGTGTGAGTCTATGGGTCTCTGTGGGTCTGTGGGTCTGTGTGTGAGTCTATGGGTCTCTGTGTGAGTATATGGGTCTCTGTGTGAGTCTATGTTTGTTGCGGGGGGGGGGGGGGGGAAGGTCAACAAACTAAACACAATTTGCAGTTTGTCAATGTAGATGATGACGATTTTAAAGTTGCATAGCTCCCAGCGTTCCAGAATATTTCTTGCTGTGGTTTTAAAAAAAATTTTCTTGCTGTGGTTTTCACACCTGATGATGATTGCTTGTGTTGCAATCGAAACGTCGTGAGAATTTTACCGTTTTATTTTTATTATTTCCCTTCTACATGCCTTTACCGAAAGAACCAATAATAATTTAGTGTCAGTTTAAAACTTTTTAGTAATTCGCTTACCTTTCCTGTAGTTTTATCGTTGCTTTTTTATGCTTCGTTCGTCGTTGTAACTTTACGACCCGCCGCCCATTACTGGACGTCTGTGAACAACTCTTCACACAGACAATTCTCTCGAGTTTTAAAACAAAGATTCCGCTTCCGCCAGCGAGCGGCACGAGCAGAGGCATCGCTTGCAGGGCTGCGCCTTTGACCCGCGAGAAGTGACCCCCGTGTGAACATCACCGCTGTCGCCGCAGGTTTCGCCCGTTCCGCTCGAAGCGAAAGAAGCCAAGACCCAAGGGGAGGCCCTCAGGATGCGGCAGACTAAAGCGACCTCGTGGGGGAGCCTGGCGATGATCCTCGCCGTGCTCGTGGCCGGCGCGTCGGGTCAAATTGCCAAAACCCCGCCGCCGCCTAAGACGACGGCGGCGGCGTCCACCGCGTCCACCGGCACCACGGTCACCACGACGCTGCCGGGCGGCGTTCCGTCGTCGCCGCCGTACGTCACCGGGGGGCCGTCGACAGCTCCGGGCAACGGCACGTCACCGGGGCGCAACGAGTCGTCGCCGGCGGCGCCCAACTCCACCGCCACCGAGGCGCCGGCGTCGACCGCGAACGCCACCGCCGCCGCCAACGCCACGGCACCCTCCGCTGCCACTGCCGGCAACGTCAGCACGGTGTCGGTCGCGGCGAACGCAACGGCCAACGGAACGGGCAACGGAACGGGCAACGGAACGGCCAACGGAACGGCCAACGCAACCGCCAACGGAACGGCCAACGCAACGGCCAACGCAACGGCCGAGGCGACGACAACAGTGACGACAACGACGACGGCAACGACGACGGCGACGACAACAGTGAAGACGACGACAACGGCAAAGGCGACGACCAAAGCGGCGACGACGCCCAAGAGCGTGGCGAGCACGACCGTGATGAACGCGAAGGGAGACGGTAGCAGGAATGACAAAGGTAACTGACGTCCCCCATGGCAGGCTCGGTTGACTCCCGATGGCCCCACGTGACATTATACGCCACGGTGGCTAGGAGATGTTGACTACCTCGCCTGGTGTACAGGAGGTCGTGGGTTCGATCCCGGCCCTGACGCCTGCTGCTGTGTATTTGGCATTTGGAGCATGTTTCTCTCTCTCTCCCCGTGGCTGCGTGGATTTTTCTCCGGGTCCTCCGATTTTTTCCACCTCCACATTTAGAGCCAACGGTCACGCGTTCAGAATATTTGGCCGCCGTGCATTTCCCACGCGACGATAAGCCGCTTCGGCGAGCTGTCATTTGTGGCCAGGGCGCTTCTGAACAAAAAACAGCTATTACACAGTAAAACGCAAAAGAATTGTTCAGTTCAGTTTTAACGTGAGTGGATAGGTGGCCCTCACCCCCCAACATGAACCTTGCGACCCTGCGTCGTGATCGGGCGAGAATCCCTACGAATTTGGCGCGCAAGTCCCTGCCGACCGCAAAACACCATCCCGCTGAATCTCTCTCTCTCACTCACTCTCTCCTCCCCCACTCCCCACGACAGCCAGCAGTGCAGAGGGCTCGGGCCACGTGGCGGGAGTCGTGTTCGGAGTGCTCCTGGCCATCGCGCTCATGCTGGGCGTACTGTTCGTCGTGCGCAAGCGCTACATGATCAACCGCCCGTTCCACCACCAGCGTCTCCTGGACGACGGCAGTGACGACACGGGTGAGAGGCTGCCGCCTTCGCTGCCACTCACTGCGAGCTGACCGACGTTACGACCGTGACGAGATCCCTCCTGCCATAGACTCAACACTCCCCGTAGACTCAACACTACCTGTAGACTCAACACTGCACCATAGACTAACACTCCCCGTAGACAACACTGCACCATAGACTCAACCCTGCCCGTAGACTCAACACTGCACCATAGACCAACACTGCCCGTAGACTCAACACTGCACCAGGAACTAACACTGCCCGTAGACAACACTGACTCAACACTGCACCATAGACCAACACTGCCCGTAGACTCAACACTGCACCAGGAACTAACACTGCCCGTAGACAACACTGCACCATAGACTCAACACTGCCCCTGTACATGAAGCAGTCCCCCTCCTTAACCTCGTTTCGTTCCTCTCTCAAAGCCTCACCACCTCTTCTCCATCATCACCCACTCCCTTCCTCATCCCTCCCCTCACCCCTCCACTCCTTCCCGTCCCTCCCCTGTAGCCCTTTCGTGATCTCCTCTGTTGCCCTCTGTTACAGTCACTCACTCCTTAGCCCCTTGCACTGCACCGCCATCGAAATCCCACAATTCCCGTTTCCGCTTTCTAAACTATGTTATGAAGAACACCCTCAGGCTAGGGCGCTGTTATATAAATATGATGAAGTAAGATAAGGGCTGCCCCTTTCACGGTTTCTTTTGTTCAGTGATAGTCTTTAATCGAAAATGTATCGCTCATAGCAAGAATGGGGAGACCCTATGGGTAGGCGGATCATTCATCGAAATATCGTTTAATCGATGGCATCGTGAAATGAGCGACCCCTTGTATTTCATTACCGTATTCTCCGCATGTTAAGACCTGGCAGGTGTGCACGTGTGTGCGAGACCCAAGTTTGTATACAGTGATCCCTCGTTTATCGCGGTTAATGGGGACCGGAACCCCTCGCGATAGGTGAAAATCTGTGAAGTAGGATTGGCCCCCTAGGAATTTCCGTATATGTGTGTGTGGGTACCAGAATGTTTAAAATATGTATATTTATACTTTACATATATATTTTACTTAAATCTATTTAATTATAAAACCTTAATATTATACATTCACTCTCTCTCTCTCTCTCATACGATACGTATTGTGGTATTCTACACTCACCAATGACAGTAGTATCTTGAGACTTGACTCCAGTAATGACGACGACTATGACAGTGACGATGACAATGACGACGATGACAGACCTGTGCAGTTCGATGAATGTGATGATGGATGATGATGATGATGGTGTTACTGCACAGGTATAATGAGGCCTTTAAATCAGTTCAAAAAATCCGCGATGCACTGAGGCCGCGAAACTTGAACCGCGAAGTGGCGAGGGATTACTGTACATTTATTGACACCGGGCTCCATGATCCTCAGCACCCATCCCAGATCAGACCTATACTTGCAGCCGTTGTGGCAGGACCTGCCTGTCCCGCATAGGCCTCGTCAGCCACCAGCGTGCCTGCAGAAGACGTGGATGTCCTTCCTAGATCTTCGTTCGCGAAGCCAAGCCATGATTGACACCAGGCACAAGTTTTTTAATTTGGGCGCATCTAAATTTCTCCCGGAGCGTCTTTACAATCGGGAGAGCACAGCGCAGCTCCCTCTCGTTCGACGTGGGCGGGGGGTGGGGGCGGTCGTGTTCTTTAAAAAGGCGCCCAACTCTAAATTGCGTAACTTGAAACGCCATTTGACACAAAGTGCAAAGTTCACGCAGACAGGACCTTCGAAATGTCGCGCGAGAAGGAAGACGCCGGCTGTGGTACTGCCGCACCTCAGGCGGCAGCGTCGCTTACCCAACTTTTACTGCCCGACCCCGGTGACGAACGATCAGCTCGCCAGCGCGCTCCGGAACACCGCGGGGCTCAACGCGCTCCGGCGCGCGTAGAACCGTTTCAACGCCAGCACGCGCGCATCACAAAAACAAGCGTGAATTGAAATCTTAGCTCGCGGCGTTATTTCTAGATCGCGTTGCGCTCACGTGACCACGCGTGGCAAAGGTTATCGCGCGTTGTCATCAATAATGCGCCATTTGTGTTTCAATTTCCAGGTCTCTAAGAAGAAAAACCCCACTGCATCATCATCATCACCTTCTTTCCCATGGGTGACCGCTGACGGACAAGCACGTGTTTCGGAGTCACATCTCCCCGTCTTTATATTTTTTTGTCTCTGTTCGAGACACTTAGCCCACTTCGCAGCACCACCCAGAGGGTGGGGGGCTGGAAATCAAAAGTGCATCATGGTTGCGTGCCTCCCCCGCCCGCCCTCCGCGGTTGCCGAATTTCACGGTGAAACTTCAAAGAGGGCGAGCCCCGAGTCAAGTAACACACAACGCCCGCAAACAAGCAGGCGCACACACACACGCATGTGTGTAGATGTAGATGCCACTGGTTATTCACGTTCTGCAGATATAGATGCTACTGATTCTTCACGTTCTGCAGATGTAGATGCCACTAATTCTTCACGTTCTGCAGATGTAGATGCCACTGGTTCTTCACGTTCTGTAGATGCTACTGATTCTTCACGTTCTGCAGATGTAGATGCCACTGGTTCTTCACGTTCTGCAGATGTAGATGCCACTGGTTCTTCACGTTCTGCAGATGTAGATACCACTGGTTCTTCACGTTCTGCAGATGTAGATACCACTGGTTCTTCACGTTCTACAGATGTAGATGCCACTGGTTCTTCACGTTCTGCAGATGTAGATGCCACTGGTTCTTCATATTCTACGGATGTAGATGCCACTGGTTCTTCATGTTCTGCAGATATCGATGCTAATTCCCTTTGGCGCTTGTGTTTCCTCTCTACTCTTCATCTCTGCATAAATCAACTTGTGACGGGCAATAGAATCATTGAACAGCGGTAATAATAATAATAATAGTACAATTTGTAACGCGCGCAAATTTGCAGACGTAGTGGCCGCAACTCAGAGGCGCGGAGCCAAGCTCAAAGTCGCTCAAAAGCATGATTGTAGAGGTGAGTTTTTAAGTGTCTCTTGAAGGAGGCGATTGAGGTGATGCTGCGAATGTGCAGAGGGATATCGTTCCAGACTGTTGGGGCTGCCACCGAGAAGCGGCGCGTAGACATGACCATCCTGGATCTTGGTATTGAGAGGAGGTCGTGAGTCGCGCTGCGCAGGCATCTGCCGTGTGCTGAGCTGCAAGTTGTCAGTAATGAAGAAAGATACGGCGGGACATACGGACAGGTTTGTGCGTATCTCTGAAAGTTCCTAAGTCGAATAATTCGTAAGTAGAGGTAGTCCCTGTACTGCATCGGGCGCAAGCTGAGGGTGGGGGGTCAGGGAATTGGGTGATGGGGTTAGTGGCAACGTTGGCGATGCAACAGATGTTCATTAGGGATAAAGTACGGGTTGGTTGTCCCTGTGGAGGCGGCATTGCCGAGGGGACAGGACAGGAAGGGTGGGTCACCCTTAACACGTGAAGGACACGGGTTCGAATCCCCACCTCGGGCTACCGAGTATTTTCTATGTTTTAATCCGCTCCCTCTGGCTATCGTAACCTTTCCGGCAACCAACGCTGTTTTTGTAAATGGTCCGTAGAACATTACCTAGGTGATGTTATAGGGACGCTACTTTGAACAAGAACATAATTGGTCTACAGCACATTACCTAGGCGATATTGCAGGGACGTTACTTCGAACATGAACGTAACTAAATCTTGACTTAAAGCTTTCGTGACCGCAGGAATTCATGTTCTTTGGGTCTTTCGGTAAAGCCACGAGGATATAAAAAATAACAAAAATCTAAATCACGACGTTTCAATCGCAACACAAGCAATCGTCTTCAGGTGAAGAAGAGTGGGAAATCTGCTGAGGCAGACTGTCTAAATCTTTATAAACAGGCCTGCCTCAGCAGATTTCACCATCTTCTTCACCTGAAGATGATTGCTTGTGTTGCAACCGAAAAGTCGTGATTTTGATTTTTGTTATTATTTTTCTACGTGGCTTTACCGAAAGACCCAAAGAATATGAACGTAACTGATCTACAGCACATTACCTCTTTGATGTTGTAGGGACGTTACCTCTAACGCGAACAGAAATAGTCTCTAGCACATTACCTCTTTGATGTTGTAGGGACGTTACCTCTAACGCGAACAGAAATAGTCTCTAGCACATTACCTTGGTGATGTTGTAGGGGGTGGGATTTCGAACATAAACGGCGTGTGATAATTATACACATTTTACCCGGTAAATTTAACTTAATTGGCGCTTGCCTCCCTGAGCAGGGAGTTATGAGCGGGGGTGTGAAGTCTCTTGCTTGCCCACCACCCCACCCCCGTCTACCAAGCGGGGCAAAGCGCCAGCCTCTCTCTTACTCCCTTGTGGCGCTGCCTAGTGTGGTGGGTTTTCACGGTTTTTACCTCCTCGTTCAGGATATGTTCGTTAACAAACAACAATTTAGAAGGAAAGCACGAATTTCTCCCGGTGGTTACGTGGCGAGGCGGTGTGCAGACACCGGCTCCGTCCGACGTGACGTTTTGAGGCTTCGTTTAGTGAGCAAATCAAACCAAAAAAAAAGACAAGGTCATGGTCCAGCACTGACGTGACATCGAATTCCATTTAAGTGACGCCGCTAGATTTCCAGAACGAGTGTGATTTTAAAGTATTTTTGTTGTTGTTTTAAGACGCGAGGTTGCCACCTGTCCTTGCTTTGATGTCACGATATCCCTGCGTTGATGCATTTAAATTAATTTAATGGATGTCACTAGATTGCCACGGTTACCATTTTTAATCGTTTACTGTACTGGTTTTCCCAAGATCATCCTCTTATTGAGGTTAGCTCCCGTGGGATATCTGCAAGTCTTCGCAAAGTCCTGGTTTTTTTTGTCAGTCGCGTGAAAGCACACCACTCAATACCGTGCATTTACATGCAGTCATCCTCCCCTCTTCTGCTGTTATGAATACAGGGTGCTTTAAAAAATTGTTAACACTTCTGAGAATTTGCAACAGTACCACAAGAAATGTACCTCCGAGCTCTGGAGACCACCTGGAGAAGATTCCAGGCGTGCGTTGACAATGATGGCGAATAAGCGGAGACTCTTTGACTTTTTGAAGCTATTAACATGACATTTGTTGTCATGTCACAGCGTATTATTATTCGTTACTTTTCCCATTGAAAACTATAATCCCATATAAGTGTTAACATTTCTTTTGAAGCACCCTCTATTCTCCTGCCTCATGACATGTCCCAGGGGGTTATTCTGGTGCACTTCAAAGAGGTGGCCAACCCTGCACCAACGAAACTTTGAGCCCAAACAGCGCTGGATGAGCCCTGTTCGTTTTTTTTTAAGACTCAACTTTCCTTTGAAACATCGGGTGAAAAGAACGAACACTCCATGGCCGGCAAACGACCACCACGGCACACATCGCACGCACCTCTGTCAACGAAGAACGCAGTTGATCACTGGCTTTTAAGCAGAAGAATAATAGCGTAAATAATGCTGTTTTGCACTAAGAGTACACATTGTTTTTTGTTCGTATATCTTTGGATATGCCGTATGTGTGTGGGTGCTTTCTGTAAGATACCTTGGGAGTTGTTATACTTAGGTGTCAATGTTGCACCATTGTCCACTGTTGTGTGGCACTATGCTAAAAGCATATCGATGTGGAGTGTGGCCAGGATTTAAGTTACAAGTGTTCTGTCGTAACAGCTATGCCTTTTAAACTATTTTTAACGTGAGGAAAACAATCTATATATGTAAAGTTTGTTGTTGTATTGCAATGTTTTCCTTTACAATATTTTCTGCCACCGGTTGTTGATTCTCTTACACTTTTACAATAAATAACCCTGGAGCCTCCGCTATTACACAACGTTGTTACTACAACTTTTACGAATCTACAGCTTAAATATCAAAGTGTAAAAGTGTTGTCTTTTGCTCCAGTGAAGTGAGATAGCGCTTCCGCTCGCGTTAAAGAGTCCTCGATACGCTGAGCAAGCCGCCAAGACTCGTTGCCCGTGACCTCTCTCGACAGAACTTTTGTCGCGTCGCTGTTTGCCACGCAAGTTGCCTTAACTGCCCTGGTCAATGTGCTGCCGGTCACAATTTGGCCAATTAACTGGCTCCGGTGTGCTATGGCCTCACGGTCAGTGTTGTCAATTCCTCACTGTGTTCGTGGCGGGGCGAAGGTCTAGCAGTAGGGCAAACCGCTATTGACCTCCGACAGTCGTAATAATGTTAACAACGCCGAAAGGGTGAAGGGCTGAGTTGACACTCGCGACGGGGTAGCGAACTCGCAACCTTTCCGAATTAAGAATTTGATTGTGAATCTTACGTCAGCATCACCGGTTCCGATCATTTGCACAGAATGTATTTCCTAACGTTGAATAAAAAAAAAAGTATGGAATTACATGGGCTTTTAAGTGCTTTAATGTTGAACGTACACTTGACATAACCTTGCGAGATGGCACTCAATGAAACTATGTTCGCAATGAACAGAAAAAAATGTACATTTACTTCACATACTCTTTGATTCTTTCGGTAAATTAACGTAAGTATAAAATAAAATAAATCACGACGTTTCTGGCGCAGCACAAGCGTCCGTCATCAGGTGCTGACATAGGCAGGTAGGATTGAAGCATCACAGTCGGTTAAGACTTTACCTGGTTAATAACGTCCTTCCAACGATTGCTCAGTTTGTACCCATCTTCTCGGTTCAAGCTGTGTCTGAGTTTATATATCTGGATGGCTTCATGAACAAAGCTCTGAAGGTAGCCGGTAGGTTTGCAGAGTACCTCCGTCTTGGAAATATCTGTTTCGTGTGAGCCCACAGCGTTAAAACGATGATCGGCAACGGCAGAGGTATTGGTCCTACCGTGTTTCAGATCTGCCTTGTGTTCACGAACGCGGTCCGAGACATGGCGTTTCGTTTCCCCAATGTAACTGCTGCTGCAACCACAACTCAGTTTGTAGACACCAGGGTATTGCATGTCAGAAATCGTTTTGGTAACCCCTGTTTAAACAAACACAAGATCCAGGTTCGTTTCAACACAGTACACACAATCCGTGATTTAATCCCATCTGTAAAGGATGTGATTCCTGACATGCAATACCCTGGTGTCTACAAACTGAGTTGTGGTTGCGGCAGCAGTTACATTGGTTAAACGAAACATGTCTCGGACCGCGTTAGTGAACACAAGGCAGATCTGAAACACGGTAGGACCAATACCTCTGCCGTTGTTGATCATTGTTTTGACGCTGTGGGCTCACACTTAATAGATTTTTTTCCAAGACATAGGTACTCTGCAAACCTACCGACTACCTTCAGAGATTTGTTCATGAAGCCATCCAGATATATACAGACACGTCAACCGAGAAGATGGGTACTAACTGAGCAATCATTGGAAGGACGTTATTAACCAGGTAAAGTCTTAACTGACTGTGATGTTTCCATCCTACCTGCCTATGTCAGTACCTGATGACGGACGCTTGTGTTGCGCCCGAAACGTCGTGATTTGTTTTATTTTATATCTACGTGACTTTACAGAAAGAACCAAAGAGTATGGATTCCTGCAGTCACGAAAGCCTCAAATCAAGATTTACTTCACAATCACAGCATCCGCATTTCCACGAAAGTACATGCCTGCCAGTTATGTTACACTGCTCCTATTGTGTCAAGTGTGTTTATTATGTTATTTCAACTCCACACTCCGTGAGCGGTCTTTAAACACAGTTTGTATTTTGTTCGTGGCCATTTCATTGCGACTGACGTCAACCATGTTTTACCTATTCGGAATGACCCAGGTTGGTTTTTTTCACCACTTGAATGGCATAGCTTTCAAACATTGACCGAAACACCTAAACACAGTTCGTTCTTCAGTGCAAGGACCGCGGGCCACTGGCGGCCCCTGATAGGCCTTTATTGCGGCCCTCTGACGTGCGCCCGCGCCCCTCCCCCCCAACAATACACAAATGTGAAAACACCCCCCCCACCATCATCATCATCGTGCTACTGTCAAATCCAACTGTGGTTTCAAATGTGTGGCGGCCCTACTCACACTTGTCGGCGAAAGTGTCCCCCCCCCTCTGAAAATTGGTGAAAAACACTGCCTTAAAACTGAACACCCAAAACATTTTAACTGCGGTGGCTAAAAGTCTCCATCTAAAACACAGAACGCAAAACAACGTCGCTCAAAAAAACCTCCAATTATTTATTAATCCTCGGGTCCAAAAGTGTAGACATCTTGAATCTTTAACCAGTTAAAGGTCGTGTCCCGCTGTTTTGCAGGAGGCTTGATGGGAGGTAATGCAGAGAATATCTTCCCTTGTTTGGCCTTTCTTGTCAACGTTGTTTTTCTTGAGATCCCAATCGCCTGTGACAAATTACACATCGAAGACACCACAACGATAGGGCATCGTCAAAAAAGTCTAAAGCGGGTCTCCTGCTCAAGTGAGCATGAGTTGGTGTTGGTCTCGCGTGAGGAGGTGTACGGGTCCAGTGGTGGATACGTCCACGTTGCTATGGCGTGTCCTCGAAATAACGCGTGTGGATTCACCGTGTGCTGCATATAACGGGTACAATTACAAATTTAATCGGAAGGAAATTCAAACTCGTGCTAAGGTAGCTCAATAAACCGAACAGCGCGTAGAGCGATGCCGACTTGAGGTTGGCTGCATCCTCGGACGCTGCAAAGAAATGTCGCGTGCCAGATAGTCCAAGTTTAGTGTTCTACTGAAATGCCACGTGCCAGACATTTCAAGTTTAGTACTGTATTGAAATGCCACGTGCCAGACATTTCCAGTTTAGTACCGTGCTGTGTGAATCCCCCACCTCAGGTTACACAGTGTGGAGTTGAAGAAATGACTTGGTGATGCTGCTGCAACTGCACTGAGAGTGGTTGCACAATCACACGTAACAACAACAAAAACTCCACAACGGTTAAATGTCATCAAATACTGAAGTACCGAGTACCTTGTTTGGTTTTGCGAAAAATATGGAGGGGTTTTGGTCGATTCTGCACAAAACTCTTGACATGTCCCTCTGTGATTGTTTGGATATCTGCGGTGACAATTCACACGTGTCATATTACAAGACTGCGGGCAATTAAAGTTGCCCTTGCACCTGGGATTTGCACCTGCCCTGGATACGAAGCAGGTACAACTCACCTATGCTCATGAGGGTTATCAGTTGTGCTTATGCCTGGCTGGTGTGTCTGGCAAAAAAAAAACATGTTTAGGCCTGATAGGGTTTGTGACAGGAGCACTGAAGAAAAACGTTTTAAAGGACGCACATATTAAAAGTTATTATGGTTATGCTTGCAATGTTATTGGTTATACAATCTTACCCTCTCTACATGTTGCTTAACATTAAGAACCCAAATGTGCCTAAGGAAATGACAAATCAGAATTTACTAGCTGCTATGGTATACGGTTCATAAATACTGTCCGTTAAACAAACAAAAAAGATACGGAACACAAACGCAAAGGTGCTCACAAAGAAGCATGGCGAGATGCCCGCTTGGGATTACATTGAGAGACGGTGAAAGGAACAACGTTTTTGTTGTCCATCCGCCCGCACCTCCGATAAGCACGGTTGGCTACGTACGGTGGTGCGAAAGAAGTTCAACATACATACATACATACGCACGTACGTACGCACGTACGGACAACACGAGGGTTATACTGGTAGGAACCTCCTGGTTACACCAGCCCACAGGGGATCATTGTGTCCGTCGTGCAGGGAGGGGCTGGGTGGGGAGGGGCTGGTCACCCCGTGGTGCCCTTATAAAACTCACGCCGGCTTGTGCCCGCCCTCACAGTCGGGCATATTTGCGGAATACACCACGCCGCCGTTGACCCTGGCCATTGACCGAGCAACCCAACGTTCCTATCAGCTCCCTCCGCAGGAATGTGTTTTATACTGGAGGAATCCGATGAGCTATGAAGCTCTTTATCACAGATGTCCAGTACTATAAAGTATTTTTTATTTTACCAGGTAAGGCCCACTGAGCTGTATTGCTCTTGTTCAGAAGTGACCTGCTCACAAATGATAGCTCAACGAAGTGGCTTACGTGGAAATTGATAGCAGCCAAATACTCTAAAAGCATGTTTCTAAATGTGGAGGGAAAATACACGCGATCATGGGGAGAACATGCAAGCTCTAAATATACAGGCGTCAGAGTCGGGATCCAATCCACGACCTCCTGTATACCAGGTCAGGTAGTTAACATTTCGCCACCGCTAAGGGCAGGTCAGACGTTACAACAACAAACAATACAAAACACCACAGGAGCGCAAAGTATAGGAAAGGTAAATAAATGGATAAAAAAATATGAACAAAAAAAACTAAACCCACTTTTATCTTACCAGATAAGGCCCACTCAACTATTAGATTATTTTACAGTAGCGACCTGGCCACAAACGGTAGCTCTACGAAGTGGCGTACCACGTGGAAATGTATATTTTGGAGTACGAAAAAAATGTGCGTGACATCATAAGCATTGTTTAAACTGCCGCGCCGGGAGATCAAACCGGACTGCAAGTCTGGTGCACTCCCAATTTGCACCGCGGCAGCATAACCTCGACATACGTGAGAAAGATGGCAGAGCTCACCTTGGATGCTGCCTTGGTCTTTTCTGTTCGCTTGGATGGCATCACGCCAGAGATACTTTGCATCAGTTGTTCATCGACCTAACATATGCAAATATCGAGGAAGAAAAAGCATGCATATGCATGGATCCTACAATTAAAAAAAAATACTTGGCCTTGCTGGAATTCGAAGCTAAAAGGCTTCCTGAATTTTTTTTTTTATAATTTACATTTTCTAAAATCTTTGACCGCAACATTTCTAAATCTGCATCTAGGTGTTGCATGTTTTGATTTTGGGGAATTCAGAAACCCGTCCCCTGGTCCCGGGCATGCTTTGTGAGCGCTCTGTCTCTGGCACATTCATCTTACGTTTATTTAACAAATGCTTCAAACCCGTCATGATGTTTATTCCACCTTCCCACATCCAATGACCTCAGCCTTTAATTCTGATTCATGGTGATGGCGACTCGCATTAAACTGCAGTGATTTTTTTAATTGCACATTTTTAGTTCAATGTTATTAATTGTCAAATGAATGCCTTATATTCCAATCACATAGTCATGCAATTATTTTTTATTACATTATAAAAAATATTTAATTATCTGCGGCATGCCAGTCAGCTCCCCGTAACCGGAAAGGCTCTTACCCCAGTTGGTCCAGCTTTGAGTGGCTTTACTGTGCACCGTACATTTAGAGGAATGCCTCTATTTTGCATAAACATCCACAAATGACGCTGCCATGAGGCGAATTATCCCCAGGGTCAAGTGAGCTGCTTTTTCCCACCGAGAGTGGATCAAGTCCCATTGCAGCATCCAAAGAATATCAATCAAAGCAGTCACATTTCTCACCACCAAACCCATGCCGTCAGAGCTCTCGGAGTCTGACCAATAAAATACCTTTCGTTTTTTATTTATGATGTTCCCCATCGCAAGGGGCTTCAGAATGCCCCTGGAAGCCGACTTGGCCACTGTTACCGGTGCTGGCAAAGGGGAAGCCTTGCAGATCACACAAGCACACAAACAAAGATCCTACATTTAGGCTCGCAGACTGCAGGAGTGACGTGCTGTTCGCAAACACCCAACATCGGCGCTTAACCCAGCGGAATTTATTTAACAAGCCTGATTGATGAATAAGACCCAGAAAGTAAAAACTAGTCCAGATCTTGCTAGCTTGAATGAATACTGCTGGATATTGGTTTGGAATGCCAAAAGGCTGATGGTCAAAACATATATTATGTGTGTGTATGTGTAAACACCGAATGGAGGTGTGTTTAGATACATTGCTACCCATTACGTTCCACAATGAACAACGAGTCTGAATACATGATCCTTATGGTGGTACCCGGGGATACCAAATAATACAAAATGGCAGAGGCAATTAAATATTTTATTTCTGGGAAACTATTTTCTCCAGGGGTGTACTTCACTCCGCGACTGGGGTACCAATCAATCCGAAATCAGTGCTACTCTGCGATGTCGAAACGCCAAACATTAGCATAAAAAATCCGTTATTGAAAAAGTTAACTTTGAACAGTGCATCGTGTACAGCTCGTCGAGATGAGTAGATTGCCGCATCGCTGACCATCAACATAAATTAAATTATGTGGTGCAGAGATGTGCAGAGATTAGATCACGTGGACTTCAACGAAAAGTGTTGAGTTTAAATCCCATTCTGGGGGTCCCGTCATAAGAATGTGGAATTTCCACTCCTGGCTTTCAGGGAGAGCCTCCTCACGCAAGCTTGGCCAGCACAGCTCACGAGGAGAGTTGCTGTGACCAGCACCTCACTTGGCCACATTTCCCCCCCCCCCCTTCCCCAGCGCTGACGTTTACACACTCGACCAAAATAAGGTCCAGAGTTTAATTGTCTCGAAACAATGTTGATAGAATTACACTGGTCAAAAAAGAGTTTTTTTTCTGGCCTGGACTTTTGCAGCTGGTAATTTCAGGGTGCTGATTCCAAATATGATCTCAGATTTGCTCTATCACATCTCATTTTTATGCTATCGGCATACCCCATTTTCATTGATTTTACCCGAAATTAACTGTCACTTATGATTGCAAGTTGTTGCGAGTCAGTGACTGCTTTAGTGTTAAAATATGGTGCTGTATTTTTAGGATAGTGTGTTTATAATATCATTTTATGTAGATATCCACATTTATTTAATATTTTTCTTCTGCAGTTTTTTATTGAAAATGCAGTATTTGATATCTCAAAAACCTGATGTGATAGACAAAAACTGATGCCAGATTTGGAATCAACACCCCAAAATTACTTTAAAACCGTTGGAATGCCTGACGCCAGAAAAAGTGTGTTGACCAGTTATGCACTCCCAAAAGGCAATTGTGGGATAATGGGTTAAGAGATGTTTGTATTGTTCATACGGAGAGATGGATATGTGAAGAAAATGTGAGTGGGCTTTGGCCGGATATATTTCGACTGGAACGGATGACAGCTGATGGACAACACTCGCTATGAAATAGCAGCCAAAGGAGTGAATGCCCTGGGAGAGAATGCCCTGGGAGTGACGGGATTAGTTCCTGTACACAATGGACACGTGACATACCTGTGTTACTCTTGTGATGATGCCCACAGAACACCGGGAGGATTTACGCAGTACCATTTTCTCCACTGAAACAGGAGTAGGTGTGTTCCTGTTTCTTTTCGCTGGCGTCACTTTGGAAGTCTTGGGCGTAACCGCCAGCTGAGGAGCGATTTCAGGCCGGTGTGACACCACATTGATGCTCTCCTGCGGGCAACGCAACAAATCAAATCGCTGCCGCCTTTGCCACGACAAAGTTCTGGACTCATTTAACGGGCGCGTTCAATAGAGGAGCCATAACCTGCCAGAACATTTTAAGATGTGGAATGTAAAAAAAAAGTTAAGTAGAATTCCCTTCTTTGAAATCCATGTTATATAATTTTTTGTATAGACAGGCTCTTTGTACTGCTTAATCTGAACCAATGACACAATGTGCTATCACACAATTGGGTTGGAAGGTAGCTATGTGATGGCAGCAGACAAGTAGATTCTTGAATTTATTACGCGGAGCTGCGAGTAGTATGTCCCATCGCATGCGCGGGTTGTCTTACTCCGGTGTTCTGCCACATTCCAAACACTTAATTTGTGGAAAAGCGCTAATGTTCCAATGCAGGACCCTCCTGAAAAAAAGAGGTCCTGAGACCCAGTGAGCTTTCCCTGAGGAAAGGAATTTCGTAATACTATTATGATCTCTTGACCGTCTGAACACAACCGTATCTCAGGACGATGATAGTAATATTTTCAGATTGACGCAAACAACAATTTACATCTGTTGTGTACGGCACCGGCCTACAGGGTATGAGCTGCTGTAACGTTTGCGAGTCTGAAGTAAAGAAAGAAAGAATATAATTAAAAAGGTTCACGCTTTAGTAATGAAAGCAAGTGAAAAGAACTGGATGGTTTTAATAAAAAATAATTCAATTCGTCATTTTAACTTTTCTATTTATGTTCTCATTTCAACAGCCAAAGCATTGTTCTGTTTTCAATAAACAGAAACGTTGTGGTGATTCGCATTGTACTATTGAGCTATGTATTGTACGGTAAAAGCCCGATATAACTAACGGGGGCATCAGTGGACATGAATAACGTGCCCGTTATAGGCTACCCGCATTATAATAAAAAAGCATGTCTCCGTGTCTCTGTCTCTTTGGCTGTCTCCGTGTCTGCGTGTGTGTCTGCGAGTGTCTCCCTGTGTGTCTCCGTGTCCGTTTGCCCAACTGTGGTTAAAAGTTACCTTCTGCTTCAATTCTTCCTTTAACTTTTCTATTTCTGCTCTCATTTCATCAGCATTGGCCTTGTTCTGTTTTCAACCAACAAAAACGTTGCAGCGATTCACATTGTATACTTGAGTTTTATATTATAACACCAAAAACCTGATACATAATGCAGGCGTCTGGCGATATAAATGACACACGCATTATAAGCTACTTGCATTATCAAGGAAAATGTATGTGCATCTCTGTACGTTTGTCTGTGCCTCCCTATCTGTGAGTCTGTCTGTGGCTCCGTATATCAGAGGAGAGGGGCAGAGCGGTAGTGTCGCATTTAGTGTGTTGTGCTACGAACCCCGCGACACGAGTTCAATTCCCACTCACGGCCAACACCAGTAACGATTATCTAAACCGGTCCTGGGCCGCCCCTAGGTCGACTAAACCTCAAATGAGTACCTGGTAAGGTGTGGAAACATTGCCACTCAGGAGACAAAGGTGGTCGGGCGTGGTGCTGGCCACCCACCCCCTCGTGTGCCGTGCCAGCCTTCATAGGTCCTCGCTAACAGTCTGTTAAGGCTATACAGGGGATCTTTGTCTTTGCACTTATTTCGCACCGCATGTAGCCAACTGTGCTAATCGGAGGTTGCGAAAATGTTCAAGATTGACCTGAGAGCTTGGTTTAATCAGAGTTCAGCTGAAACCTGGATTTTAACCCAGAGGTCATTTGGGGCTGTTGATTTATTTTTATCTCTATGTGCATCTCCGTGTCCATTGCTACAGTTTCCATCATAGACTGCCAGTACACTCACTCTGATTTAGAACCGGTCTACATTAGTGTTTTTTAGTTTTTATTATTTTTTATTATATTTGATTATTATCTTTCTATCTACGTGACTTTACCGAAATAACCAAAGAATACTTTTTTCTAGCTAATTACACGGGCACATTTAATCAAGACAGCCACAATCACACCCTGCTTCCTGAATGCGGGAAACACCTTAAATTAAAAATAATTAGCGGCTGACGTCACTACCCATGGGGGGGGGGGGGGCGATGCGCCTCCTCCCCCCTCCTCGGCGTCAACTTACAACCCTCACTACAAAGGCAGAACCCTCACGTCACGTGATCTACGTAACGCTACTGAGACATAGAAGTAAAAAGGACGTCATGATGAACAAGGGATTATAACCTTTAAATGAAATAGGTCTGTGTCACCGCGGCCTTACAAATTGCACACGAATGGATGCAATGAATATATCATGTCGCGGTCTGCTTTTCGCTTGCAAGTTTCAGATCTACTGCTATACACCCGTCCTTGGACGGGCTAAAGACTAGCTAGTACAATAATTGGACTGAAGATCCGTTGAGTATTTAATAGGTAACACAACTGAACAGACCAGCTATCAGTTAAATTGTATGCGATGTGTGACCGTGCAAATGAGCACTTGCTCTTTCATCACAAATTGTCACCATTCTGTTTCTACAATGAGTCTTAATTGCCGTGTGACTTGCCTGCATAACATCATCGGGATTGTGAGGGTGAGGTGAATGTGAGCGTTACGATTCGCAATGGAGGATCCAATACATTATTTAAAAAAAGCTAAACTTACCAACGTAGACACATTTTCAAGTGCATCCTTATATTTTTGGTCGAGAGAAGAATATTCTTTGTTTTTATCTTCCAGATTCTGGTCACACTGGCGCTTTACGTCAGGATCGCAAAAAAAATTGCAAAACATTTTAATAGCATTTACCAACTGCACAAAACTAAGGAAATACATATAGATGTGTTTTGCTATGGTCCAATTTATGCTTCAATATATTTCGTGAATATATCGTGAACATTGTAGCGACGAAAGACGATGCTTAAAAATTCTTCACATACTTTCCACTAAAAATAAACCTACAATTGAAACATAAACACTAATACTGTATATGTATATTCACAGAAATCCAACACATTTGTCAATAAAACTGTCCTAAAGAGGAACAAAAACAAATACAAAGGGTAACTTTCGGGCATTGACCCTGCATCCCGCGCTTTCAGATGCGATTCTGTGGCCGTCTGGAACGCTCTTCCTTTTGATATTAGGAAGCTACCGGAGCTTCACATCTCATCTGATTCCTCCTCCAGTAATAAACACATTCCTGCGGAGGGAGCTGGTAGGAACGTTGGGTTGCTCGGTCAATGGCCAGGGTCAACGGCGGCGTGGTGTATTCCGCAAATATGGCCGACTGTGAGGGCGGGCACAAGCCGGCGTAAGTAGGTTAAACGTTGAGTTTTATAAGGGCACCACGGGGTGACTAACCCCTCCCCACCCAGCCCCACCCCTCCCACCCCCCACCCAGCCCCTCCTTCCCCACCCAGCCCCTCCCTGCACGACGGACACAATAATCCCCTGTTGGCTGGTGTAACCAGAAGATTCCTACCAGTTTTATCTCTCTATGAGGGTGAGCGAATTCCGTGCGAGTTACAAGTTGAAACTGTTATAGTTGCTGTTAAGAAGGGGGCCATTGCAGAGCGTTATTAACAAATGTGCAAAAGTTGTTTTTTTATCCACCATTGCCAATGAACGATCAGAAGAAAAAACACATTTCGCTATTTTCTTTTACAAACGTTGCAGTTATTTTGAAGCAGCTAAAACATGCGAGTCCGATTCAGGAATGAAGTGCCAACTTCCGCACGTTACCTTATACTCTTCCACCATTGCAGTCATTTCTGTAATTTTGAACTGTGAAATTTTTTCTGCGTTGATTTTCACTCTCTCAATCTCAGCTGAAATCCTCTTGAGTTTTATCTGCAAGAGGGGAAAAAAACGACGGTCACACATGTGCCTTGGATTTTCACTTGGTGTGAACTTCATTAGTAATGCCATGAAAGCAAAATATTTGCTGCTTTTATTTATTTATAAGTGATGCAAGTTAACGCTCCACGTATAAAAACGTAACATCTGCTACGGTATAAATCACAGTTTGCACGCACACGCAGTAACACGCAACATCCCCGTCGTTGTGTGCGGTGGGTTTGGCTCATGTCTCCGAATCCAGCACCCTTTGAAGAAAGGCAAGGTCGTTGATCATTTGTGAAACCCCCAAACCCACTTTTGTTGATAAGGAGGCCAAGAAAATACAAGAAAAGTAGGTTGCGCAAAACTGTGACTGAATTGCCCTCATATGTGCGGTGCATCTTTGGCCAGATGATCCGGTTTCAATATACCGAACGCAAAACACTCACGGATGGACATGGGCAACAATCTCCAAGCAAAATTCTTAAGTGAAAGAAAAAAAGAGCTCAACACTTGGTGAGGTTTTATTGAATAAATGGCACTCTTAATAGTTTTAGTATTAACTGCTTTTAGTTTTTTAGTATTGTTGTCCTTCCCCTACACGTCCGATTAGCACGGTTGGCTACTTACGGCGCGAAAGAAGTTCAACATACATACATTATCAGCTAAACACGTAGGCTTTCACGACCAATATCATCCATAAGAGTTTTTTTTGGGTTAGATCGCGTAAATATATAAACGTGTCGTTAAACCCGCCACCACCCGACACAGCCAACTAGTAAGGTTTGTTGCATAAACGCATCGAGTATATTCTTAGGTTTTTTCGGTAAAGTCACGTAGGTAAAAAAAAATTCTAAGTAATAAAAGTAAAATAAAAATCACAACGTTTCGGAGGAAACACAAGCTTCCGTCTTCAGGTGGAACCGTCACAGCACGATAGCTGTATCTCTTACTTGTGTTGCCTCCGAAACGTCGTGATTTTTATTTTACTTTTATTAATTTGAATTTTTTTTTACCTACGTGACTTTACCGAAAAAACCTAAGAATATGAATCCTTGCAGTCACGAAAGCTTCAAATCTAGAAGCATCGAGTATACATTATACCAGATGCCTTTTTACCAAGACTAAAACGGAGGTAAACAACATTTGTCAAGTTCGTTTCGCAAACCTCTTCCAATTTTTTTATCTGCACCCTGCAGTCCGCTAACTTTGCCATTGCGTTGTTGCGCTCTTGTTCGTACTGTTGCTTTAGTGAGTCCATTTCAGACTCGAAATCCTTCATCTGCAAAGTCACATAAACACGGTCATAACGAACCTTGCAGTCACGATAATAAAGACTGCTTAGGTTTTAGATGTTAATAAAATATTTTAAAATACTTTTTTTTAAACACGCTTTAATGAAATGTACTGCCCGAGCTGCCCTTCCCCCTGCCCCCTTCCCCCATCGCCCCTCCCCTCCGTACACATCACCCCGCCCCTCGGCGTGGCTCCCCGAGGCTTGCCGTGACGTAAGGGGCCGTGGGGATTTACAGGCAAGGTCAGTTGACTGTGGACAATTAGAGCCGTTGAAAAGATTGTTTAAAAATATATATATTTTTTATTTTTAATGATAGAATATAGTATTGTCATCAGTATGACATACCTACAGTATACGAAGTTTGCAGTCGATACGACATTGGGAATACGGTTGAAATTGAGTTACAAGATTTTTAGATACGGCAACACACAGTAAGTTAAATAAAAGCGTGTAAATTGTTTAAAAATAGATGTTTTGGATTTTTTTTTATAGAATATTGTGTTGTCATCATTATTACGTACCTATACCAAGTTTGCAGCCGATAGCACATTGGGAAGTGTGTAAAATTGAGGATACAACAGACGATGTGAGTTAAATAAAAGCGTGTAATAAAAAAGGGGTTGTTTTAGAAGTGCTGTCAATGTTAATAGGTCATCACGCGCAATGCTTTTTACGTCACCACGCCCTGTCTGCTATTTATAAAGTCAACAACACCTGACTTCCACATTCTGCTCTTACAGTATCGCACGTAGACCGGCTTTAGACATTGACTTACAACGGCACACATCAAACAAAAACCCCTGCCACCTTCAGCGTTAACCATTAACAACTTACTGTGAAATGAAATACAGTAAGTTGGATCCATGGTTGTCCTTACCCTCCCCCGCACCTCCGATTAGAACGTTTGGCTAAGTACGGTGGGAAATAGATTCAACATACATACATCGTGTAAACCTAGCCTTCCTCCCCATATTTTCCTTAGTTTTTTTCTGTTGTCTCCGATCTTCCCCTACCCCACCCTCTCCCACATCCCTCGCTTTTTAGCCATCCCCATATTTTTTCCTGAATCACAGCCCAAGGGAATAAAGTTAAATATATTTTATTCGTCCACCAACTTCCATTATTTCTCTATTCCTTAGGTCCTGTATTGTTGTTGACAAGCATTAATAATGTTTATATACTGCATACGATTAACGTATTGGTTTGGAGAAAACTCGTCACAGCAGGAAAGTACGTGAAGGCTGGAAAAAAGGGATTTAACAACACACACACAAAGGTGTGTTAATCACCAACAGCGGTGGTCACATGCCATGCATGCAAGGCATTATGGGAGTTGTTCCTGACTGCTGTTTGTGAACGCGCCTTTGTGTGTTGAATACAGTAAAGTAGATTAATGATTTCGGCCATTGTCTGGACCTGTAATTCTTGCTTAGGACAGCATTCTCCGGATTATCCCGGAAAGCAAGACACACCCCACACTTGTACCCGGTGTCGATTAAGCTATACAAATCAGATCACGCACACAACACACACACAGAAACTGGTTTCAAATAATCACCCCCAAGTTTTGCTATGAAATACGGGTGGGGGAGGACATGTTATAATCCGGAAAATCCGATATACATTTTTTTATGAGCCAGTGTTAATGAAATAAGGAACTCAGTGTCTTTTTTGGTATTATAAAAGTATAAGAATAGTTTTTTTACCCTTTCTGGCAACAAAACAGGCGTTAAGATGTTCAAACACCAAATAGACACCTTTTCCAAGGAATCGAGTACTGCATTAGCCACATGTACCTGTGGTGAACATGTGTAGGGGTGTCAGGGGAAAGATTCCCACCAATAGGAGGGTTAGTGGGAGGGGTGATCGAGGAGATACAAGGGGAGAACGGGCGGTAAGAAGGGGCCTTTGGCGGGAACGAGATTGGGACGGCTGGGGACAGGTGTGGATGGGAGAAAAGGATTAAAAGACGAAACCCCTGCAATCTTGTGTCGGCTCTCCTTTACACTTGCAAACAAATATGCTCTGATAATATATGCATTGTCATTGAAAAGGTTTCGCGCTAACCTTGTTTTCGTAGCAGCTGTCCTCCTCACATTGCTCCTCCCGTTGCTTGTCCAACTCGTGACCCTGTTGCAGTTCGCGTACAATCGACGTGTTGGTTAATACTGGTAGGAACCTCCTGGTTACACCAGCCCACAGGGGATTATTGTGTCCGTCGTGCAGGGAGGGGCTGGGTGGGGGGGTGGGAGGGGTGGGGCTGTGTGGGGAGGGGCTGGTCACCCCGTGGTGCCCTTATAAAACTCAACGTTTAACCTACTCACGCCGGCTTGTGCCCGCCCTCACAGTCGGCCATATTTGTGGAATACACTACGCCGCTGTTGACCCTGGCCATTGACCGAGCAACCCAACGTTCCGACCAGCTCCCTCCGCAGGAATGTGTTGACCCTCGCTTCGAGATTAAAAGAGCGCACAGACTTCTTAAAAGAGACCACGCGGCAAACAATCCCAGCAGCTGCGTTCATCGCCATCGTGCAGCCATGCCGCTTTACCACTGCCACCAAGCGTCACTGTCGAGGGGACAGACTGGTTCTATTCAACTGCCGTGTTTTTAAATATTGAATGTGTGTCAAGTGACACAATGCTGGAAATACATGTCAACCCCTTATCAGTGCCTTAACTTATTACAGACCAATTCAGACCTTATTGGTCACCCTGTGCCTTTATACATCTCAATGTTTATTCTACAAAGTCCCATCACAAGGGAGAAACACAAATAGACAAAAAAATCTTTTGCCCATATTGAAACGGCTGTACGCCGTATGGACCTGAAAACTCAATTTCCCTTTACAAGAATACGGGGTAAACCGTATGGGTTGACACGATATGGAAATGTAAACTGAGATAATTAGGCAACCACATACAGTGAGTGTCTTTTATTTTAATGGCAGTGCAGACCTACACAGCTCCTGCTATTTTTTTACTTTCAGTTTTACATTTTAAGGCACTAACCAAAACATATGAGCGGAAGGACATATTCAATCATCATAACCGTGTTAATTCAGATAGTCTCATAGGGCGCGTCATGATACCAGGAAACCACAGCAACGATAACCATCTTTCATATTTTATACCACTGCTAAAATTGTAATTCTCGACTCACTGAGAATGAGAGGTAATGCCCCCATTAAAGAACTATAATAAGTTAATCAGAATAGAATACATGGCAGTCCGTGTAGCTAAAATATACAGGGTGTGTCTTTTAATACTATACCCAAGTTTACTGAAACAAAATACTTGGGTATACCATTGGAACCTCATTTGCCAGTAGAAAAATATGATAATTGGGTTTTTACCCTTTTATGAGGTTCCAATGGTGTAAATGCTTACCCCGAGCTCTCATACTCTGATGGTGCATTGTCTTTGAGTTGTGCGCCTTTTGGCGTCATCTGGTCCAACACCATGTCAGACTAGGCTCTAAGGAAAGCTGTCTCGGGTGTGGACCAATCAACTTCAAGGACAGTGCATACATTATCAGTTATGTTTTTTGTTTGCATTATGACTGCAGGTATTGTGGTCGATGCAAACATGACTCCTTGTAAAAAAAGGTGTCAGTTTTGTTGCCAGATACTTGGGTATACTTTTAAGACGCATTTCAGAATCGCCCTCATTGTCTCAACTGTCACACCAGGGGATTGATCCGGCCACGTCTGGATTGCAAGCCTAGTGTGCTAACCATTACATTGTGAAAATCAATTATTTAAAGCACTTTGTAGAGTACTGTTTTATGTTTTGTATTACCAAGTTTGTTTCTGTCTGTATGTGGGCTTCGAGCTGTGCCTGATGATGTTCTTTGGAAGATTCCAACTCTTCCCTGGATTAAAAGAAAAACACATTACAGGTGTGTAGCGATTGTCCAACACGATCCCTGGGACAGAGTAATCAAGAAGGCGGGAGAAAACACTCCACGCTCTGATTGATTAGGGAACGGGGAGCCCAGAGAATTGGCCGGAACATTCAAAAGTTAAAAGAGCTAGAGGGTTGAATGAGCGTCAGGTGGGACGGTTAGGCCAGGTGAGGGTGAGAGAGGCGACGATTGGTGGAGACTGAGTGTGAGGAGGTGCGGAGCCAGGAAGAGGTTAAAAGAGAAAGCGGGTGATTGAGTGGGTGAGTGAACAGTAGGGGGCGCAGGTGGTGCATCAGCCAGTCATCTCGGTCAGTCGACCCGTGGCACCTGCTGGGTCTGCCCCGTGACCTCCTGCCAGCGGGCTTTCGACACTTCACGTGGCCTCAAGGTGCAGTTGGCCTGGCACAAGCGTCGTGGTGACGTCACCGCCACTTAGTGGCGAATGGCGGTTGTTGTTGAGTGAGCGTCAGGTGGGACGGTTAGGCCAGGTGAGGGTAAGAGAGGTGATGATTGGTGGAGACGGAGTGCGACAAGGGGCGGAGCCAGGAAGAGGTTAAAAGAGGGAGCGTGAGGAGGAGTTCGGGGCGTTGCTGGAGAGCGAGGATGAAGGTGTGCACCCGTGCCGTGAAATAAAGACCTTACCTTGTGGATAAAGAAAAGGGCCAGGGTCTTTTTTGCACAGAGATGGGAGTTGTGTTTGCAACAAAACTATGTCATCCACAAAAGGAACAGATTGCGAATTGAAAAGAAAAAAAAATAGGCAGGAACAACTTACTCTAGGTTTTTATAATTCGATTCCAACTTTTGAATGTTGAACTGTAATGCATCTTCGTTGCGCTTTGTTGTCTGAAAACGAAAGCATAGATCATTTTGAAATACAGTTTTGCAGTTGAAATTGCCAATACAGACGTGAATTATAAGCACACTTGAGCCAGAATACCTCAATGATGTTGTTAAGTTCGTTGATTTGACTCGCCAAACGAGAACATAGTTCAGTCAGTTCCTCGTTTTTCAAAATAACCGCCCCAACCTTGTTTCTGGTGTCAAGGTGGCATTCTCTGTTAAAAAGGAAAGATTGTAAATATACTATTATTTCACGTGCGGTTACTTGACTCCAGAAAAAAAACCTATAAGCAATAGTTGTGTAAATCCAAGAGAGTGCAATGTATTCTCTGGATTATACGATGCTGCGGAATGTAAGATGCACCATAAACCTTGGCCCAGTGTCCATAAAGCTATACATATCTGGCCTCACACATGCACACATTTATTGGGTAACATACTTTCATGAGTAAGAACCTTTTATGGTATCTATTTTCAGGTTTATTTCATCTATCGTTTGAGTCAATTGACAAGTATTCATCCGTAAAAAGAAAGTAAAATACTCTTTGGTTCTTTCGGTAAAGTCACGTAGGTGAAAATAAAAATAAATAAATTGTATAACTAAATTAAATCAGCTGTGGTTGTCCCATCTGATGACGGAAGCTTGTGTTGCCTCCAAAACGTCGTGATTTAATTTAGTTATACCATTGGAACCTCCTTTGCCAGTAGCAAAATACGATAATTGTTTTTTTTACCCTTTAATCTGGCAAAAAAACTGACACCTTTTTTACAAGGAGTCATGTTTGCATTGACCACAATACCTGCAGTCGGAATGCAAACAAAAAACACAACTCTGATAATGTATGCACTGTCCTTGAAATTGATTGGTCCACACCCGAGACAGCTTTTCTTAGAGCCTAGTCTCACATGGTATTTAATTTAATTTTTATTTTCACCTACGTGACTTTACCGAAAGAACCAAAGAGTATGGATGCTTGCAGTCACGAAAACTTCAAATCTAGAAGTATAATTTTTAGACACCCACCATTTAACAATTCTGTAACTAAACACACTACCAAACTGTCTCAAAGCTTCACAATTTTTTTGTCCGAAAGTATTTCATGGAACAAACGAGTAAGGTACACACAGAGGGCATGCCTGGGAGTTGACACCATTACAGACAATGCGAAGAAGCACACCGATTATTACCAGCATTTTATATTGTTAACCTCTCTATGCCGTGTGTTTCAACTCTACATCCCTGGTGTCTACTTCCTGAACTCGGATAACGTCGTGTTTTGACGGGGGGGGGGATGTCTTGGGATACGACGTCTTGCTTGGGATACGACGCGCTTGCTAGAACTTGTATGGGTCGGGATGAGTCACCGTGTACCCGCGTATACCCTGTTCACCACTCCTCCCCTTCCTCACCACCATCCTCGTAGGCTATCAACTCCTCTCAGCAAGGTAAAGTTACGTAAAATTGTATTTTTATTTCAATGTATTTTAATTTATTTACGTATACATTTTAGTAATAAGTACAGTGATCCCTCGTTTATCGCGGTTAATGAGGACCGGAACCCCTCGCGATAGGTGAAAATCCGCGAAGTAGGATTGGCCCCCTAGGAATTTCCGTATATGTGTGTGTGGGTACCAGAATGTTTAAAATATGTATATTTATACTTCATATATATATTTTGCTTAAATCTATTTAATTATAAAACCTTAATATTATACATTCACTCTCTCTCTCTCTCGATACGTATTATGGTGTTCTACACTCACCAATGACAGTAGTATCTTGAGACTTGACTCCAGTAATGACGACGACGACGATGACAGTGACGATGACAATGACGACGATGACAGACCTGTGCAGTTCGATGAATGTGATGATGAATGATGATGATGGTGTTACTGCACAGGTATAATGAGGCCTTTAAATCAGTTCGAAAAATCCGCGATGCACTGAGGCCGCGAAACTTGAACCGCGAAGTGGCGAGGGATTACTGTAGTGTCTACATTGTTTATTACAACCCCCTTAATGTATAATATGCCATATAAAATATCATTTCTTATACTCTGGAACGAATTATTTCCTTTCCCTTGATTTCTTATGGGATACGTCATTTTCGGTATAAGTCCTAGCCCTTCTGGAACGAGTTAACGACGTATACCAAGGTACCACTGAACTTAAAAATAAAGCTCCACCATTTACCTCTCTTGGCACAGTTCTGATTCCAGAACAGTTGCTGCCTTCAAGGCGTCCTTACGGTCATTCTCCAAGGCGCACTCGTTTGCTTGCATTGCATTGAATTCACTCTGAAATTAAATGACACCCAAGATGTTATGCTAGATGACGCAAATGGAATATTTCTGCACACAAAAGAGCATCTGCAGTGACGATAAATGACAATTATAACACGTTTACAAATAACTTACTGGAAAATGTTGCTCAGGTTATATTACGATAGATTTAAGAAACATTTGAAATACCTTGCTTTCGTTTATCAGTGTTTCCATGGCGGCTATCTGTTGATTCATTTGACAGATGGTTTCTTGGAATGAAGCTCCTTCTTGTTTAAACATGTCTAAAGATTCCTTTACACAAGACACGACACGAAACCAATACCTCATATGATACTCCGAATGTATGTATTACACACGATGGGCGTAGCTCTCGAATACCGTCTGAACGTTTCGTTTCTCTCCCCCGTGCCCCCGAGCTTCTTGGGAGCTAAACGTCAAACGCTTTGCCAAACAACTTTGCGACACAACTCAAGAGCTGTACAAGCACAGCGACGGAGACCTACGCAGTGGCGCGCCTTCGTGTTTGATACATCGAAAAGCAATTGGTTATTTTACACCTGATCAGGGAGGCTTGTGTTGCCTCCGAAACGTCGTGATTTACTTTAGTTTTCATTTATTTTATTTTATTAAATGTTTTACCTACGTGACTTTACCGAAAAAAACCAAAGAGTACAATTGTTTTTTTTTGTAACAAAAATGCGAGCCCAATACGGCAACGTTGCATAGCTTACTCAACCAGGTGACATCGTTGGCAGAAAACAATCCCAACACAACTGAACAATTTCAGGGAAGTGGGGGGGGAAGATAAATCGAAAGCATTTAATGTCGCTGCTCCCAAGTTTTGGAAAGGTCAAATGTGAATGCAATAGTACAATATAATTTTATTTTTTTAAATGTAACCTGTGTAGATTTGAAGTTTTCGTAACTGCAAGGATTCATACTCTTTGGTTTTTTCGGTAAAGTCACGTAGGTAAAATTTTTCAATAAATTAAATCACGACGTTTCAGGCGCAACACAAGCGTCCTTCTTCAGGTGGGGACAACTTAGCGAAAGCACACCTACGTCACTTTACTGAAAAAACCAGAGTATCTGTGTAATTGTTAAGATAGAATGATTTGCTGATGTCTTCCAGCTAAACCACCCTTGAAAAAGATCTTTTTGGCTCAACTTACGAACTTCAATTGTAACGTTGAATATTGTCTATTCTTGTGGCTGATTTTGTGAAAACGACATTGAAATGTACTCACCAGTAATTGTTTATGTTTCGCGTTGTTATTATCACTTTCAATTTTCATATTATCTAAAAATAAGAATAATAATAAAGTAATACGATTAATAAAGGAATATCAATAAATGTTGGACACTGATGAAAATATCTAAAATCACGTTAATAATGTACAACTGATACGAGGTAAAATGTCGCACATGCGATAAATAATACACCCGCAATGGACATTTACACTTTTAAACGTTGCCTACCTATTTCTGCATTTTTTTCACGAATATTTGCTTCAAACCTGCTACGAATCTCAGCGTCTTCACTGCACCTGAAAAAACGTAACAAGACATCTGCCTCATTTAATTGTTCAAAAATGTATACCAAACGCAGCACACAATGCAAGACGAAAATCCCCCGTGTGGCCTTCACAGACTGCGGGGTCAAGTGTTGTTTGCGAGCACCATTGTAGGCTAGCACGGTACACGGAGGGGTGGGTGGCCAGCACCACGCTAGACCGCCTTTGTCTCCTCAGTGGCGATGTTGACACACCGCACCAGGTACTCATTTGAGACTGAATCGACCAAAGGGAGGCCCAGGACCGGTTCAGATAATCGTCACACGAACAGTATTCGTGATGTGCGGCAGAAGCCAAATTAAACAATGCAGAAAGCTGCATCAGTGAACGAAATATACTGTATTTGTTTTGCTTCACAGATACAAAAAAACATGCTTTACGGAATGCAGTGCCTTCTCCTTAGTAGCTCACATTGTCTGAAATTCGCAAACTTAAAAAATCGCGAATAACTTCATTGGGGGAAACACGTATAAATTGTCGCCCCCTACTGCAAAATAATTGCAGAACCCTTCAAAAAATTCACACTGCGAGGCCCTCACACTTTCGATGTCGTATTGGCGAACGTGCCCCCCACCCTCCGAACCTCTGAATATGAGTGAAGAACACTACTAGGGGGCTTTCCTTTGTCAACTAGCGTAGTACGTAATACTAGTGATGAAATAATATCTCAGCACCCTACTTGCTGTGTTGTTCACCACTTGCCTCTGGTTGGCTGCTCTTGTCAACTCTTCATTTGCATTCTCAAGGTTTTGCACAATTACGTGCAGGTCCTGATGTTCGTGTTGCAGATTGTCATACAATTGTTGCAGCTCCATCGTGCTCGCGATGTACGCTCGCTCCTTCTCTGCAAAACTGCTCGCAATGTTTTGCATCTCAGCCTACAGCAGTGGCAGAAGATTCGTTTAGTCATCACTATTTCTGAACGTTATATTCATTTATACCGTATGACGATTAAATCAATGAGGCAGATGAGCCGCTACATTTTTCAGATACAGTGAAAAGCTGAGATTTGCAGAAATAGGTAGGCAGACAATCTTATATAAATACCGATGGATTTGTCACCTGTAGTGTGCTTTCAACTTCCTGACGTCGATTTATTTCAAGCTTGAGGGTATTAATTTCTTCCTGTGCTTGCTCAAGTAGTGTTTGAAAGTTACCTGTTAATTACGTAAAACAAACTAAATTGAGATCAACTTTAACGATCAGATGTGTAGACATTTGCCTACCACACACATATCCAGGCTGTTGGCAAAAGCACACAATTTTAATGCACTTTCTTAGACCGGGAGCAGGTGGAGGGCTTCACTATTCTGGCAAATTGCCCGATGATGCTGGATGTAATTACCAGCGAAACGTCGTGCTACTCAAAAATTGTAAATGTTGTGGATTCACTCTTCAACACACCGGTGGGCGAAAGTAGTGAACTATTTGTGTTTTGTAAACGTGACACTTTTTTATGATTGGCAGTGTCTGGTGGTGGATGGTTGCGACACATTTATAAATATCGCGATCTAACCCAAAAACCTTTTTTTATGAGCATTCTCACACTTTATTTCTGTGAGTCGAACACAGTTTTCAATGAAATATTGCAGCTTTTGAGAGGTCGTTTTGAGTTCTTCATATTTTGACTCCAAAAGCTCAGATATTTCTTTGACCTAAAAGTAACAGACAGCACTGTATGTTGATAACTACTGAACAATACGATTGTATACACGAATCTATGAAATAACCTACTGCTAGGTAAGGCAAGTTTTCTGGTTTGCAAGTCATCATTTATTTCAAGTAAGTTTTGTTTATGAGAATGAAAATAACTTGAAAAATCAACATAAAGAGGTATAAATGTGTACGTCCCATATATTGTGTTGAACAAATGCATTTAGGTCACTGAATACGTTTTAAAGTTACATTTTAAGCATTGTATTGTATTACAGACGTTTGTAAATTGTAAAACCAATGTATTCACCACTGTACAGAATAGCAATAGTAGGCGTTAAAGGCAATACGTTTGGGATAGGAACATGAATAGATCAGTTTTTATTTGAAGGTGAACTTGCTCTTCAAAGGATATTTTATGATTGAGACAGGCATGTCTTTGTAGCTTAATTTCTTACATTTGAAATCAACAAAAATTATGAGCCTGAATTAGAACACACCCTTGGATTTGTGCTGTATATACATTAGTTTGTCAAATGTAATGCATGGGAATTTAATCCAATTTTTTTGTCTAATATGCATGAAAAATGTGAGCAAAAGCGATCAACTCATGAATTCACACAAACCTGTCTTTCTTTAACTGTCAACTTGGTTATAAAGTCCCGCTGTGCTCTTCCCATTTCTTGCACAGCTTCTTCCACTACATACAACACACATCGTATGTTCAACATAATAGGTGAGCGCATCAATATTCATCCAGTAAAACCACAACTGCCATTGATAATCATCGACAGTGCTCTATCAACTGCTCGATGAACGCCTTCCCAAGCTGCCGCCATCCCTCATGGCCTTGTGAAGTAACAAACTATCTTGCTGCTGCTGCACGCGAGCCGAATCCCATGGCTCCATCTCCGCTGTAGCTGAACTATTGTGCACCGGCCTCGACATCGACCACCATCCCTTCGAGCGATGTTTACCTGACCAAGCCCAACTTACTTTCCCCTTAACACTCAATGCTGCGTCTCGAATTTGCGTTCGGTCTCTGATATTTTTCAATGATGCTCATATGTGCACTGTTTAGATTTCGTTCCATTTTCGCTGTCGATGTGCAGATTTCTACCGCATGTCAAAGGAGGTTATAGTCAACGGTCGCTAACTTTTTTCTTCGGGTAAAATGCCATTTTTTATTTTCATGTTTCATTTTCAAAAAGTGCTCCAATTAATTTTGTATATGTAATAAAGGAGGCTGGAAAGTTAAAACTCAAAAAAAAACACAAGTTAAACAAAGTCATTAACAACAAGTGAACTCAACAAATGTTGAACAGACACAATTGTAAAATACATCAGATTATGTATTATCATAGGTGTCCAGGAACAAAATGGTGATATGAAAATATTTAATTGAATATAGAAACGTTAATGAAACTCGTGCTTACACCACTTAAAAGTTTCACACAGCTGGAATCAAGGGAGCCATTTTCTCTACTGCAATCTCTTGTACTGCCACCTCACAATCCAACGGGTTTGTATTTTACTGGTAGCAAACCCCTGGTTCCACCAGCCCACAGGGGATTATTAAGTTTGTCCGTCGTGCATCCAAAAATGGGAGGGGTGGGGCTGGGTGGAGAGAGAAGGGTGGGGCTGGGTGGGGAGGGGCTGGGTGGGGAGGGTGGGGCTGGGTGGGGGGTGGGAAGGGTGGGGCTGGGTGGGGAGGGGCTGGTCACCCCGTGGTTCCCTTATAAAACTCAACGTTTAACCTACTCACACTGGCTTGTGCCCGCCCTCAGTCGGGCATATTTGCGGAATACACCACGCCGCCGTTGACCCTGGCCATTGACCGAGCAACCCAACGTTCCTACCAGCTCCCTCCGCAGGAATGTGCTATTTACAGGCATATACCACTGTGCCCAATGCAAACAAATATATAATGAATGACTGTTTCAGGACATTGGTGCTCTATATATTTAATAAAACCTTCTTATTACGGAGCTATGCATTGTCACCCACCCTGCACAAGACTTACCTTGGTCCAACGCAATGTTCTTGTCATTTTGAGAATTTAAATTTAAATCATTCAAAGTCACTGCAATTATCTTTAAAAGAAGATGACACCAGGGTTTAAGCATTAATGTGAAATATGCATGTGTATATGTTAATACTATAATACTGAAGAAATATAATTAAATAAAAACAAAATACATTTTATACATTTACCTTCATTTCTTCTTTCAGTAACAAATGAGCATATGCTATGCTTTCCATTTCTGCTTCAGCTGTGAATATCATACGGACAGGACCCACATAAGCCAGTGCCAAACAAGTTCAATCACTAAAACATTACAGCGTCAATGTTAAATGGTCGGCAAATGTTGAGAATGTACCTCTCTTTAATATTTGTTTCACTGTAGCGAACTGGCCCTTCACATCGTCACGTATTTTCCTGGTGCCACGGATTCTTATGGACACAAGCATATTGCAAGGACAGCGGTCAGAAAACCTTAGTAGAAAAATATCCACCATTTATGACAAAAGTGCATTGCAGAGAGGATGTTGGTATAATCAGGAAGTTGCTCATTTGATCTGCTGGCGTGACCTCTGTCCACCCAGTAGTCCACTGGGCATCTCTGAAATCTACTGGACATGTGTTAAAAAAAGAGCTTCATCGCTCATCGGGTTTCTCCAGGATAAATAAAGGTTCTGATTCTGTATACATGCGTACACCACGTTAAGTCGATGTGGCGAGATAAAGTGTGGCTACTTCCACCGCTTCCAAGACGTGTGGTGAGCATGGCAATGTCGGCCAAAACACCCTCTAGAGGGGCTTTCTAGAGCTCCATCTAGTAAGGGTCCTTTCTGCGAGCAGCGGTGTAAGCAAGGAATTGCAGGGCTGCATCTTGACCTTTTTTTCACAATGTGTACGAATGTGATTGTGTGAGCACTGAGTTGTGGATTTGATGCCATGCCAGGCGTAACATGAGAGTGCTTGTAAACATTCAGACGTAATCTATCACTTTCATGTCAGCTGCAATTTCGCACAACGCATGCTATTCGCCCGTACATAAGTCTGTGGTGATTTGATAGTCACAACAACTAAAATACACCGATTTTTTTTTTACACAACACTTTTTTTATTGGGTGAATACTATATATAATGGTAGATTGTGACGTATGACCTTAAAACGTGCGCTCCCTTCGTGAACGCAATTGTGTTGCACTAACGTAAGTTTAGGAACCTAAACAGAAGGCAAAGAGAAAATTCAAGGAAAATAAAGACTTCTTACTTCTCTATTAATTCTTGTTTGAATTTAATCATGTCTTGAAGTTTAACGCTGAGGTTTTCATTTTCAAACTAAAAGGAAACACAACACACACTTCGCTGAGATGACACATAGCGTTTCAACATCTGACACACACACTAATAATAATTTCGATTTAAAGCTTTCGTGACTGCAGGGATTCATCTTCTTGGTTTTTTCGGTAAAGTCACGTAGAAGGGAAATAATAAAATAATAATAAAATAATCAAATAATAAAATTATTCTCACGACGTTTCGGCCACAACGCAAGCAGCCGTCCTCAGGTGAAGAACAGGTCTGTTGGAAAGACAGGGTCTGAATGGCCGAAACGTCGTGAGAATTATTTTATTATGTTTTATTTTTATTATTTTATTATTTCCCTTCTACGTGACTTTACCGAAAGAACCAAGAAGACTGATAATAATGTTTAGTTTCATATAGCATCGTCAATCATGCAAAAACAGCAATCGCTGAGGAACCAGACATGAATCTTATTACTGCACAGTTGAATCTGCAAACAGATCAGAAGCACCTTTAAATGATTGTCTTGGCAACTAAGTGTTTCTCTATTTTAGTTAACAATGACAGTGACTAGACAAAATTATCAATCAAAATGATGACTATTTGAAATCCACAAAAAAAACCTAATCGTGATTATAACCAGACGAAATTAACAAGTCTGAACAAATATGCACACTAAGATAATCTAGTAACGTTATTTGATAAACCACTGCACCTCCTATTGGCTACGTGCGGTGCGAAAGAAGTTCAACATACATACATACAGTGCACTGAGGAAAACCAAACCTGATAATTGGCTACATGTGTACATACAACGATTAAGTTCACCGATTGGCTGACAATAATAATATCTGGGTGGGATAAATTACGAGCCCCTCACACCAGCGTGTAATATGAGTGTTTCATTGCTTTAGTAAATCAACAAGACTAAGAGATGACCGCATGCGATACACAAATACTCAACTGAAACTCTACAAGTTGTTGTCAACGAGACTTAAGGCTATAACTAAAATGAACATCGTGAATCAATACTTAACGACATTCATACTGGTAGGAACCTCCTGGTTACACCAGCCCACAGGGGATTATTCTGTCTGTCCGTCGTGCATCCAAAAATGGGAGGGGTGGGGCTGGGTGGAGAGGGTAGGGTGGGGAGGGGAGGGGCTGGCTGGGGAGGGTGGGGAGGGGCTGGGTGGGGAGGGTGTGGCTGGGTGGGGAGGGGCTGGTCACCCCATGGTGCCCTTATAAAACTCAACGTTTAACCTACTCACGCCGGCTTGTGCCCGCCCTCACAGTCGGCCATATTTGCGGAATACACCGCAAATATGGCCGACACGTCATCTGGTCCAACACCATGTGAGACTAGGCTCTAAAGAAAGCTGTCTCGGGTGTGGACCAATCAATTTCAAGGACAGTGCATACATTATCAGAGTTATGTTTTTTTATTTGCATTCCGACTGCAGGTATTGTGGTCAATGCAAACATGACTCCTTGCAAAAAAGGTGTCAGTTTTGTTGCCAGATAAAAGAGTAAAAAAACAATTATCATCATGACTTTCATTTAAAAAGAATAATAAACATTGTAATCACTGTCCGGATCAGCCTGCATTTCAATCACAGCCCCGCGGACCACCTGGAGGAGTGTGGTGGAACACAGGTGATACGGGGGGGGGGACCACACTCTGAGAACCACTGCTTTAGATGAATGACCACTGCTGCTGCTTACCTGTATTTCTAGAATTGTATTCCGCAGGGCGTCGATTGTCTCCTGGGCCTCTCTCAAAGCCTTATCATGATTGTTGAGCACACACTCAACTTTAATTTTCCATATGATCACCTTGTCAATTTCCAAGCACAGAGACCTGTAGATTTCTGACGCGCTTTTATGCTATGAAGAAGAAAAAAACACGACACATGATATGAGGAGCGTTTATCCGTAGTATCACGAATAAATCAGATTTTCTGCAGCAGATGACTGATTACACTGGTACAAAAAAAATAATTCTGGCCTGGACTTTTGCAGCTGTTATAGACTAAGTTCAGGGTGCTGATTTCAAATCTGATCTCAGATTTGCTCTATCACATCTCATTTTATGCTATCGGCATACCCCATTTTCATTGATTTTACCCAAAATTAACTCTGTCACTTATGATTGCAAGTTGTTGCGAGTCAGTGACTGCTTTAGTGTTAAAATATGGTGCTGTATTTTTAGAATAGTGTGTTTATAATATCATTTTATGTAGATATCCACATTTATTTAATATTTTTCTTCTGCAGTTTTAATTGAAAATGCAATATTTGATATCTCAAAAACCTGATGTGATGGACAAAAACTGATTCCACATTTGGAATCAACACCCCAAAATTACCTTAAAACCGTTGGAATACCGTATGCCAGAAAAAGTTTGTTGACCAGTGTTATTATTCATAATCAAGGTTTCTGGGTTAGTTCACGTAAGTATGTGTCATAACCCTCCACCACCGGGCCCAGCCAGTAAGGTTTGTCACGGAAACAAAATGCGCCAATTAATTACGACGTCAGCCCACCAGTGTGTTGGAGAGTAAATCCACAACATTTACACATTTATACTTACGCGATCTAACCCAAAAACAATTATTATGATTAATATTGGTCGCGAAAGCCTCCGTGTTAAATTGATTATTTCTCCATTTCAACCAAATAATCGATTAAGTCATAGAAAACACAAATACAAGTTTGATTAACTTTCCTTAAATAAGTCAAGTGCTGTGAACAAAAAAAGGTCAAGGTGCAGATCTGCAATTACTTGCTCATATCACTGCTGACAGAAGGGCCTCCACTAGAGGGAGCTTGATAAACCCTCAGTAGAGGCTTACTCTTCCACGCTGGGCCAGACGTCTTGGAAGAGATGGCAGTACCCACACTTTACCACACCACATGCGGCCTGCCATTTAACTGTGGTGTACCAATATATACTGGAGTGGACAGAGGGGGGACATTTTCGACATGTGCCTATTAAACCTGCCATGCCTGGAGATGACCTGTGGATTGCAAGTCCAGCGTGGGGACCATAACACCATGGCAGCAACCCCAAGCTTCATGAAACTAAAGACTTTTGTTTTCTTAGAATGACTGTATTATTAATCTTAAATAACGATGCACATTTTTGGGCATGTTTAAATGTGTTGAGTGTGTCGTCTTACCTCTTGCTCATCAAACAGCAGCGTGCTCTTCTGAGGTTGATGCTGTTCAGTGTTTTTTGCTGGAGCTACGAACATAATTGAGCACAATTAAGTAAAGTACATCGTTCATAATAACACTGCACGAGATGTACATTGTACACGTTTACACATATTGTTTTTTAGATCTTTCCAACTGAGGTTTAGTGCTCAGCTCCGCCGAGGTGTCTGTCTGTAATGAGAGGGTATGATGAATATCATAAATATGAATACATCTTCAGTCAAATGGTGTTTTGATATAAGGGACTTGCCCTATAGTATATCGGCGAACTAATCAAAAGTTGTTTCCAGAACTTGGGAGACCAAAGCCAGCGTAAAGAGAACCCATCAACTAAACGAAACGAAACTCTTTATTGTACCACGTAAGAGCCCACTCAGCTATGTAGCTCTTTTTCAGAAACGACCAGGCCACATGGTTTATCACGTGTAAAGTTATATCAGCCAAATTACTCTTCAACACGCAGGACACGGAGCAAAATCCACACTACCGTGACGAGAACATGCAAACTTTCAAACATACAGGCGTCAGGGTCGGGATCAAACCCATGACCTTCTGCATACCAGGCGAGGTAGTTAACATCTCGCCACCGCGGTACGCTTGCCCGACCGGCCGAGGCACGCACACCTTGACTGAGCCGCTTTTCGAGCGTTCCTGGGGCAAGTGCTACCATCATTATTGTCAATAACGAAACCAAGCACCGTACCGTACTTCTGACGTCAAACGCCGGTTGAAAAGCACTGCAGAATTCGTGCTCAGGATGTGGACATCAAAGGAGTGGGATCTCTTTAAGAAAAAATAGCGGCGCGATTGGTTTACAGATCAGACCAGACGATACAGGGCTATGAGCTACAGATTAAACGAATACCTTGACCTTGCCAGTGTCCCTTGACCATGACTCAGTTGACTGACCTTGCAATAGTGTCCTCTGAGCTTGACCTTGCTGAACTTGCCCAGTTTCACCCCTGCCCTGTCCGGGTTTATCCCTTCCACAACTCATTTGACCTTGTCCTCGTTGACCCCAAGCGTGACCTGATGGCTCCTGAACTTTGCCCTGTGGACCGTAAACTCGTTTTGGTTGACTCAGGGCCTTATTAGGTTGACCTCGGCCTTGCCTTAGCAGACCATGGACGTGACCTGGCAGTCTCTGACCCTGCTCGGGTTGACGTTGACCCTGTTTTGGCTGAGTCTGACCTCGGTCCAATTGTGTTTTTTTTGTTCTGTCGTGATATTGTCTCTGCCCTGGCTGATTATAACCTTTAATTGCCTCTCCGTGGCCTTCTCTCGGCTTACCCTGCCCGGTTTGACCCCAACCTTGCACTGGCTGTCTACGGCCTCGGCTCAACTGCCCATGCCCTTGCCTGAGTTGGCTACCACCTTTCCCTGGCTGACTCTGGCCACGGGTTGATGGCCTTTGGCCCTGCAAAGATTGGCGGTGGCCTTGTTCTGGCATCCCCTTATTATCGGAGCCAATGCCTAAGATGCTTTGTATATCGAAGGCTTGGAGTGGGGAAAAATTGCTGGCTAAATTTATGCTGAAGAATTCATTATCGTTCCCCTCCATTCCTGTATGACACACAAAGATCGTACGTGCACACACACAAAAAATGTGGAATTTATTAAGACAGTACTACTGCATAGCAATCCAGAGGTCACAAGCGTGATCTGTTGGCAAGTTTAAAAAATACGCTGCCAAGCTTAGCAGTGTTCATTAGGACGCTGTCTTTCCGACAGCCCTGTTCTTCACCTGAGGATGGCTGCTTGCGTTGTGGCCGAAACGTCGTGAGAATTTTATCATATGTTTTATTTTTAGTATTGTATTATTTCCCTTCTACGTGACTTTACCGAAAGAACCAAGAATAAGTTTAAATGGGTATGATTTTTTTTTATTCACAACCGCCTGTCTGTTTACACAGTAGCGTACATGGAAGTGGGGGCAGCAGGGTTGTTGCTGCATTTTTTTTATTTTCAAAATACGAATACGATACGTTTATCACATCTCATCGAAGCCCACGAGAACAGAATTTCACATATTTACCAGTTACACCACAAAATTACAAAGATTTCGATTTAAAGCTTTCGTGACTGCAGGGATTCATATTCTTGGTTCTTTCGGTAAAGTCACGTAGAACGGAAATAATCAAATAATATAAATAAAACATAAAATAACATTCTCACAACGTTTCGGCCACAACGCAAGCAGCCATCCTCAGGTCTCTTTCCGACAGCTGTTTCTTCACCTGAGGACGGCTGCTTGCGTTGTGGCCGAAACGTCGTGAGAATTGAGTTGTATTTCTATTATTTTACTATTTCCCTTCTACGTGTCTTTCCGACAGCTGTTTCTTCACCTGAGGACGGCTGCTTGCGTTGTGGCCGAAACGTCGTGAGAATTAGATTTTTTTGTTTTATTTCTATTATTTAATTTTGTTTATATTATTTCATTATTTCCCTTCCACGTGACTTTACCGAAAGGACTAAGAATAATAACAAAGATCCCCCGTGTAGCCTTAACAGACTGTAGGGGCAAGTGCTGTTAGCGAGCACCTATGAAGGCCTGCACTGTGGCACACGTGGGGGCGGGGGGCCAGCACCACCCCCGGCCGCCTTTGTCTCCCCAGTGGCGATATTTACACGCCGCACCACGTACTCATTTGAGGCTGAGTCGACCTAGGGGAGGCCCAGAACCGGGTCAACAGGTGTTGGGTGGCCGTGATAACCGCGACGCAACACAACCTATAATTAAACTACGAAATTAAGTATTACCACAGCCGAAGCTAGTTAATTACTACAGGAATAAGAAAGTTTGTAAATCAGTAATGTAACTGGTGTCATCGCTTAGAGTATTTATATTTTTTTAGAGCTATAATTATGATTTTAAGGCGTGGTAAAATATAAAAATACATAAAAGAGTGGTCATCGTAAGGTGACTTCTGCGATTATTGTGGCCTGAAGAAGGGTCATTGCCCGAAACGTCGCCTTGTGTTATTTCCCTTTCAAGGCAGCAATTGCCACTGCCACGTGTATTAGTCAATTATATTAAGTGCATTAGCAGGGTAGCGTTAATAATTACATAAAGTATAATACGTGGGCATTTAATTTAAAATATTTAAATATTCAACACGAAATCTTCGCTTTCGTAAAGTAAATATTTACGCTTTTTTTGCCCTAAAAATGTAAATTACTTGATACGGCACATTCATTTTCAACACGATAAAATGTACCTATACTTTTACGAAAAATTAAAAGTACTTACAATAATAATTAACCTCAATAACTTTTTACGTATTGGCATTGTACCGTTAAGCCACGTTACTTAGGGGGGAAACGTTTAACGTGCTACATGTAAAGTTTGCACACAACAACCCTATTCTTTATAATTCATATAATTATATTTTAATGATAAATGAAAAGAAAACGTTGATCATTACCTGAGGTAAATGAAAATAAACTCAACGCGCGGGAAAAATAAAAAGAAACCGTTACACTCGCGCGCCACGAATCGATTCTTTAAATCGAGCATAGGAATCGAAAGCTGTAGATTCCTATAGAATCGCCCTATTCCTGTTTAATCGATACCACAAACTGCTCACCGCATATCGATTTCCGCCAGTCCTGTACCAATATGCTATGAAGTATCGATTTTCGTACTCTAGGTTTTTTCGGTAAAGTCACGTAGGTAAAAAAATAATATTATTTAATTTGAGTATTATTATTTGTTTTATTTTTATTATTATTTTACCTACGTGACTTTACCGAAAAAACCCAAGAGTATGAATCCTTGCATTCACGAAAGCTTCAAATCTAGAATTATCGATTTTCAGTTTGGCTAATTGTGTGTGCTTGTGCGCCACTGCCAACGCAGCGCCACCAAATAAAGTTTAGTTGTAGCAAGGCCCTAGCCATGGAGTCAACATTGGGGGTCACTAAATCTTCCAGGATGTCCCAACCCAGAAAAAAAAATCTAAATTTGAAAACGAATTTCCTGCCTAAAATATTAAAAAATTCACTAACACATGGGATGGACTTTTAATAAATTTTTTACAATAATGTCTAATAGTGTATTGGAATACATTACTCTGTTTTTACTTTTTTACCATTTCTTGTTTCATTGTATGTAATGGCAGAGATTAGGGATTAATAAAGTACAACCATAACCACAATCATATAAACAGAATTCGATGCATTGATTTATATGAAGACAAGTCCAGATATTGTGGCCAAGGTTTAGCAAATTGTTTTTATTTACACAGCATCGCAATGTTTTTATAACAATATATTGGGGGGACATTTTGAGATTATTTGAATATTGGGGAGGAATGTCCCCTCCAACATATATGATAATTACGGCCTTGAGTTGTAGTGTAGTAGGCACCATCTAGACCTGATAGGCTCAGTGATGACCTCACCGTCTTGACAATTCTGCTAAATTGCCTGAAGCTGGTTGTCGTTGTTGTAATCACCAGCAAAACGCCACAATACTCGGAATTTTAAATGTTTGGAGTGGGTTTAACTCTCCAACGCACAATCGGTGTGCTGAACTAGTAACGAATTGACATTTTGTTTACGTGACAAACCTTACTAATTGGCTGTGTCGGGTGGTGGCGGGTTTAACGACACATTTGCTCAATCTAACCCAAAAAGCGTTATCATAGACCGGGCAATTTCGAAGTTCGGATTTTTTTTCGAACAAATTCACAGATTAGTTTTTTTCTCTCTTTCAGATTTTAGAATTGTACGTGATGCGTCAATTGTACGTATCTTTGTACTGAAAGAAAATTAACCCGTAAAAACAAAGTTTTTCACTATAAATCCTTTATATGCGTGGCATCGGTTTTATTTATTATTCATTTCTCTTTTTCTTGAGTAAGAGTTTCATTTTTATCACATTGGTATTTTAAATTAAATATGAAATTATTTTTTTCCGAGAAAGTGTAAAATTTTGGAAAAACATTTTCACGAAAATAAATTGTCACGCACAACGAGTCTGTGTGCAAAATGTCAGCTCGATTGGATCACGGGAAGTGGGTTAAAAAACGACCGAAAGATTTGCACGGTCGTAAGCGCGCAAGCAAGCAAGGAAGTGAACTTAATATAAAGGATTTAAAAAGTAACGTCATCTGTTGCCGTGTGACACACGACGATTGGTAGTCAAATGGTTTAATTGACGTATCGCGGCTTTAAATAAGTATATTCTGGTCTCAGAACCGGCGAATAAAATAAAAATGCCATCAAATTGATTTGTATAAACTGGATTTCCTTTCAATAAACTTATTTAAGGAGAAAAATCACACTGGAAGCACCCAGTGTGTGTACGTCCGAGTTGACACACGCTTCAAACCTGAGCCAACGGAATTGAGCCTGTACATTAATTGTCTTTTTACCGGAATCTTTATTTATCCTGAGAAAAAAAGATATGTACGCATCTTTAGCCAGCAAGATTGAGCAGCGGGTCTCTCAGAGACGCTCACAGATGCCGACAGCATCAACTCACTCGAACTTCTGGGACGCACTCTCTCTCCCACCACAATACCTCGAGACTGGTACAGCTCACGAATATTTGACACAAACTGGTGGTGGCCGCCATCAAATTGGGCCACGGTGGCTAGATGTTAACACCCTCGCCTGGTCTGCAGTAGGTCGTGGGTTCGATCCAGACCCGACGCCTGCTGTATATTTGGAGTTTGCGTGTCTCTCTCTCATCATCACAGTGGCTCGGAGATGTTAACGCCCTCGCCTGGTCTGCAGTAGGTCGTGGGTTCGATCCAGACCCGACGCCTGCTGCTGTATATTTGGAGTTTGCGTGTCTCTCTCTCATCATCATCACAGTGGCTAGATGTTAACGCCCTCGCCTGGTCTGCAGGAGGTCGTGGGTTCGATCCAGAGCCGATGCCTGCTGCTGTATACTTGGAGTTTGCATGTCTCTCATCATCACAGTGGCTCGGAGATGTTGTCGTGGGTTCGATCCAGACCCAACGCCTGCTGCTGTATATTTGGAGTTTGCGTGTCTCTCTCCATGCGCTTGCATGTGGATTTTTATCCGGGTCCTCCGTTTTTTTTCCTCCACATTTACAAATCGACATCACGCGTTCAGAGTATTTCGCTGCCACAAATTTCCACAAGATAAGCCACTTAGTTGAGCTATCATTTGTGACCAGGTTGCTTAAAAAAAAGCTATTTGGCTCAGTGAGCCTTACCTGGTAAAATAACTTTTTGTTTAATTGTGTATATCTATGAGTTATATACACGGTGCATTAGAACTGTCTAAGTTATATATTTACACTACATGTCGTTGTATTTTCTACGTGTGTGTAACTTGACACCGCAGACACGCAAAGCGAGAAATTCCATCTCTAGGTCCGTTTCTTATTTTTTACGGGCGAAATATCCGAACAAATAAAGAAAACTCTCAAATCGTTTCCCGTAAACCACTTCCCTGTGCTTGCACGCGAACTACTCTTGTGCGCCACTAACATTGCGTTACAATACTCTTAGGTTTTTTCGATAAAGTCACGTAGGTAAAAAATAATAAAATAATACATGAAAATAACTAAATGAAATCACGTTTCGGAGGCAACACAAGCCTCCGTCTTCAGGTGGGACTGTCACAACCAAATTTATTATATCTTGAAACGTCGTGATTTAATTTAGTAATTTTGACAGCCAAATTTACTGCATCTTGAAACAGTAAATTTGGCTGTGACGGTCCCACCTGAAGACGGAGACTTGTGTTGCCTCCGAAACGTCGTGATTTCATTTAGCTATTTTCATGTATTATTATTTTATTATTATTTTTTACCTACGTGTGAATTCTTGCAGTCACGAAAGCTTCAAATCTAGAATTGTGTTACAAGTATCAGAATTTTCATCTCATCTTCCACCGGAGGAATCCGATGAGCCAAAAAGCTCTTTTTTTCACAGATATCCAGTATCCACACGGTGACCTGAGTGCAGTAGCGAACGTTCCAAGAAGTACAAGAGAATATTACTGGTAGGAACCTCCTGGTTACACCAGCCCACAGGGGATTATTGTGTCCGTCCGTCGTGCAGGGAGGGGCTGGGTGGGAAGGGGAGGGTGGGGAGGGGCTGGGTGGGGAGAGAGGGGCTGGGTGGGGAGGGGAGGGTGGGGAGGGTGGGGGAGGAGTGGGACTGGGTGGGGAGGGGCTGGTCACCCCGTGGTGCCCTTATAAAACTCAACGTTCATCCTACAAAGTCCCATCGCAAGGGAGAAACACAGATTTATTTTTGCCTGTATTGAAACGGCTGTACGCCATATGGACCTGAAAACTCAATTTCCTTGTACAAGAATACGGGTAAACCGTATGGGTTGACAGGTAGACATTAAGGTTCAAAGAATAGTGACATTATTTTCATTACAAACAGCACAAGTTTTTTCCCCCCACATTTTCAATCAAAGTGACATTGGTTCCAAGGTGGTGGTAGTGAGGTTAGAGACTGTGTTGACTGGGCCATTGTGAGCATTCTATAAATTTCAACCAACAATCTCCGTGCGATCGACCAAACCCCTTCATTTGTATCTACTGTACATATATAGGCAATGACAATCTTCGGTCTTTTCCAGTGCACTGCCGCCTCCAATGTTGTTAACTTCGTTTCATCGTCGTCGCTATTTTTGGTCTGTACTGGGCAGTCGTAGCCATCGTAACGCTTGATGATTTCCATCCACTCAAAAGAGTCATCGTCGTTGACTAAAAAGCAGGAAACACTTTGGCGTCGAATGTTTTCGTCACTCATTCCGTTCACGAAGTTTGACGCTGCTCCGCCGGGGCACGAGGTCAGAGGTCGGGGCACAGGGTCAGAGGTCGGGGTACAAGGTCAGAGGTCAGGGCCGGTCAGCCCGAGATCTTCTTGAGAGCCGCACGCAGTGTCCGCTTCATAAAGGTGTCGCCGACCTCCACCATCGCGGCCAGGGTCGCACCGTGACCCCGTGTCACCTGCCACGGGTGGCAAAAGGTTAATGCACGCACACACACAGACAAAGATCCCGCGCATAGCCTGAACAGATCATTGGGGCAAGTACTGTTAGCGAGTAGAACCTGTGAGGGCCGGCACGGTATGTATGTTATGTATATTCTTGGTTCTTTCGGTAAAGTCACGTAGAAGGGAAATAATAAAATAAAAATAAAACAATAAAATTCCGTGTGGTTTTCACACCTGATGATGATTGCTTGTGTTGCAATCGAAACATCGTGAGAATTTTATTGTTTTATTTTTGTTATTTTATTATTTCCCTTCTACGCGACTTTACTGAAAGAACCAAGAATATGAATCCCTGCAGTCACGAAAGCTTTAAATCGAAATATATGTTTTGTATATTGAACTCCTTTCACACCGTACGTAGCCAACCGTGCTAATCGGAGGTGCGGGGAAAGGACAACAAACTAAACACAAGAAGTGGCTCTAAAGAAATTAGTTTTCAATCTCGATTTAAAAGTGGATTGTGGTATTGACAGTGTAGGATCGTATTGGTATTAGCAGTGGCTGCATCGATAGCATTGTCCGTATTTGGTCGTAGCGGCACGGTTGGATTTATCACGTAGACTAATCGGTAGTATAATTTCGATTTAAAGCTTTCGTGACTGCAGGGATTCATCTTCTTGGTTCTTTCGGTAAAGTCACGTAGAAGGGAAATAATAAAATAATAAAAATTTAACATTAAATAATTCTCACAACGTTTCGGCCACAACACAAGCAGCCATCCTCAGGTGAAGACCAGGTCTATTGGGGAGACAGCGTCTGACGCTGTCTCCCCGACGGCTGCTTGTGTTGTGGCCGAACCGTCGTGAGAATTATTTTATTATGTTTAATTTTTATTATTTTATTATTTCCCTTCTACGTGACTTTACCGAAAGAACCAAGAAGATAATCGGTAGTAATCGCGGCCGTATTGACCGTGCAGGCTCGTAGCGGTGGCGGTGAAAATGGTTGAGCTCACCTGAGCCCCATGCTTGTTCACGAGCGCCAGCAGGAGCTTGGCGAACTTGAGGGACTTGGCGAACGACGCTGCATGCGCCGACATCACCACCACCAGCATCTCCACCTCCTCTGCGTTCAGCTCCATCTTTAAGGGATGGCAACACAACACGCTATTTTGTGTCCTGGGCACCACGGTGGCTATGAGATGTGGTGGTGGTGGTGGTGATGAGGTGTTTCGATATTTGAAAGAGGTGGCGATGGAGAGGAAACGTTTCTTGTCCCACAGTTCACCTTTCGGTCCAGTGCGGCCTGCAAGACGGTGAGGAAGCCCTCACCCCAGCACACGCCCGGGCTGCTCACCAACAGCCTGGTCACCAGCAAGCACACGAATCACAAAGCAACACAGAAGACTGTTGGGGCCAATGCCGGCGATGCACCTATGGAGGGGGTGGTGGTGTGGACAGAAACACCACGCCCGGCCGCCTTTGTCTCCGCAGTGCCGATGTTTTGTAAACGCCGAAACCAGGTGCTCACTTAAGGCCGAGTATAGCTACGAGAGGTCCAGGACCAAATCAGGTCAGATGAACGCCACTGTTATTGGTCGCGAGCGGGAATGGAACGTGGGTCGCCGGTTTGTAGCGCAGCACGCTAATTACGCTGCTACTCTCCACAACACAAACAAAAACAAAAGCCCCCCATATAGCCTTGAACAGACTATTTAGGGCAAGTGCTGTTACCAAGCAGCACTTATGAAGACCGGCACAACACACCGGCAGCGATGATTACACACCGCACCTGGTGCTCATTTGAGGCCCGAGTCGACCTAGGGGAGGCCCAGGACCGGTTCACACGAACGCCATCGCTATTTTTCGATTTAAAGCTTTCGTGATTGCAGGGATTCATCTTCTTGGTTCTTTCAGTAAAGTCACGTAGAAGGGAAATAATAAAATTTAAAAAATAAAACATTATAAAATTGTATAAAATTGTATTATTTTTATTATTTAAATAAAACATAATAAAATTGTATAAAATTGTACTTTATTATGTTTTATTTTTATTATTTTATTATTTCCCTTCTACGTGCCATCGCTATTGACCGCGAGCGGGAATCGAACTCGGGTCGGCGGGTTCCTGAGCGCGACGCACCGACCATCGTACTCCACCGCTCTCCGCACACAACACGCCCTACGGGTGCTCGTACACAGAATCGAGGAATGTGCGGGTGGCAGAGGAGGAGGCTCTGAAGTGGTGAACGGCCCCTCCTGCTCCGCTGACCTGAGGAGACTTGGGAGATCGTCGGAGGCCAGGTTGTCACGGATGACCCTGCACATGAACTCCACTTGGAAAGGCCCTGCCGAGACAAACACGTGGGTTAACGGCGACGGCGTCGCAGCTAAAGGGACGTGCCAGGGCATCCCAGCCACTGTGAACCATCTGAGACACAATGCTCGATGCACTACAGCAAGAGACCCATAGACTCACACAGAGACCCATAGACTCACACAGAGACCCATAGACTCACATAGAGACCCATAGACTCACACAGAGACCCATAGACTTACACAGAGACCCATAGACTCACACAGAGACCCATACTCACACAGAGACCCATAGACTCACACAGAGACCCATAGACTCACACAAAGACCCACAGACTCACACAGAGACCCCATAGACTCATACAGAGACCCACAGACTCACACAGAGACCAATAGACTCTCACAGAGACCCATAGACTCACACAGCGACTCATAGACTCACACAGAGACCCATAGACTCACACAGAGACCCATAGACTCACACAGAGACCCATAGACTCACACAGAGGCCCATAGACTCAGAGAGACCCATAGACTCACACAGAGACCCATAGACTCACACAGAGACCCATAGACTCACACAGAGACCCATAGACTCACACAGAGGCCCATAGACTCACACAGAGACCCATAGACTCACACAGAGACCCACAGACTCACACAGAGACCCATAGACTCACACAGCGACTCATAGACTCACACAGAGACCCATAGACTCACACAGAGACCCATAGACTCACACAGAGGCCCATAGACTCAGAGAGACCCATAGACTCACACAGAGACCCACAGACTCACACAGAGACCCACAGACTCACACAAAGACCCATAGACTCACACAAAGACCTTTGTTATCCTTCCCCCGCACCTCCGATTAGCACGGTTGACTATGTACGGTGCGAACGAAGTTCAACGTACACGCGTACGTACCCAGCTCGCTCGTCTGCGTCAGCGGCAGCAGGCACGCTGCACAGCCCTGCTTGGGGTAGGAGCTGCAAAACGATCCAAGGGCCCCCGACAGCAGCCTCGACGCCGGCTGTTCCAGGCTGGACAGCTGGGCGGGCGCGCACGGCACAGGCAACATCAAATGAACTCACGAGCGACGGAAAAAAAAAACAGGGCTTTACTCTTTCCAGCAAGAGTACAGGTTTTTACGATTTTATCTGGCACCAAAACTGACACCTTTATACAAGGGATCATGTTTGCAATAACCACAACACAAGCAGTCGAAATGCAAACAAAAAGAGACAACTCTGATGATGTATGCACTGTCCTTGAAGTTGATTGGTCCACACCCTGAGACGGCTTTTCTTAGAGCCTAGTCTCCACTGGTGTTGGACCAGATGACGCCAAAAGGCATACAACTCAAAAACACTCTGATAGTGCGCTGTTTTTGAGTTGTACGCCTTTTGGCGTTATCTGGTCCAACACCAGTGGAGACTAGGCTCTAAGAAAAGCCGTCTCGGGTGTGGACCAATCAATTTCAAGGACAATGCATATCATTATCAGAGTTGTCTCTTTTTGTTTGCATTTTGACCGCAAGTGTTGTGGTTATTGCAAACATGATCCCTTGTATAAAGGTGTCACTTTTGGTGCCAGACAAAAGGGTCAAAACCTATTACTACTACTAAGAGACCAGGTGTTGACCCTTTCCCGTTCCGAGATGCGTGCAAAGTTGCAAGGGTGTGGGTCCCGTTCGCCACTTTGGCGGGCGGACACGACGGGACGGAGAAGACCTCGGACAGGTCCGTAGCGAAGGTTTTTTTTGGGTTAGATCGCGTGAATATAAAATGCGTCTAATAGGGTTTTTCCCCTTTTTTCTGGCAACAAAACTGACACCTTTTGCAAGGAATCATGCTTACATTAACCACAATACTTGCAGTCAAATGCAAACAAAAAACAATACTCTGATAATTTATGCATTGTCTTTGAAACTGATTGGTCCACACCAGAGACAGCTTTCTTTAGAGCCTAGTCTCATATGGTGTTCGACCAGATGACGCCAAAAGGCGTCATCTGGTCGCATTTGACTGCAAGTATTGTGGTTAATGTAAGCATGATTCCCTGCAAAAGGTGTCAGTTTTGTTGCCAGAAAAAAGGGGAAAACCCCTATTAGTATATTTTGGTACTGGCAAAGGAGGTCCCATGATAAAATGCGTCGTTAGGCCACGGCACCGCCCCACCTTGGAAAGGAAAAGCTCCCGGGCGAGCTGCGTGGAGGCCGCATGTCCGATCTTGGGGGTGAGAGCAGCCACGGCCGTCGCCAGGAGAGCGACGCTTTCCTCCGGCAACGTCGCGGCTCCCAGCGCCGCGCACACGGCAGAGACCTGCGCAGATACCAGAGCCGCCGCACAGCACTGGTCGTGAACTCCACATTGTCACCCTCTCATCATCATCACGGTGGCTAGGAGATGTTAACTACCTCGCCTGGTATACAGGAGGTCGTGGGTTCCATCCCGACGCCTGCTGCTGTATATTTGAAGTTTGCGTGTCTCTCTCTCTCTCTCATCGTTGCTTTTAAAGCTTTCACAGAACATTTTGAGGTGGTCATGCATGTGTCTCTTTCCATCTGTCCTTCAGTAACGGGTGGGAGGTTGGGTTCCTTAACTCACGTAAAGATGATCCGAAATTAATGAAACTTTGGTGGTAGATTGTGTTGCTTTTAAGGACTCATCTTATTTAACAGCGGCCAAATTTTACGAAAGGGTTGCCCAAAAAATGTGGAGGCACAAACCAGGGCACCACAGAGGACAATTTGCAAAAATGCATATACGCATTTTGCCCCGACAGCTACCCGGTCAGATGCCATACGGCTAATTAAATACTTCCTAGGGCAAATACACACTGGAACGCGTTACACAGGAACCACGCATACACGGGACTAGCCGAGTTCGCTCATTAACTTTGACCTCCTCCGTGTTCATTCTGCTCACCTGCTCTGGCCGGCACTCATTCAGCAAGGACAGCTCAGCAGGGCTCGATTCCTCCATGCCTGGAAACTGCCAAATAAATGAAATAGATGTAAATCATTGCAGCATTAAACTTAGCACTAACAACCCTCACGTTCACCTTAACACTAAGCCCAACAAGATCACGCTTGATCCTAGGCACAACTTAACCCAACCCCAGTCCTAACTCTAATCCTAGACCTAGACAAAACCCTCGCCATAACTATATCTCTAGACCTTATCAATAACCTAACAAAGCTTGACATTTAACTTGACGCTAGACCCAACCACGCTCACAGTAATCCTATACTTAACAAGCCTCATCCTGAGCTAACAAGATTAACCATAACAAGCCTGATACTGGTAGGAACCTCCTGGTTACAACAGCCCACAGGGGATTATTATTGTGTCCGTCCGTCCGTCGTGCATCCAAAAATGGGAGAGGTGGGGCTGGGTGGAGAGGGGAGGGTGGGGAGGGGCTGTGTGGGGCTGGGTGGGGGGTGGGAGGGGTGGGCTGGGTGGGGAGGGGCTGATCACCCCATGGTGCCCTTATAAAACTCAACGTTTAACCTATTCACACCGGCTTGTGCCCGCCCTCAGTCGAGCATATTTGCGGAATACACCACGCCGCCGTTGACCCTGGCCATTGACCGAGCAACCCAACGTTCCTACCAGCTCCCTCCGCAGAAATGTGTTGATAATCCCATACCTATGTAGCCTTACCCTAATCGACCTCAACTGTAGACCTAACAAGCCTAACATTAACACCAAACCTAACAAGCCCGATCATCAGCATAAAATATTGAACTCTAACCTTAACCCAGCAAACCTTAACCCCATCTCAACTCTAACAAACCCAATTATAGCCCTTATAATGCCATGCATCATAAATAGACTATTATTATTCAATGATTTAATATTTAAGTTCACACAAACCTCACAACTTGCTTCCAGCCACTCCTTCACTTTAGCAACCTTTTCCTGAAAAAACAACAAATGATCTTTTTTAATCAGCATATAGCAATAATTCATTTAAAAGCCCTTTGCCAACTCATTGTTAAGACTGACAGCCTGCCGCATGCCAGACCAGGCGTGATGGGTTTGTTTGGTCATACTTCACCACGCTGGTCAGTGTGGGCTGGTGCATGGTGTGTCCAGGACTGATCCAAATATCCATTGCCACTGATGTTAGCTGTGCCCGAAAAACTTTAAATTCAGGTCGTGGGTTCGTAGCGCAGTGCACGAACCACCTAACACCGAGGTTTGCCGCGATAGCATTTTTCACCAAGCGCACGGCATCAAAACTTGCTTTGTGTATAGTTTGTTGTCCTTCCCCCGCACCTCCAATAAGCGCTTTTGGCTACGTAGGGTGCGAAAGAAGTTCAACAACATACATAGACTCACACAGAGACCCATAGACTCACACAGAGACCCACAGACTCACACAGAGACCCATAGACTCCCACAGACCCATAGACTCTCACATAGACCCATGGACTCACATACAGACCCATAGACTCACGCAGAGACCTATAGACTCGCACAGAGACCCATAGTTTGTGGTATTTCTCCTGCACCTCCGATTAGCACGGGTGGCTACGTATGGTGCAAAAGAAGTTCAACAACATTCATAGTTTCCCATAACTTTGTATTCCTGTACTTCCAGGAGGCATGAAGATTCACTTGCAAGTTCTTAAACTGCAGTTAACTCAAACACAAGCCTGCCCTCTTTCTAATCCCTCCAAAACCTATAACCGTGATAACGCACGCGCGTAATTATCGACATTCACTCCTCATTTTCCCGTGCGATCGCTAATAAGGCTTGAAAAAAGCGTACACGAAATCCACAACGCGAGTGATGACCTTGATGTGCGGCGGAAGGCCCTGCTCCGGCTCGACTTTCGGAAACGGCAACTCGTCCAAAATGTCGACGCCGCCGCCGCCATCGCCGCCTCCACCATCGCTCGACTCCCGAGGACCCGGCACGGGCGTCCCGGGATCTCCTCCCAGCACTGCCCGACCGGACGCGCTCAAATCGTCGGCGTGCCGGGGGGAGTCGAGGCGTGGCCGTTTGGGGGCGACGGTCGCGTTTCCGCTCTCGCCGCCGCCGCCATCGTCGCCGCCATCGTCGTCGGGCACCGGGCGCTTCCGCGTGCCAGACGGTGCGGGGTCACAGGTCACCCCGACGGTGCCTTCGTCGTCCGAGCCGCGCCTGAAGAGAACGATGTGGCGCAGCAGTCGTTCGTTAGATGCTCACCCCGAGCCCTCATTACTTTGATAGTGCATCGTCTTTGAGCTGCACGCCTTTTGGCGTCCTTTGATCTAGCACCAATTGAGACGAGGCTCAAAAGAAAGCCGTCTCTGGTGTGGACCAATCAGTTTCAAGGACAATGAATAATTTATCAGTGTTTTTTGTTTGTATTTTGACCACAAGTATCGTGGTTAATGCAGACATGATTCCTCGTGAAAAGCTTTCAGTTTTGTTGCCAGAAAAAAGGGGAAAAACCCTATTATTAGGTATGCATACGTACACACTTCCCGGTGAGCATTTGCATTCAGGCCCGTCGGCATCTTACGCGTCGCAATCGATGGCACTTACACTCACCCGGGAACCACCAACACCGGCGTCTCCCCACGCTCTGCCTGCCGAGCCGTGCCCACGTGATTGGCGGCGTCCCTGCGGTGCCCACCGCCGCCCTGGCAGCGCGAGCGCGCCCGCAGCCTCTCGCAGAGGGCGGCGTAGCGGGCACGCCACACCTCGCTCACCGCTCCGCCACCTTCGGAGGGAGACGAGACGAAACACGCGAGACGGGATTTCGGGTCGCGCTTACCGGGCGTCACTGGGCTCGTTGTCCCGACGTTCCGCTCCGCACGCCGGGAGCCGCGATTCAATTCCCCGTAGATCACGGGGGGAGGTACACAACTCGAGAAAGACATAGGAGAGAAGGATATCGGTGAATTCTCAACTCTCTTTCCGAAAGACTTGTTCTTCACCTGAGGACGGCTGCTTGCGTTGTGGCCGAAACGTCGTGAGAATTACAGTGCCGGCCTTCATAGGTGCTCGCTAACAGCACTTGCCCCTACAGTCTGTTAAGGCTACACGGGGGATCTTTGTTATTATTCTTAGTCCTTTCGGTAAAGTCACGTGGAAGGGAAATAATGAAATAATATAAACAAAATTAAATAATAGAAATAAAACTAAAAAATCTAATTCTCACGACGTTTCGGCCACAACGCAAGCAGCCGTCCTCAGGTGAAGAAACAGCTGTCGGAAAGACACGTAGAAGGGAAATAATAAAATAATAGAAATACAACTCAATTCTCACGACGTTTCGGCCACAATGCAAGCAGCCGTCCTCAGGTGAAGAAACAGCTGTCGGAAAGACACGTAGAAGGGAAATAATAAAATAATAGAAATACAACTAAATTCTCACGACGTTTCGGCCACAATGCAAGCAGCCGTCCTCAGGTGAAGAAACAGCTGTCGGAAAGACACGTAGAAGGGAAATAATAAAATAATAGAAATACAACTAAATTCTCACGACGTTTCGGCCACAACGCAAGCAGCCGTCCTCAGGTGAAGAAACAGCTGTCGGAAAGAGACCTGAGGATGGCTGCTTGCGTTGTGGCCGAAACGTCGTGAGAATGTTATTTTATGTTTTATTTATATTATTTGATTATTTCCCTTCTACGTGACTTTACCGAAAGAACCAAGAAGATGGGTAAAGGACTCCAATCGCAAGGGGATAACATCTCAGTGGGCTCTAGCCTGGTTAAAGTTCAGGACAAATGGCTGTAAAAAATTATTGGCGACCAGACTCTCGACACTCAAGAGGTTTTATCACGGGCGACTGAAACACGGATTCGAAAAGCCAGGGTCTTGGCAGTGCCGGTTCCGCGTCACCGATACGGTGCGACAACAATTATAAACAACAATTATAACAAGTAATTTTCAATTCGTAACGCGCACAGCATTCACTCGCTCTCTCAAAGAAAGAGAACGACTCGGAGGCTCGAGGAAGAACCACAGACAAGCAGGAGGGCGCAGCGGGTACGGCTGCAGCGGTGAGCTGGCGCAAACATTTGCCCAAGTGCTGCGGTTCTTCCCCGAGCCGCGTAGCCACCTCAAACAAATTCACGTTAAGTTCACCCAAGGGGTCGTGGTGATGGGGGTGGTAGTTGGGTGGGATGGGGTCACTTGCCATCATCCACGCGCTGGCTCAGGGGCGCCATCGTCCGTGCGGCGACGCGGACCCAGGGGTCGCAGGTCGCGGCGGGGTGCAGCAGGGCGCGGCGCAGCAGGGCGAGCGCTGGAGCGGGGACTTCGTCTCGGACGGCGCTCAGCAGCGACACGACGGAGCGCTGGAGGCTCACGGGAAGCCGCAGCAGCGCGGGCAGCCTGCCACACGCAGGGGGCGAAGTCAGGGGTCACAGGGGTCACGGTGGACAAACCAGTGCATCGTAGCCCTTGTCCACCGGCGGCAACAGCCGAGTCGAGCCAGCGAGTGGCGCTATAATAGCTCCGCTATCATAGCGGGCGCTATAACGCGAGTCTAGCGCGTGACGGACTACTCGGGGGGTGTGGGGGGGTAGAGGGGTGTGGGTGGATAGAAGGGTGTGGGGGGGTTAGAGGGGTGTGAGGGGACTTAGGGGGGTGTGGGGCCGTCCATAAATGACGTCATGCACCTAGGGGGGGTCAGACATTTGTGACGATGTGACAAGGGGGGGGGGGGGGTTGAGAAATGTGACGTCACATCAAAATGCACAACTTTAAATAAATATAGACAACACGTTCTACTTAATTAAATAGACTTTTTTATAGTAAATACGCACTACAATGACAATAGTTTAAAGCGATTTGAAGCATGTTTTATTTTGGGGGGGGGGGGCAAAGTTTTGTGACGTCATATTTGAGGGGGGTCTGACTTTTTGTGACGCCGTGTGACTAGGGGGGGGGGGTCAAAAATCGTCCAAAATCGCGTGACGTCATTTATGGACGGACCCTATGGGGGGAGGCTAGGGGGATGTGGGGGTAGGGGGGTGGGGGGGGTTAGGGGGTGTAGAAGGGTGGGGGGTCAGGGGGGTGTGGGGGGGTTAGGGGGTGTGGGGTATTAGGGGTATGGGGGGGGGGGCTAGGGGGGTGTGGGGGTAGAGGGTGTGTGGGGGAAGAGGGGTGGGGGGGGTTAGGGGGGTGTGCGGGTAGGGGTGTGTGGTGTGTGGTGTGGGGGGCTAGGGGGGGCATGGGGGGGGCTCGGGGGGTGTGGGGGTAGGGGGGGTATGGGGGGGGGAGGCTAAGGGGGTGTGGGGGTATGGGGGGTGGCTAGGGGGGTTCGGGGTATGGGGGGGGGGGTTAGGGGGGTGTGGGGTAGGGGGATGTGGGGGGCTAGTGGGGTTAGGGGTATGGGAGGGGGGCTAGGGGTGTGTGGGAAGGCTAGTGGGGTTAGGGGTATGGGGGGGGCTAGGGGGGTGTGAGAGGGCTAGTGGAGTTAGGGGTATGGGGGGGGGCTAGGGGGGTGTCTTGCTTGCTGCAAACCCCAAACACAACCGCGAGAAGAAACACCCACCCCCCGACTCGACAGCGCCCTCTGCGCAACTCACAGCGCCAGGCGCGCGGTCTGCCCCGGCCCCGCGCCAGGCACCTCCCCGCACACCTCCTCCACCAGCTCCGCCACCAGCGGCCCCCACGCCGCCGGCGAGCCTCGGGCCTCCAGGCGCCGGACACACGCCAAGCCCGCGGCCTCGGGTCGCCGGGCCACCAGGAGAGCGTGGCGCAGCAGCAAGAGGCGGCGGCGATGGTGGTGGTGGCGGGCAGGGAGGGGATGGTCCAGAAAGCTCCCGAGATCCATGGCGAGTAGCGTCTATTGAAGGCCGGCAACCACGCCCGGATGTATTTGTCTCCCCCAGCGGTGGTTTTACACACCGCACTAGGTACTCATTAGAGGCTGAGTCGACCTAGAGGTGGGGGCAGGACTGGTTCGGATCATCCGTGAGCGGTGTTGGTGGCCGTGAGCGGGAATCGAACTCGGGTGGTCGTGGTTTCGTAGCGCTAACCGCTGCGCCACCGCTCCCCACGCGCACAGCACTGACCCAACAACTCCTTACTGATGCGACACGGCGTGGATTGACAAAGATAGCGTGAAATATCACGCGTGGAAAATTACATTATCTCTCGAGAAATTAGCTCGTTATGAGGGTAAATAAAATAATATATGTTTACTGCGCGTGCAGTACACAGCTAACAAACAGCGTAGTCGGGAAAGTATTTTACGCACGCGGCGAAAAGGGAGTACAATTAATACATGTTAGAGAGACAACGAGACTCGGTGAAATGTTTACAAATGTCAATTCGTCTCGAGAAATGACGAGAGAAAAAGTTGTGCGGCGACTTTAAAAATGCCATCGTAAATTTGGCGCCAAACAGTGACGCGAAACGAGGACGTTCGCGGCGGTGACGTCATGTAACCCGCGCCCAATTGATTTCGTGTGCGGCGTTGACGACCGTTGCGATGACGTCACGCACCAATCGACAACACCTTACGCAATGACGTCATGCTCAAAAGGCAACGATGACGTCACGGATAACGTCCGTTGACACTTGCGCGATGACGTCACGGGCGGGTCGCTAAGCCTCGCGCGCCGATTGACCCCCCCCGATGACGTCACGCAAGGCCGTTTGTGTTTTTTTTTACTTTTTATATTTTTTATATATTACAAATGTCATCGCGAATTACTTTACACCGTCGCTATCGTAAGTCGACGTCGCAATGTACGAGTCAAATAAATATATACTTTTAAATCCATTTTTTTAAAATTTGCTCGTTCAATCGTCAACGAACGAAAATTTGAATATCGAACGGACCAATCAGAGGGGGGCTCGCCGAGTCGCGTCCGTTGAGGCGCCAACGTTGAAGTCGCCGTGAGGTGAGGCGAGTCGCGAATTCGCAACTTAAAACTTTAAGTTTTAACGCTTTCGTAGGAAATATGCTTTCGCAAACAATATCGATCATATCGGTGGGGGGGGGAGGTTAGATCGCTTAAATATCTAAAAGTGTCGTGAAATCCGCCACCACCCGATTAATAAGCGGCTTGTCATGTTAACAACGCGTAGCCAATTCGTTATAATCTTCTTGGTTCTTTCGGTAAAGTCACGTAGAAGGGAGATAATAAAATAAAACAATAAAATAATACAATGTTTTATTTGTATTATATTATCTCCCTTCTACGTGACTTTACCGAAAGAACCAAGAAGATGAATCCCTGCAGTCACGAAAGCTTTAAATCGAAATTTTATTCGTTATTAGTTTAACACTTCGGAGGCTTTCGCGACAATATCCATAATGTAGAGGGGTTTTCTTGGAGTTAAATCGCGTAAATATAAACATAACGTTAAACCCGACACGGCAAATATGTAAGGTTTTACCACGTAAACACACAACGTGCCCAATGCCTTACTAAGTACGGCAAATACAGTCAATGTTGTGGATTCTATTCTTATTCTTAGGGTTTTTTCGGTAAAGCTACGTAGGTAAAAAATTAAAATTTGTCGTGTTTGTGTTATTATTATTTTATTTTACTTTTATTAATTTAAATGTTTTACCTACGTGACTTTACCGAAACAACCTAAGAATATGAATCATTGCAGTCACGAAAGCTTCAAATCTAGGATTCTATTCTTGGTTGATAATTGTTTTTTTTAACCCTTTTATCTGGCAACAAAACTGACACCTTTTTTTACAAGGAGTCATGTTTGCATTCACCACAATACCTGCGGTCGGAATGTCAAAGTAACTACTAAACGAAAGTTTGTTTTTATTTTACCAGGTAAGGCCCCACTGAGCTATTTAGTTCTTCTTCAGAAGTAACCTGCCCATAAATGAAAGCTCAACTCAGTGGCTTATCATGTGGAAATTGATAGTGGCAGCCAAACAATCTGAACGCGCGACGTTGATTCTAAATGTGGAGGGGAAAACCGAAAGATCCAAAGAAAAATCCACGCGACCACAGGGAGAGATACTCAAACTCCAAATATACAAACAGGCGTCAGGATCAGGATCGAACTCACGACCTCCTGCATAGCAGGCGAGGGAGATATCATCTCACCTCCGCGGCACCCCATTTATAGTAGTAAGTTTTTACCCTTTTAAACTGGTACAAAACTGACACCTTTATTCAAGGTATCATGTTTGCAATAACCACAACACAAGTAGTCAAAAAAGCAAACAAAAAGAAGCAACTCTGATAATGATAATAATATGCACTGTCCTTGAAGTTGATTGGTCCACACTCGAGACGGCTTTCTTTAGAGCCTAGTCCCCATTGGTGTTGGACCAGATGGCACCCCATTTGTTAGAAATCGATGGTCTGTCTCTAAATGGGCTGCGGTGCTTCGTGCGAACTCTGAATGTTGCTGCATGCAGGGGGTCCAGCGAGCAGAGATGGAGAAGAACAACCAGGAGAAGCATTTGGAAGTGTGCGATGACATCATCAGCTTTTTCACAAGTGATCTCAAACCCAAGGAGAACATGGACATGGCCTTGGAAATGCAGCGGAACATGATGGAGAATTGGGTGGTGCAGAGCGAGGAGGCCATCCAAGCGCTGAAAGGTGCAGGATGCTTTCGCACGCCGTAGTCTCCATCACATCCATGTGTTTTAAAGCGAAAGATGAGGGTGTGTCTTCTAAGCCGAACTGTATATCATCTTAACACGTAGCAGGCTTTCGCGACCAATATTATTCATAATCAACGTTTTTGGGTTTAGATCGCGTTATTTATAAATGTGTCGTAACCCTCCACCACCCGACACGGCCAATCAGCAAAAAAGTGTCACGTTGACAAAAGACAAATAGCCCACCGGTGTGTTGAAGCGTGTAAATGTTGTGGTTTCACGCTTCAACACACCGATGGGCTAAAGCAGTGAACTATTTGTCTTTAAATCTTAATTTGGAGCTTTCGTGACTGCAGGAATTACTCTTTGGTTCTTTCGGTAAAGTCACGTATAAAGATTATTTAATTTAATATTTTATCTTTATACGTGACTTTACCGAAAGAACCAAAGAGTATTTTTCTTTTGTCAACGTGACACTTTTTTACTGATTGGCCGTGTCGGGTGGTGGAGGGTTACGACACATTTATAAATAACGCGATCTAAACCCAAAAACGTTGATTATGAATGTATATCATCTCTTGTTCATTTCTCGAACCTGTATCTCTCATCTACAGCTCTCTCCTCTCGTTCATCTCTATCGTCTGGCCCGCGAACCGCCAGTTGGAAGAAGCTTCCTCTCAATGACATGGTCACGCTGCATGATCATTATTAGGGAGTAGCTACTACTGGTAGGCGGGTGGGTAGGAACACATACCTCCCTTGACGATTTCGGGGTCAGCATCATAGTCAAAGCGCACGAGGGGGGGAACCATGTATCTGGGAGAGACAAGGTTTGGATTACAACTACTAAGTTTTTTTATTTTACCAGGTAGGGCCCACTGACCTATGTAGCTCAGAAGCAATTTGGCCACATGATAACTCAACAAAGTCGTTTATCATGTGGAAATGTATAGCAGCCGAATGCATTCATCTGAATGCATTCATCTGAATGTGGCCCTGGAGAAAAATCCATGCAACCACGGTGAGAGCATGCAAACTCCAAATACACAGCAGGCGTCAAGATCGGGGTCGAACCCACGACCTCCTGTACACGAGGCGAGGTAGTTAGCATCTTGCCGCCGTGGCGCCATTTATAAGATGCCACGAAAAGTGAGGCTTGCCACAAACTTGCTCCTTACGTCACTTACCGGATAAAAAAAAAATGCACCCTGCAGATTTTGCTTTAAGGTGCAGGGGAAAATGTGCGCCTTGTAATCTGGAAAATGTTTACGCCGTGCAACTGGGCTGCACCGGCGCCGTAGCTCGGGAGGCACCAGGTAAAAAAATGTTCCACTGCAGAAGCTGAGCTGTGCCACTTACTGCTTTGTGTGTTTAGTTTATTGTCATCCCCCCGCGCCTCCGGTTACGTATGTTGTGAAAGAAGTTCAACATACCTCTCGCCTCTGCTCCTCTCTGTACCTCTCAAAAGAATGACGAAATGAAATCCACACATTCGGACTTTGCTAAAGCGCCACAGGGTTGTCATCGACGAGACTTAAGCTTTGGCTAAAACGCCGGCCTAATTTAACACTGAGAAAAAAAACCCTCCTCCCCTCCCCGGCGTTTGCGCGCCTCACTGCAGACAAGAATACGCTGAAGATGGCGCGGGAGGAGATGATGCTGGCGACGAATGACCTCGGTACGGCGAAGCGGGAGCTGGAGCAGGTGAATGCCGAGCTGCAGCAGAAGCTGCAGGAGCGGGAGGAGCAGCGGCAGGCGCTGGCATATCCTTGGACGTGCGGGCGCGTACGCAGCGACCTCCGCGCAGGGCTGGGTCACGAGAATTTAATATAGAATAGAACGTTTATTTATCCTAGAGAATCCGATGAGCTACAAATCGTTTTTTTCCACAGATGTCCGGTAGGGGCACGGAGTTGGAACGTTACAACAGCAAACGGTACAAAAACACGATAGGAGTGCGGAATATAGGAAAGGTAAACAGATCACTTAAATAAAATATACAAATTGAAACTTAACTATTTTTATATTACCAGCTAAAGGCCACTGAGGCATTAACTTATACTGGTAGGAACCCACTGGTTCCACCAGCCCACGTGATTATTGTGTCCGTCCATCCGTCGTGCAGGGAGGGGGTGGGTGGGGCTGGGTGGGGAGGGGCTGGTCACCCCGTGGTGCCCTTATAAAACTCAACGTTTAACCTACTCACGCCGGCTTGTGCCCGCCCTCACAATCGGCCATATTTGCGGAATACACCACGCCGCCGTTGACCCTGGCCATTGACCGAGCAACCCAACGTTCCTACCAGCTCCCTCCGCAGGACAATGTGTTTTTTCAGAAGCGATCTGGCCACAAATGATAGCTCGACAAATTGGCTTGGCGTGTGGAAATTTTAGAGCGGCAAAATAATCTAAATGCAAGAAAATCTTGAGAGCCATCGCTGAACACTCGCGTTACGACTCCTCGTAACTTCACGAATGTCAAATGTCGTAACTGCCTGGACATCTGTGAAAAAGATCTTTATAGCTCATCGGATTCCTCCAGCGTGAATAAACATTCTGATAGTTATACATTTGCGCCGTCTGCAAATTGTGGCCGAGGACGTTGAAGCTCCCGTGATGTTATTCCTAAGAGCACCCCCCCTCCGTGCGTGGCAGCATCTGAAGTCCAAATGCGATAAATTACCCTTCGATCGCTTGGTTGGTAGAAACCGTGGGTTTAACATCGCCCCCGTGCTGATAGCCCGCACCCCTGTACGTGCAAGGTCTGTTTTGCGTGAACCTTGCGCTGCGTAGGATTCGTCTGCCACACCGAGTGGACCCCTCGGCTGAAGTTGGAAGCGGGGCATTGGAAGGCGGTCACTGCGTCGTGCTTTTAGATGTATTTCTACTGCTGTCTGGGACTCTCTGCCTTCCAATATTAGGAAGCCACTCAAGCTATGCGCTTTTAAATATAGATCGTAAACTAATTTGTTTAGAACGGCTTTTTGTGTTTAGTTTGTTGTCCTTCCCCCCCCCCGCACCTCTGATAAGCACGCTGGCTATGTACGGTGCGAAAGACGTTCAACATACATACATAGACTCGCACAGAGACCCATAGACTCAGACAGACCCATAGACTCACACAGAGAGCCATAGACTCACACAGAGAGCCATAGACTCACGCAGAGACCCATAGACTCACACAGAGACCCATAGACTCGCACACAGACCCATAGACTCAGACAGAGACCCATAGACTCGCACAGAGACCCACAGACTCACACAGAGACCCATAGACTCAGACAGAGACCCATAGACTCGCACACAGACCCATAGACTCAGACAGAGACCCATAGACTCACACAGAGACCCACAGACTCGCACAGAGACCCATAGACTCACACAGAGACCCACAGACTCAGACAGAGACCCATAGACTCGCACACAGACCCATAGACTCAGACAGAGACCCATAGACTCGCACACAGACCCATAGACTCAGACAGAGACCCATAGACTCAGACAGAGACCCACAGACACACAGAGACCCATAGACTCACACAGAGACACATAGACTCACACAGAGACCCATAGACTCGCACAGAGACCCATAGACTCACACAGAGACACATAGACTCACACAGAGACACATAGACTCACACAGAGACCCATAGACTCGCACACAGACCCATAGACTCACACAGAGACACACAGACTCACACAGAGACACACAGTTTGTTGTCCTTCCCATGCACCTCCGATGAGCACGGTTGGCTCCGTACGGCGCGAAAGAAGTTGTGCGTACGTGCGTTGCGACTGCGGTGTTAAGCAGGCGTCGTGAGCCCATGGGTCGATTTAGCCCCTTGACCGACGTCGCACTCGCTGCCTGGCCGAACTTGAGGAGATGAAGAACTTGGAGAAGGAGCTGAAGCTCCAAGAGGAGGACATCACGGTGGAGTTGACCGACGTCATCCCCAGCACCAAGTACGCGCGCGTTCACGCGCGCCCGGTCGTCGCGTTTTGTTGTAAATTAATTATATCGATCCGACCAGGGGGGGGAGTAAGGGGGGGGCGGGATGTACAACTTCCACGACGGGTGAGTGGTGCGTCGCCAGCAAGGCGGCTCGGACAGACGGCCAACGCGGACGCGTAGCTACCCATAGCGTTACGCGGCACGTGCGTCAGATCCATTTTCTTCGGGGAAAGAGGTGGGGGGGAGGGGTAGTCGAGTCTCATTTCCAAACTCTCTCCCAGGTACATGGTTCACCTCATGTCCAAGCTGACGCTCGTGCGCTTCGACTACGATGCTGACCCTGCAATCGTCAAGGGAGGTACGTGTTCCTACCCGCCCGCCTGCCTACCAGTAGGTGCTCCCTAGTGGTGATCGTGCAGTGTGAGCGTGTCGACGAGAGGAGGAGGGTACTCGCAACTGATGGCCCGCTGGCCAGATGTGACCCCCCTCGCCCACTGATCTACGTTATGGCCTGAGCAAGACGGAGACAGATCAGTGAGATGACGAGACGGATGCACAAGAGAGGAGAGAGCTGTCGACGAGAGATACAGAACACATTCCTGCAGAGGGAGCTGGTAGGAACGTTGGGTTGCTCGGTCAATGGCCAGGGTCAACGGCGGCGTGGTGGATTCCGCAAATGTGGCCGACTGTGAGGGTGGGCACAAGCCGGCGTGAGTAGGTTAAACGTTGAGTTTTATAAGGGCACCACGGGGTGACCAGCCCCTCACCACCCAGCCCCACCCCTCCCCACCCAGCCCCTCCCCACCCAGACCCTCCCCACCCAGCCCCTCCCCACCCTCCCCTCTCCACCCAGCCCCACCCCTCCCATTTTTGTATGCACGATGGACGGACACAATAATCCCCTGTGGGCTGGTGGAACCAGGTGGTTCCTACCAGTATTAGAGAGATGAACAAGAGTGACGATATATTGTTCGGCTTATAAGACACATCTTCATCTTTCGCTTTAAAATACATGGATTACGTGTGTTGGGGGGGGTAGTGTGTCTGATAATCTTTAATAATTTGTGGGGAGCGGTGGCGCAATGGTAAGCGTGCTGCGCTACGAACCCGGTGATCCGGGTTCAATTCACGCCCAAGGCCACAAACACCATTGACGATTATCTGAACCAGTCCTGGGCCTCCCCTAGGTCGATTCAGTCTCCGACGGGTGCCATGGTGCGGTGTGTCGTAAATATTGCCACTGGGGAGACAAAGACGGCCGGGCGTGGTGTTGGCCACCTACCCCCTCATGTGCCATGGCAACTTTCATACGCGCTCGCTAACAGCACTTATCCCAAATGTCTGTTTAGGCTACGGTGGCGAGGATGTTATCTACCTCGCCTGGTATACAGGAGGGCGTGGGTCTGATCCTGACCATGACGCCTGCTGCTGCTGTATATTTGTAGTTTGCGTGTCTCTCCCCGTGGTCACGTGGATTTTTCTCAGGGTGCTCCGGTTTTTTCCCCTCAACATTTAGAATCGACGTCACGCGTTTAAGAGTATGTGGCTGCTCGAAATTTCCACGCCACAATCCCCTGTTTTGTCGAACTATCACTTGTGACAGCCGGGTCGCTTCTGTAGTGCGTAGTGCCGTAGATGGGTCACACTTACCTGCAGTGGTGGACAGGGCCCATCTGCAGGTACCTCGGACCCCCAGGGGAGGGGCCACTGCCAGCCCAAGAAGGGGGGGGGCTGCTGGGGGCTCAGGATCCCAGACAACCCAGACAGCTGAGCCCCTCGGCGACACCAATGGGGGGCTGCGGGGGATTTGGGATCCCACGCAACTCGATGGGCAAGGGGGATAAAAGGGCCGCTCCCCAGCCGATCGGGGCCAGTCGCAGCTCAAGACCCAAGACCAGCTTAGGACCCTGGACCCCCTCGTCCCGCTTGTCCTTGTAAGGGCCGGGATGCTGTGCGGGACAGTGGTGGGACTCTGGGACTCCCGGCTCTGCGCCCTTGTAAGGGCGAGGTCCGGGGAAGCCAGAGTCTAGACCCGCACCTTGGCTGGGTCGGGTCAGGTAGCCTCCCCTCGGGTAATTGTAGCCGGAGGACCCCAGAGCGTAGCCAGAGTAGGCTGTGTCCCTCGGCTGTGTCCCTAGGCTGTGTCCCTGGGCTGTAACAGAGTATCAGGACTGTTGGAGTGTTGAATCGTAATAAAGAAGTTATATTCTTGGTTCTTTCGGTAAAGTCACGTAGAAGGGAAGTAATAAAATAATAAAAATAAAACATAATAAAATCATTTATTTTTATTATTTTATTACTTCCCTTCTACGTGACTTTACCGAAAGAACCAAGAAGATGAATCCCTGCAGTCACGAAAGCTTTAAATCGAAATATAAAGAAGTTACCTCTACAAGTGTCTCCGGAACCCATTACACTTCTGTATAAAGAGCTACCTGGTAAAATAAAAACACAAATTGTTGAAATCGTCACGGTTTACAATGTGGAGAATACGGTCAATGCAAAGTGCTAACGGCGATGCTGTTCGCGCACGGCTTTGTTGCGATGGTGCGTGCAGTGGTGGGGAACAAGACGGGCGTGCAGCCCTTCGAGTTGGACACACGCCAGCACAGCCGCTCCTTCATCGTCAACTACCTGTGGAGCCTCGTGGACTCGGTCTGGTAGTGTCCAGCCGCCGAACTCGACCGTCGAACCGGAGGAGCAGTCCCGCTTGAACACTACCACTACCACCATTGTCGTCGTACGTAGTCAACCGCGCTAATCGGATGTGCCGAGGGAAGGACGACAACACGATGGGTCTCTGTGTGAGTCTATGGGTCTCTGTGTGAGTCTATGGGTCTCTGTGTGAGTCTATGGTTCTGTGTGTGAGTCTGTGGGTCTCTTGTGAGTCTGTGGGTATCTGTGTGAGTCTATGGGTCTCGTGTGAGTCTATGGGTCTGAGTGAGTCTATGGGTCTCTGTGTGAGTCTATGGGTCTCTGTGTGAGTTTATGGGTCTCTTTGCGAGTCTATTGGTCTCTGTGTGAGTCTATGGGTCTCTTTGCGAGTCTATGGGTCTCTGTGTGAGTCTATAGGTCTGTGTGAGTCTATGGGTCTCTGTGTAAGTCTATGGGTCTCTGTGTGAGTCTATGGGTCTGTGTGAGTCTATGGGTCTCATGTGAGTCTATGGGTCTCTGTACGAGTCTTTTGTATGTATGTACGTGTGTAGAACTTCTCTCGCAAGCGTACGTAGCCAACCGCGCTCATGGGGGGTGCGGGGGTAAGGACAGCAAACTAAACACGACAACGAGCAGTTCTGAAGAATTAGTTTGTCAATCTCGATGATACTCTTTGGTTCTTTAGGTAAAGTCACGTAGGTAGAAAATAAATCACGACGTTTCGGGCGCAACACAACCGTCCGTCATCAGGTGGGAAGGCATGGTCTGCTGCTGAGGCAGACTGTTTAAAAGGTTTGAAACGGGTGTAGCCCAAAGGTCATAAAGAAGTGGCTGGGGCTGGTGATGTTAATGTGAGAGATTAGCATGATGCTAATGTGATGAATTAGCATGTAACTGGGTACGGAAGTGGCTATGTTAATGTGAGAGATTAGCATGATGTTAAAGTGAGAGATTAGCATGTAACTGGGCACAGAAGTGGCTATGTTAATGTGAGAGATTAGCATGATGTTAAAGTGAGGAATTAGCATGTAACTGGGCACGGAAGTGGCTATGTTAATGTGAGAGATTAGCATGAAATAACAGCTAATTTCTCACATTAACATCACTTGCCCCAGCCACATCTTTATGACCTTTGGGCTACACCAGGGGTCGGCAACCTACGGCTCCGGAGCCGCATGCGGCTCTTTACAGGCTGCTTCTTGACGATATGTACAGTATGTACTCAGATGCATTGCGGCTCTTGAAATACTGAATTTTGTACCGAATTGGAAAGAAATGGCTCTTCTTGTTATTTTGGTTGCCGACCCCTGGGCTACACCCATTTCAGACCTTTAAAACAGTCTGCATCAGCAGCAGGCCACGCCTTCCCACCTGATGACGAACGCTTGTGCTGCGCCCGAAACGTCGTTATTTATTTTATTTTCTGCCTACGTGACTTTACCGAAAGAACCAAAGAGCATGGATTCCTGCAGTAGTCACGAAAGCTTCAAATCCAAATCTCGATGATGGTTTAAAAGTGCGGCATGGCTCCCAGCGGCTTCCTAATACCAGAGAGGAAGAACATTCCAGACGGCCGCAGAAGCGCCACGCGACGCAGCGACCGTCTTTGTTCGATGGCGAGCCAGCGGCGGGTTGTCATCGATACGCCGCCGGACGGAGTCTCGCAAAGTAGCAGTCCTCCTGGTACCTGCAAACGAGCATCATTCCCTCTCGGCAATGTAAACTGCCTAAGCCCATTTATACCAAGTCAACATTTTTAAAGTAAATTTACGTTCGATCGTTTGATGTCTTTAACTTTTGTTAAGTTCTGTGATACTGTACATAAGTCTCGCGTGTTTCTAATCCCAAACATCGTGCATCTCTCGGTGGTTCTTTACGGAATGTACAAATGTTATTTGTATAAATATGTGTGTGTGTGCTTCTGTCAACGATGCTGCTTCAGCAGTGTTTCTGAACTTAAAATGTGCAGGCTTTTTGTCAATTTCGCTACCGGATGAAGGTTTTCTCGTGCCATGTCGGCCGTGGGCGGTTGTCTGGCCATACTTCACCACGCTGGTCAGTGCGGGTTTGGAACGTGGCACAGGTCCGGAAGTGATGTCGGTATCACTTGCCACCGATGGTTAGCTATGCCCAGGAAGCGAACCCAGGCGACCGCGGTTCACAGCTCAGCATGCTAAGCCACCGCTCGGTGTATAAACGGGAGTTATAAACATTAATGTGTTGGGAACAACATGTTCTGGATCACTCGCTGCCAAATGTTGGTCAATAACTTGCCCGTTTATTCCCAATACATTTTGGAAGGCGATATTTACCCATCGCCGCAATCATCTTGGCCGCACTAAACAGCTACTAGAGAGGGGGGCGGGCATGCTAACTGCCTTGGTAGTACTGTGTTTTTTTATTTTAGTACGCTCAGTTTCTGTCACTGCGAAGGCCTCTTCATGCTTGGGACGGCACGTGCGTTACTATTAGGATTGTATAATGCCGTGGTCTGTTAGTGTGGCCTGCACAAGGTAATTGAAATATTGCTCAGCCACTTGTAAGAAAAAATGTTCCCCCACCCCAGTTCTCAAAAGAACTGGCCCCATGGAGTCTCCACATTGACACGTGACTAATTACACACCGCTCCTAAACTCACAATTTACAATAAAGTTATGCATTTGTTAGGTGCACCTGTTGTGGCTTGGCACTTGTGTTGAGTTTTGTACGACTTGAGTGTACGTGCAACGCGCTTATTCTATTCCCGACGTGTCTGTAATAAAAACGTTTCACTACTTAAATACTGGTCATGGACAACTTTATACAATTCCTGCGTGTCTGTAACATTTTCTGTACTGTTCGTTGAGAAAACTTAGGTCAGGGACTCTTCTACTTACGAACGAGTTATGTTCCAGAGGTCTGTTTGTAAGTCGATTTGTGTCCAACTTTACTCCTGTAAATTCCGAACACGTACGGCGTGTACACTAAACACGAGGAATTACTTTACAATGTGTATAATCTCTTTTAGACGTATATGCCACTGGTTCTTCACGTTCTGCAGATGTAGATGCCACTGGTTCTTCACGTTCTGCAGATGTAGATGCCACTGGTTCTTCACGTTCTGCAGATGTAGACGCCACTGGTTCTTTATGTACTGCAGATGTAGATGCCACTGGATCTTCACGTTCTGCAGATGCCACTGGTTCTTCACGTTCTGCAGATGTAGATGCCACTGGTTCTTCATGTTCTGCAGATGTAGATGCCACTGGGTCTTCACGTTCTGCAGATGTGGATGCCACTGGATCTTCATGTTCTGAAGATATAGATGCCACCGCCGCCATCTACTGCATGGCAGTTGAACTGGGAAACTGGACATACGAACCAGGTTTGTTTGTATCTCTGAAAGTTCATAAGTGAAATGTTCATAAGTAGAGGAGTCCCTGTAATTAAATGTTTTGAAGTTGAAATGCTGTGTACACGTAATGCTTGAATGCCGCACGTTCGTGAATTGCAGTTTTATTTACAGCAACATAAATACCCAGCAGAGCGAGGCGGATGCACACAGCTCTCGAGGTCACTACTGAATTTCTCAAACTCGATCGAAGCTCCGGGCTTGGTGCTCTCCCCCTCGTACGGTCCCCAGCATCGGCGTGCATCGTACGTGCTCGCGTGATAGCCCTGTGAGCCATGCGGCTCTTGAGTCGGGTGCAACCGCAACAAACAAAAACATGAACAAAGAACATCTTTAATAAAATATTTTAAAAAACAATTTTAAACACGCTTTAATGAAATGTACTGTCCGAGCTGCCCCTCCCCCTGCCTCCTTCCCCCATCGCCCCTCCCCTCCTTCCACATCCCCCGCCCCTGGGCATGGCTCCCCGAGGCTTGCCGTGACGTAAGGGACCACGTGGTGCTTTACAGGCAACGTCAGTTGAGCGTGGACAATTAGAGCCGTTAAAAAGATTGTTTAAAAATATATATTTGTAATGATAGCAGAGGTGGGACAAAGTCATTGTTATGCAAGTCCAAGTCGAGTCTGAAGTCATCAAATTCATGACTCGAGTCTGACTCGAGTCCAAGTCACATGACTCGAGTCCACACCTCTGAATGATAGCATATAGTATTGTCATCAGTATGGCATAGCTGTACGAAGTTTGCAGTCAATACGACATTGGGAATACGGTTGAATTTGAGTTACAAGACTTTTGGATACGGCAACACACAGTTAAATAAAAGCGTGTACATGTCTTTAAAAGTATGTTGGATTTTTTATGATAGAATGTCGTGTTGTCATCAGTATGACGTACCTATACCAAGTTTGCAGTCGATAGCACATTTGGAAGTGGGTAAAAATTTAGTTACAAGATTTATTTTTTGAGGATACAACAGACGAAGAGAGCGTTCAGAGTATTTGGCTACCGATATAAAATTCCGACTCGATGATGTTAAGCCCACTTTGTCGAGCAATCGTTGGTGATAGCCAGATGGCTTCTGAAAAAATAAACCCGTAAAAACAAAGTTTTTCACTATAAATCCTTTATATGCGTGGCGGCTAGAGTCCTCTCGTCCTCTGGCTTGAGATGGCTGCCACCTATGGATCAGATGATTGTCTGGCAGCATTAAACAATTGGTAATTAAATATTTAAACAAAAATTCCCTAAACTGTAAAATTTTGGAAAATGCATTGTCACGCACAACGAGTCTGTGTGCAAAATGTCAGCTCGATTGGATCACGGGAAGTGGGTTAAAAAACGACCGAAAGATTTGCACGGTCCTAAGCAAGCGAACTTAATATAAAGGATTTAAAAAGAGCTGTCTCGCTCCGGTAAGTCTGGCCTTTTCAAAAAGTTCAACTTTGTATCGTCTAGTAGTAGGGTTTTACCCTTTAAACTGGTACAAAACTGATACCTTTATACAAGGCATCATGTTTGCAATAACCGCAACACAAGCAGTCAAAATGCAAACAAAAAGAAACAACTCTGATTAAGGTAATGATATGCACTGTCCTTGAAGTTGATTGGTCCACACCCGAAACAGCTTTTCTTAGAGCCTAGTCTCCATTGGTGTTGGACCAGATGACGCCAAAAGGCGTACAACTCAAAAACAGCGCACTATCAGAGTATTGAGAGCTCGGGGTAAGCATTTACACTATGAGACCTCCTTTACCAGTGGAAAAATATAGTAGTAGGTTTTTACCCTTTAAACCAGGGGTCGGGAACCTTTTTGACTGGGAGAGCCATAAAAGCCAAATATTTCTAAATATATTTCATTGAGAGCCATATAGTATTTTTAACGTATAATAAATTAAATATGTCTTACTTTAAATGCGACTTCTGGTGCTGCATGGTTTTGCTGATGGCCTTGTAGTCTGGTTCATACGACTTGGTGAGGTTGAGCTTCATGCAGGCGTGACCCGTGAAATTTATCTTCAAAACTAATTTCTGTTTACTTTAAAATGACACAGTATTATTAAGCAATATCACAAGTATTTTAAAATCAGTTCCAAACTGATTTTTATTTATTTTTTCAACTCAAAATTGTCTGGGAGCCATATGCCATCACTGGAAGAGCCATATATGGCTCGCGAGCCATAGGTTCCCGACCGCTGCTTTAAACTGTATCGTCTCTTTTCGATTTAAAGCTTTCGTGACTGCAGGGATTCATCTTCTGGGTTCTTTCGGTAAAGTAACGTAGAATTGAAATAATAAAGGAATAAAAATAAAACAATAAAATAATTCTCACGACGTGAGAATTAATTAATAATTCTCACGACTTATTTAATAATTCTCACGACGTGAGAATTATTTTATTGTTTTATTTTTATTCCTTTTATTATTTCAATTCTACGTGACTTTACCGAAAGAACCAAGAAGATGTATCGTCTCTTTTAGGAATCGTCAGCAGAGTGGGGCTTTGCCTTGCCAACCAACACACGAATTGCAAAGATGCATGACAGGGATATTGGCAGAGATGGGAAGCTGCAGAAACGGAAACATCTGGGCTGTAACTGGAGCGGACGACTGCAGTCGAAAGTATTTGTTTTAAGACGTCTCACCGTCAACGGGGGAGTTGCAGAACAAAGCCCACCGGCTTGGACCGACGAGATGCCACGAGTTCCGTACGCGGGTGCAGGCAGTGCCACATTATCGTAGTAGCAAAAGTAACTACGCGTGTAGTAGCTACACATGTTGTAGCTACTACGCGTGTAGTAGCTACGCATGTAGTAGCAGCTACACATGTAGTAGCAGCTACACATGTAGTAGTAGCTACATAATGTAGTAGCTACGCATGTAGTAGCTACACATGTAGTAGTAGCTACATAATGTAGTAGCTACACAATGTAGTAGCTACGCATGTTGTAGCTACACATGTTGTAGCTACACATGTAGTAGCTACGCATGTAGTAGCTACACAGGCTACGGGACCCGCACTTTCAAGGGCCCCGCGCTAAATGCTTTCAAGCTATCAATTCCGGTTCGGTGATTCTGCACTTGCTCTATTACTATAGTACTATACCGCCTTCAACTGTTATGAACGACCGGGTGTTTAAGGTTAGCGATTTGTCGTATTGTCTGGGCTGTATAGCAAATTGAAAAAAATACAATTATTTTATTGTCAAAAATGTGTGTTTTAATGTTTGTGTTTTTATTTAGGGCCCCTTTATAACATTTGCTACATGTCCCGCACTCCATTCATCCGGCACTGGTTGCACGACCGAGTGTTGGCCAGCCAGCAACATTGCAAGCAACATCGGCAGCAACATCGCCAGCAACATCGCAAACAACATCGCCGGCAACATCGCAAACAACATCGGCAGCAACATCGCCGGCAACATCGCAAACAACATCGCCGGCAACATCGCAAACAACATCGCCAGCAACATCGGCATGTCCCGCAAACGAAGCGTCTGTCGCGCGCGCTTCAAACAACCAAAACCCACCAAACACGCAATTTCAACATCGCCACGTGAACGCACGCCTTCTACTCCAGAATTCTAGATGTGAAGTATGGATCCTTGCAGTCACGAAAACTTCAAATCTAGAATTAATACCTATTATTAGGTTTTTTTCGGTAATGTCACGTAGGTAAAAAAATTTTAATTAATAAAAGTAAAATAAAATCACGACGTTTCGGAGGCAACACAAGCCTCCGTCTTCAGGTGGAACCGTCACAGCACGATTGCTGTTTTTAAATCCTTTATATTAAGTTCACTTGCTTGCTTGCTTGCTTACGACCGTGCAAATGTTTCGGTCGTTTTTTAACCCACTTCCCGTGATCCACTCGAGCTGACATTTTGCACACAGACTCGTTTTGCGTGACAATTAATTTTCGTGAAAATTTTTTTCAAAAATGTTACACTGTTTAGGGAATTTAAAAAAAATATTTAATTACCAATTGCTTAATGCTGCCAGACAATCATCTGACCCATAGGTGGCAGCCATCTCAAGCCAGATGACGAGAGGACTCTAGCCGCCACGCATATAAAGGATTTATAGTGAAAAACTTTGTTTTTACGGGTTAATTTTTTACCTACGTGACTTTACCGAAAAAACCTAAGAATATGAATCCTTGCAGTCACGACAGCTTCAAATCTAGAATAGAATTAATACCCTCTACGGGGAGGATTTCCACTTATCTGTTAGAGTTTTTAACAGACATCGAGACAAGAAGTCACAGCTTATCGAGACGCTGGCCTTCCTCAAGAGATGCCGCGACAAAAAAGTAATACCCATCGCTTTCACACTAACATCTGCTGCTGTGTCTTCAATATAATTGTGCTTTAAATTTAGATTTAAAGCTTTCGTGACTGCAGGGATTCATCTTCTTGGTTCTTTCAGTAAAGTCACGTAGAATGGAAATAACAAAATAATAAAAATAAAACGATAAAATAATTGTCACGACGTTTCGGCCACAACGCAAGCAGCCGTCCTCAGGTGAAGAAACAGGTTACGTTGTTCCCACCTGAAGACGGACGCTTGTGTTGCGCCAGAAACGTGATTGAATTTAGTTGTTTTTCTACTCCAGAAGTGAAACTAAAAAATTAAAACTCATAGTCTTTGGTTCTTTCGGTAAAGTCACGTCGGTAGAAACAAATATAATGGTTCACGGCGTTTCGATCGCAACACAAGCAATCGTCATCAGGTGAGACACCTTCAACAAGAAAACAAATGAAATTTTGATTTAAAGCTTTCGTGACTGCAGGGATTCATATTATTGGTTCTTTCGGATTTCACACCTGATGATGATTGCTTGTGTTGCAGTCGAAACGTTGTGAGAATTGTTATTGGTTTATGTTCATATTGTTTCGTTGTTTCCCTTCTACGTGACTTTACCGAAAGAACCAAAAATAAGAAAACTCATTCAGACACTGTCTCCCCGACAGACCTGGTCTTCACCTAAGGACTGCTGCTTGCGTTGTGGCCGAAACGTCGTGAGAATTATTTTATTGTTTTATTTTTATTATTATTATTACTTCCCTTCTACGTGACTTTACCGAAAGAACCAAGAAGATGAATCCCTGCAGTCACGAAATCTTTAAATCGAAAAATAAGAAAACTGTTGAAGGGAGTTTTTTTTTCAGAAGTTTTTTCTTGCTGTAGTTCTCACCTGATGACGATTGCTTGTGTTGCGATCGAAACTTCGTGATCTATTATATTTTATTATTACACGCTTTTATTTAACTCACTCTGTTGTCGTATCCTCAAATCTTGTAAGTAAATTTTAACCCACTTCCCAATGTGATATCGACTGCAAACTTGGTATACTTATGCCATACTGATGACAATACTATATTCTATCATGAAAAATACAAATACAAATTTTAAACAAACTTTTTAACATGTTATGTTTCGGCTTGGGTCTAATTGTCCACGTTCAACTCACGTTGGCTGTAAATCACCACGGCCCTTACGTTGTGGCAAGCTTCGGGGCCACTTCCTGGAGTCGTGGAGTTCTGCCATTACCAGTACGGTACATTTCATTCAAGCGTATTTTTTAAAAAGTTTTTAAGATATTACTTATTGTGTCGTTGTGTCGGGGTTGGCTGCACGTCAGGAGGCTGCAGAGAAGGCCACTAAGGCCCGGTGCGGGCCTTGCAATGATGATGATCAAGTGCTCTGCGTGAAACACGCAAACGAGTCTCCACCAAACGTCTCAACCATCTCAGGCAGTGCCCCAACCAGTGCCGGGTTAAGCTAGTGCGGGGCCTGCAGCATATGTTATACAGGGGCCCTAGATATAAAAAAGACACGTTAATATTAAAACATAATTTTTTTTACTTGCACAGTAAAGTAATTGTATTTTTTCATTTGCTATACAGCCCGGGTAATACGACACATCTCTAACCTCAAACGCCCGGTCGTTCATAAAAGTCGAAGGCGGTATAGTACTTTAGCAATAGAGCAAGTACAGGATCACCGAACCCGAAATCGATAGCTTGAACTCATTTAGCGCGGGGTTAAAAAAAAAAATTTCAGACGCTGTCCTTCCGACAGACCTGTTCTCCACCTGAGCACGGCTGCTTGCGTTGTGGCCGAAACGTCGTGAGAATTGTATTTTATCATGTTTTATTTTTATTATTTCATTACTTCTCTTCTACGTGATGACTTTACCGAAAGAACCAAGAAGACAAATTTTATTGTCGAAAAGTTTTTAGACAGACGGCCACCGCCTCCTCCTCCCGGCCCTTTGTCCGACGCGCCGTTCCCTCTCCTCCTCCTCAACTTCTTCCTCCCTCCGTCACCGCTGCCACCGTCACCGTCACCGCTGCCACCGCTGCCACAGTCACCGCTGCCACCGCCACCGCCGGCGGCCTTCGCGAGGCCACGCGGCCACGACTCGAGTCGCCGAGCGCCGCCGCCGCCGCCTCCTCCTCCGGCGTCGCCCGAAGCTGTTGGGGCTCCGCGTGGCCTTCCCGGCGGAGCGCTGCGTCTCGGGGCCGCGGCCCTTGCCCAGCAGGCGGTAGAGGCGGTGGCTCAGATTCTGCACTTGGCACGAGCTCAAGGAGCAGCCGCTGGACAGGGCCCCCCCCTTGCCGCCGTGGTGCAGCTGCTGCACGTGGGCCGGCTGCGCGGAGGAGGGGGACGCACGGCGCTTCTGGCGAGGGCTGCGTCGCAAGGTTTGGCTGTGGTGGTGGTGGTGGGGGGTGGTGGTGGTGGATGTGGTGGTGGTGGAGGTGGTGTTGAATGTGGACGTGGTGGTGGTGGTGGATGTGGAGATGGTGGTGGATGTGGTGGTGGTGGTGGATGTGGTGGTGGAGGTGGTGGTGGTGGAGGTGGTGGTGGATGTGGTGGTGGTGGAGGTGTTGGTGGATGTGAAGGTGGTGGTGGATGTGGACGTGGAGATGGTGGTGGACGTGGTGGTGGAGGTGGTGGTGGTGGTGGATGTGGACGTGGTGGTGGTGGATGTGGAGGTGGCGGTGGAGGTGTACGTGGTGGTGAACATGGTGAATTTGAAGGTGGTGGCGGTGATGGATGTGGAGGTGGTGGATATGGTAAAGGTGGAGGAGGAGGACAGAGAGCGAGAAGGGAGAGGTCGCGGTCAATTCGTTGTTATTTATTTTTCTCATCGTCGGAATCCCAGGTGAGCAAACGAGGCAGTGCAGCTCTCCTGCCCCGAAGAAGCCAGTTGCAGACACTCCACGTTCCTATGGCAGTGGCGAGTCTCCCCGCAGGACTTCCCCACCGAATGGCACCCAATCACCTAATGAGTTTGAACCCCCGACCCGGGATTTGAACTCTACGGATATATTTTTTCCGATTGATCGCGGGCCGCTCACTTTCAAAAATAAAATAAATAAAAAATAACAAAACTAAATAAGTAAACCCGTAAAAACAAAGTTTTTCACTCTAAATCCTTTATATGCGTGGCGGCTAGAGTCCTCTCGTCCTCTGGCTTGAGATGGCTGCCACCTATGGGTCAGATGATTGTCTGCCAGTATTAAGCAATTGGTAATTAAATATTTAATTTGTTTTCCCTAAACAGTGTAAATTTTTGGAAAAAAAATTTCACGAACATTAATTGTCTCGCACAACGAGTCTGTGTGCAAAATGTCAGCTCGATTGGATCACGGGAAGTGGGTTAAAAAACGACTGAAAGATTTGCACGGTCGTAAGCAAGCAAGCACACAAGCACGCAAGCACGCAAGCAAGTGAACTTAATATAAAGGATTTGATAAAAAAATAAATCAAATCGCGACGTTTCGTAAGCAACACAAGCTTCCGTCACCAGGTGGGACAGCCACAGCAAGAAACAATTTGCTTTTTTCCCACTACAGCAAATTGCGTTTTGCCCACTACAGCAAATTATTTCTTGCTGTGGCTGTCCCACCTGAGGACGGAAGCTTGTGTTGCTTACGAAACGTCGCGATTTGATTTATTTTAAATTTTGTTTCGTTATTTTTAATTTACTTTATTTTTATTTTATTTATTTTATACCTACGTGACTTTACCGAAATAACTAAAGAGTAAGCCCACTTCTTTGAGCCATCATTTGCAGGCCAGCTCGCTTCTGTAAACAAAATAAAAAATATTTCGATTTAAAGCTTTCGTGACTGCAGGGATTCATCTTTTTGGTTCTTTCGGTAAAATCACGTAGAAGGGAAATAATAAAATAATAAAAATCAAACATAATAAAATACAATTCTCACGACGTTTCGGCCACAACGCAAGCAGCCGTCCTCAGGTGAAGAACAGGTCTGTCGGAAAGACAGCGTCTGCGGCCCTTAATCACGCTGAATGGTTCATTCAGACGCTGTCTTTCCGAAAAACCTGTTCTTCACCTGAGGACGGCTGCTTGCGTTGTGGCCGAAACGTCGTGAGAATTGTATTTTATTATGGTTTATTTTTATTATTTTATTATTTCCCTTCTATGTGACTTTACCGAAAGAACCAAGAAGAAAAATAAAAATATCTACGTAGCTCAATGGGCTTTACCTGCTAAAGAAAACATATTTTAATAGCGAGTTATTACCCGAGGGACGGCTCCGGCAGTGATCCACCAAACCTCACTGCTCCCTCCACAGCGCTCGACCACAAAAACGAAACAAGTCACCTGGCGCCTCGAGGCAACTCCGTGGGCTGCTCGCTGCTGGCGGAGAAGGTGGAGCGAGGGTGGTGGTCGTGGAGGAGGATGAGGAGGAGGAGGTGGTGGTGGTGGAGTTGAGGAGGTGAGGACGCTGCCTCGTCCACCTCTTCGCATGGCGCTACGAGTGGCCTGTTGCGGGGGAGGGGCGACACGCGCAGAGATGAAGGTTGTGGCCTTCTCGTTACACCTGGGGGCTTCCTTCATTCGTTAATTCATTCCTAGCAAGACATGACGTCATCCCATCACTCGCCATCCCACGTGCTTCATTCATTCAGTGGACATCCCTTGCAAGACATGACGTCATCCCATCACTCGTCATCCCACGTGCTTCATTCATTCAGTTGACATCCCTAGCAAGACATGACGTCATCCCATCACTCGTCATCCCACGTGATTCATTCAGTGGGCATCCCTAGCAAGACCTGACGTCATCCCATAACTCGTCATCCCACACGCTTCATTCATTCAGTCGACATCCCTAGCAAGACATGACGTCATCCCATCACTCGTCATCCCACGTGATTCATTCAGTGGGCATCCCTAGCAAGACATGACGTCATCCCATAACTCACCATCCCACGTGCTTCATTCAGTGGCCATCCCTAGCAAGACATGACGTCATCCCATCACTCGTCATCCCACGTGCTTCATTCAGTTGACATCCCTAGCAAGACATGACGTCATCCCATCACTCGCCATCCCACGTGCTTCATTCATTCAGTGGACATCCCTAGCAATACATGACATCACAATGCCCCCCCCCCCCCCACACACCCCACGCTCACCTTGAGACGCGATCTGCTGCGTGAATGATCGACCTCGAGGGGCTGCGGGAGTCAGACGGCTCCGGCTGGCGGCAGCAGCAGCAGCGGCGGCGGCAGAGGGCAGCGATCATCATCAGCAGCAGCAGCAGTCGGCAGAGCCACGGGCGGTGGATGAGCATGGCTGGTGGAACGTCTCTACCGCACAGCGGGCACGGACATCGCTGGCGTCATCTCCGCTACGACGCGTCTTCTCACGAGTCGTCGACATATCATCTCATCTCACGAAACCGCCCATCGCCCCCCCCATCCCGACCCTGACGCCTGCTGCTGCTGCTGTATATTTGGAGTTTGCGTGTCTCTCATCATCATCACGGTGGCTAGGAGATGTTAACTACCTCGCCTGGTCTGCAGGAGGTCGTGGGTTCGATCCCGACCCTGACCCCTGCTGCTGCTGTATATTTGGAGTTTGCGTGTCTCTCATCATCATCACGGTGGCTAGGAGATGTTGACCACCTCCCCTGGTACACAGGAGGTCGTGGGTTCGATCCCGACCCTGACGCCTGCTGCTGCTGCTGCTGTATATTTGGAGTTTGCGTGTCTCTCATCATCATCACAGTGGCTAAGAGATGTTAACTACCTCGCCTGGTATGTCTAATATCTGTCATCTTCACTGAGGATTTTATCAAGCGACCTGGCCACAAACGAAAGTACGGCTAAGTGGCTTATCGCGTGCAAATTGACATCAGCCAAATGATCTTCTTGGTTTTTTCGGTAAAGTCACGTAGAATGGAAATAATAAAATAATAATAAAAAACATAATAAAATCTTTATTATATTATTTTATTATGCCTTCTTTTTATTATTTTATTATTTCCATTCTACGTGACTTTACCGAAAGAACCAAGAAGATGAATCCCTGCAGTCACGAAAGCTTTAAATCGAAATATCAGCCAAATGACTCGTCGGTTCTTCAAGTGGAGGGGAAAACCCGGAGAACCTGGATATAAACTCCATGCGAGAAAGAGAGACACGCAAACTCCAAATATACAGCAGCAGCAGCAGGCGTCAGGGTCGGGATCGAACCCATGACCTCCTGTGTACCAGGCGAGGTAGTCAACATCTCCTAGCCACCACAACACAAGGCGCTGTTAGCCAGCAGCACCTATGAAGGCCGGCACGGGGGTGGGTGGCCAACACCACGCCCGGCCGCCTTTGTCTCCCTAGTGGCAATGTTTTTACATTTCGTACTCATTTGAGGCTGAGTCGACCTAGGGGAGGCCCAGGACCGGTTCAGATAATCGTCACTGGTGGTGGCCGTGAGCGAGAATCGAACCCGGATCGCCGGGTTCGTAGCGCAGCGCTAACCACTACACCACCGCTCCCCACACGCACAGACGCACAAACACTGACACATACACACACATACATAGAGACACATAGAAATACACGCACACACACATAGAGACACACATACACACACACTCACGTGCACGCGTACATGTCTTGAATGTTATTAACCTACATAGACATTGGCATGTATCGCTGCTGCCAATGTTCTATGTGGAGATAAAATAATAAATAAAATGCTACGTATTTACAATACACAAGGGTGTACACACACGCACACACAAAGATCCCCCGTATATCCTTAATAGACTGTCGGGGCAAGTGCTGTTAGCGAGCACCTATAAAGGCCGGCACGGCACACGAGGGGATGGGTGGCCAGCACCACGCCCGGCCACCTTTGTCTCCCCAGTGGCGATGTTTAAACATCGCACCAAGTACTCTTTTGAGGTTGAGTCGACCTAGGGGAGGCCCAGGACCGATTCAGATAATCGTCACTGGTGGTGGCCGTGAGCGAGAATCGAACCCGGGTCGCCAGGTTCGTAGCGCAGCGCGCTAACCGCTACACTACCGCACGCACACGCGCACACACGCACACGCACAGACACACACAGACACACACGCACACACACACACGCACAGACACACGCGCACAAACACACACGCGCACACACAGACACACACAGACACACACGCACACACACACACGCACACACACACGCGCACAAACACACACGCGCACACACAGACACACACACACGCGCACAAACACACACAGACAGACACATGCACACCCGCACACACACACAGACACGCGCACGCACAGACACACACGCACGCACAGACACACACATACACAGACACGCACACACAGACACACACCCACAGACACACGCACAGACACACAGACACGCATACACACACAGACACACACGCGCACACACGCACACACAGACACGCGCACACACAGACACGCACACACAGACAGACACGCACAAACACACGCACAGACACACAGACACGCATACACACACAGACACACACGCGCACACACGCACACACAGACACACGCACACACATACACAGACACGCACACACAGACAGACACGCACAGACACACGCACAGACACACGCACAGACACACAGACACGCATACACACAGACACACACGCGCACACACGCACACACAGACACACAGACACGCATACACACACAGACACATAGACACGCATACACACACAGACACACACGCGCACACACGCACACACACAGACACGCATACACACACAGACACACACATACACATACACACAGACAGACACACACACGCACACACAGACACACACAGACACACACGCACACACACACGCACACACAGACACACACACGCACACACAGACACGCACACACACACGCACACACACAGGCACGCACACACACACACGCACACACACAGACACACGCACACACACAGACACACGCACACACAGACACGCATATTCTCAGCGGCACAAGTTCGCTCGAAGTATAAATCCAAGCCGCTCGCCCCCGCAGATGTTTATAGCCGGTGCCACGGGACCATTGCTCAGCCAGCAGCGTTCAGGGCGCGGGCCTGAGAATGCCGACACCCAGACACTGCTGGAGGTAGAGACACCGCCACCACCATCGCCGCCACCACCGCCACCACCACCGCCACCACCACCGCCGCCGCGACCACCACCACCACCCCCACCGCCGCCACCACCACGACCACCACCGCCGCCGCCACCACGACCACCACCGCCACCACCATGACTACCACTGCCACCACGACCACCACCGCTGCCACCACCACCACCACGACCACCACCACTGCCACCACCACCACTGCCACCACGACCACCACCACCACCATCACCACGACCACCACCACGACCACCACCACCGCTACCACTGCCACCACCGCCGCCACCACCACCTCCACCACCACCTCCACCACGACCACCGCCACCACGACCACCACCACGACTGCCACCACTGCCACCGCCACCACGGCCACCGCTGCCACGACCACCACTGCCACCACGACCACCACCATCACCACGACCACCACCACGGCCACCACCACCGCCACCACCACCGCCACCACGACCACCACTGCCACCACCACGACCACCACCACGACCACCACCACGGCCTCCACTTCTAGAGGCGGCGGTGGTGGTGGGGAGGATCTCGAGAGGAGGTTGGCAACCCAAACAACAACAAGAGAAGCATTTTGTCGAATTTTGCAGTAAAAATATGAACACCACCACCGCCAATGTCACTGTGTGTTGTGTGTGGTGGTGGTGTGTCTGGATGGTGGTGGTGTGTCTGGATGGTGGTGGTGTGTGGTGGTGATGTGGTGTGTGGTGGTGGTGTGTGGTGATGGTGGTGATCATGGTGGTGGTGGTGGTGATGATGGTGGTGGTGTGTGGTGGTGGTGGTGCTGGTGGTGGTGGTGGTGGTGTGTGGTGATGATGGTGGTGGTGGTGGTGTTGTGTGTGATGGTGGTGGTGTGTGGTGGTGCTGGTGGTGGTGGTGTTGTGTGTGGTGGTGGTGGTGATGATGGTGTGTGGTGGTGGTGGTGTGGGGTGGTGGTGGTGGTGATGATGGTGGTGGTGATTATGATGGTGGTGATGATGATGGTGGTGGTGGTGGTAGTGTGTGATGGTGATGGTGGTGAATACGAGACGGTGGTGGTGGCGGTGGTGATGATGATGGTGGTGGTGATGGTGTGTGGTGGTGGTGGTGGTGGTAGTGTGTGGTGGTGATGGTGGTGATGGTGTGTGGTGGTGATGGTGTGTGGTGATGATGATGGTGGTGATGATGGTGATGATGATGGTGGTGATGGTGGTGAATACGAGACGGTGGTGTTTGGGTCTATCACTGCACATGACGGTCCGAAGCAGCAGAGTCTTCAATGGGCCGCAATGCTGATCCGGAGACCCCTGCCCATCGTAAACTGGACTCCCATGGTAAACTGGACTCCCATGGTAAACTGGACTCCCATGGTAAACTGGACTCCCATCATAAACTGGACTTCCATGGTAGGAGTAGACTCATAGAAGTAGACATATAGAAGTAGACTCATAGAAGTAGATTCATAGAAGTAGATTCATAGTAGGAGACTCAAGATTTGAAGTTTTCGTGACTGCAAGAATCCATACTCTTTGGGTTTTTTCGGTAAAGTCACGTGGGTAACAAAATAAAAAATAAAAAACAACTAAATTAAATATGTAATTTAGTTTTTCATTTTTAAATTTTAAATTAAATATTTAATATAGTTGTTTTTCATTTTTATCTGTTTTTTTTTACCTATGTGACTTTACCGAATAAAACCAAAGACTCACAGAAGCAGACTCACAGAAGAAGACTCACAGATGGTTTCGTGACGGCTAAACGAGAACGGCAAGCGGCATTGAGTCGCGAACGGTGTCTCACCTTTGCGTCACTCACCTCTGAGACACGTGGGGACACACCTGTTGAGTGGCCCCCAAGCGAAGGGGCTGTAGGTTCGACTCCCTTACCAGGTCCTCGTGTCGCCTGCTGGAGGCGAACTTTAGAAGTGATCCTAACTCCCGTGGCTCGACAACTTCTATATATACACACGCACGCACACACACACGCACACACGCGGGCGTGAGGATGCGTGGGTGTGCGGTTGAGTTGAAGTCCAATTTTGATTTCTTTAACGCAACTTGTGTGCACGCGTGTGTGTTCATGTGGGGAGCGGTGGTACAGCGGTTAGCGCGCTGCACCACTACGAACCTGGCCACCCGAGTTCGATTCCCGCTCACGGTCAACGCCAGTGACCGATTACGTGAACCGGTCCTGGGCCTCCCCTGGGTCGACTCAGCCTTAAATGTGTACCTGGTGCGGTGTGTAAATATCTCCATTAGGGAGACAAATGCGGTCGGAAATGGTGCTGGCCACCCACCCCCTCGTGTGCCGTACCGGTCTTCATAGGTGCTCGCTAACAGCACTTGCCCCAACAGTATGGTAAGGCTACACGGGGGATCTTTGTCTTTGCGTGTCTCTGCCGTGGAGTGGCTTCGCTCTCGTTGTGTTTTGTACTGAGAACAATCGAGCAACGCTGTGTCAAAATCGCCCGAATTCAAACTCAAGTGTCCGTGTGTGTGTGTTCACGTGTGTGTGTGTTCATGTGTGTATTTGTGTGTGTTCATGTGTGTGTGTGTTCACGTGTGTGTGTTCATGTGTGTTCTTGTGCGTGTGTTCATGTTTGCGTGTGTGTTCGTGTATGTGTTCGTATGCGCTCGTGTGTGTGTTCGTATGTGTTCGTGTGTGTTCATGTTTGCGCTCGTGTGCGCTCGTGTGTGTGTGTTCATGTTTGCGTGTGTGTTCATGTGTGTGTTCATGTGTCTATCCGTGTGTGTTCATGTGTGTGTTCGTGTGTGTATTCGTGTGCGCTCGTGTGTGTGTATACGTGTGTGTTCATGTGTCTGTGTTTCCATGTTTGCATGTGTGTGTGTTGATGTGTGTGTTCATGGGTGTGTTCACGTTTGTGCATGTGTTCACGTGTGTGTTCTTGTGGATGCTCGCAAACAGCACTCGCCCCAACAGTCTGCTAAAGGCTATACGGGCGATCTTTGTATTTGTTTGTTCACATTGGGAGCGGTGGCGCAGCGGTTAGCGCTACACTGCGCTACGAACCCAGGTTCGATTCCCGCTCACGGCCAACACCACCGGTCACGGATGATCCGAACCGGTCCTGGGCCTTCCCCTCGCTCGACACAGCCTTCAAAAGAGTACCTGGTGCGATGTGCATCATATACAGTCACTGGGGAGACAAAGGCGGCCGGGCGTGGTGCTGGCCACCCACCCACCCCCTCGTGTGCCGTGCCGCCTTTCGTATCTGCCGCTCGCTAACAGCACTTGCCCCAACAGTCTGCGTTGTGGTTTACTTCGCGAAGTTTTGGTTATATTTTATTACACGCTTTTATTTAACTCACTTGGTCTGTTGTTGTATCCACAAATATTGTAACTCAATTTTAACCCACTTCCCAATGTGGTATCGACTGCCAACTTGGTATACTTATGCCATACTGATGACAATACTGTATTCTATCGTAAAAAAGAAAACATTTTTACTACATTTTTTATATGTTATGTTTCGGCTTAGGTCTAATTGTCCACGCTCAACTCACGTTATGGCAAGCTTGGGAGCCACTTCCTGGAGTCGTGGAGTTCTGCCATTGCTAGTACGGTACATTTCATTAAAGCGTCTTTTTTTAGAAAAGTATGTTTTAATATTACTTATTATTTCGTATCTTCACGCGCCTTTCTGCGTGCAGGTAAGCAAAATGTGAGAGAGCCGTTCTGCGCTGTGCGATTCGCGCCCCAAAAGATTTCAAATCTCTACTCGGCAAACATCAAATGCTGGAACCTGTCCCGTAGAAACGTTCAGCCCAGTGGCACGTGGCGCTCTCCCTCGGCTGGTGGGACTGCCCAGATCTTCTAAGGCCATAGAATGGTTTTGACATTTAAGTGTCGCATCAGCAGAGCCAGGCTTTGCTTGAATCTATGTTGGTGAATTGCCCAGATGTTCATAGCTTAGGGCCGTTATCTATGGGAAACCATGTTGCCAGTAATCGGTATATTGAACGATGCCATTAATTAAAGTGGGTGTTAAGAGGTTTTAAAAAAAACACTCGGTGAACATCTCAACACGAGCTCGCTCGAGTTGTCGTTAGCGGGCTTGAGACCTCTTCATTGGAGATGATGGCGAGATGTTGACTACCTCGCCTGGTGTGCAGGAGGTCGTGGGTCCGATCCCGACCCTGACGCCTGCTGCTGCTGTATATTTGGAGTTTGCGTCTCTCATCATCATCACGGTGGCTAGGAGATGTTGACTACCTCGCCTGGTGTGCAGGAGGTCGTGGGTTCGATCCCGACCCTGACGCCTGCTGCTGCTGCTGCTGTATATTTGGAGTTTGCGTGTCTCTCTCTCTCCTCCCCGTGATCGCGCGCATTTTTCTCTGGGCCCCTCCGGATCCTCCCTCCACATTTAGAATCGACGTCACCACGCGTTTAGAGTTATTTGGCGACTGCTGTAAATTCTCACGTGGCGATGACAATAATGATGATAATGATGATGACGATGATGATGACGATGATGATGATGATTACGACGATGATGATGATAATGATGACGATAATGATGACGATGATGATGACGATGATGATGATGACGATGATGATGACGATGATAATGATGATGACGATGATGACGATGACGACGATGATGATGAATCCCACTCCGTTGAGCTGTCATTTGTGGCCAGTGTCGCTTCTGAAACAGCGCTGCATCAAGCTGAGTGGGGCATTACCTGGTCAAAAAACAAAAAAATGTAGTTTTAGTTGAGTTTTCACGCGAGTCTTCGCCAGGCTCGCTGAGGAATTCCTCCTGCCGCCGAGGAATTTTGCAGTCCTAAGGAATCGCGAAAGGAATCCACGCGCGTGCTTTGCTTATTGTATCCTCATGGCAATACCCCGGGGTACGATGCTGGCGAACTGCCCAGATGTGTAGAGGTCAGGGACTGGCTTTGACATTCAGTGTATCATCAGCAGTCAGACTTTGCTTGAATCAATGCTTGTGCACTGCGCAGATGTATAGAGGTTCAGGGGCTGGTTTTGACATTCAGTGCATCATCAGCAGTCAGACTTTGCTTGACTCAATACTGGTGCACTGCCCAGATGTTTAGAGGTCAGGGGCTGGCTTTGACATTCAGTGTATCATCAGCAGTCAGACTTTGCTGGACTCAATGCTGGTGCACTGCCCAGATGTTTAGAGGTCAGGGGCTGGTTTTGACATTCAGTGTATCATCAGCAGTCAGACTTTGCTTGAATTAATGTTGGTGCACTTCCCAGATGTGTAGAGGTCAGGGGCTAGTTTTGACATTCAGTGTATCATCAGCAGTCAGACTTTGCTTGAATCAATGCTTGTGCACTGCGCAGATGTGTAGAGGTTCAGGGGCTGGTTTTGACATTCAGTGCATCATCAGCAGTCAGACTTTGCTTGAATCAATGCTTGTGCACTGCCCAGATGTTTAGAGGTTCAGGGGCTGGCTTTGACATTCAGCCTCTCATCAGCAGTCAGACTTTGCTTGACTCAATACTGGTGCACTGCCCAGATGTTTAGAGATCAGGGGCTGGTTTTGACATTCAGTGCATCATCAGCAGTCAGACTTTGCTTGACTCAATGCGGTTCGATGCGTGAACATCGCCACTGGGGGAGACAAAGGCGGCCGGGCGTGGTGTTGGCTACCCATCTCCTCGTGTGCCGTGCCGGCCTTCATAGGTGCTCGCTAACAGCACTTGCCCCAACACTCTGTTGAAGCTATACGGGCGATCTTTGTCTCTGTGTGTGTGATGGTATGTGTGGGTGTGTGTGATGGTTATGTGTGGGTGTGTGCGGTGGTGTGTGTGTGTGTGTGTATTTTATTGTGTGTCTGTGGCAAGTAAGTGTCTTTGGGGATTCTGTGCGTGGGTTTGTGGTGTTGTAGGTTGTTTGGTCCAGGGAGGTTACAATTAAAATTAAATTATGGGTACTGAAAATTATGTTATATATACACACACACATACAGAGGCAAAGATCACCCGTGTAGCCTTTAACAACTGTTCGGGAAAGTTCTCTTAGCGAGGGACCCACGGAAGGCCGGCCCGACCACCTTTGTCTCCCTCGAGGCGATGTTAGATTAACGCGGATGGCTACATACGCTAACCGTTGCGCCACCGCTCCCCACACACAGACAAAAAAATCAAAAAGTTCGACATACAATTTTTACGCATCGCACCGGGTACTCATTTGAGGCTGGGTCGACCTAGGGGAGGCCCAGGACCGGTTCAAATAATCTTCACCGGGTGTTGGCCGTGAGCGGGAATCGAACCCGGGTCGCCGGGTTCGTAGCGCAGCGTAGCGCTAACCACTGCACCACCGCTCCCCACACACAGACAAAAAAAGACAAAGATCCCCCGTGTAGCCTTAACAGACTGTAGGGGCAAGTGCTGTTAGCGAGCACCTATGAAGGCCGGAACGGTACACGAGAGGTGGGTAACCAGCACCACGCCCGACCGCCTTTGTCTCCCTAGTGGCGATGTTTCCACACCGCACCAGGTACTCATTTGAAGCTGAGTCGACCTAGGCGAGCCCCAGGACCGGTTCAGAAAATCGTCACCGGTGTTGGCCGTGAGCGGGAATCGAACTCGTGTCGCCGGGTTCGTAGCGCAGCGTAGCGCTAACCGCTGCGCCACCGCTCACAGCAGCAGCAGAAGATGAATCCCTGCAGTCACGAAAGCTTTAAATCGAAAAATCTTGTCCCTACTCTGACGCTACCGCGTGCACCTTGTGCACGTTGGACTTCTTTGGCACCGTACGTAGCGCGCGGGAGGCGGGGGGGGGAGAGAAAAACAAAACGCACAAAGCAGTTCGTAAAAATAAAAATTCGGCTCTCAGATGTGAAAGTGCTCAAGCTCCAGGTGACTTCCTGAGAGTCGCGATGGCTCCTTAAAACTTTCGGCGCCAATACCAATTAGATCAATGGATCTGTGTATTATTACGTTGTTCATCTTCTTGGTTCTTTCGGTAAAGTCACGTTGAAGGGAAGTAATAAAAAAAACATAATAAAATAATTCTCACGACGTTTCGGCCACAACGCAAGCAGCCGTCCTCAGGTGGAGAACAGGTCTGTTCTCAGGTGGAAAACAGGTCTGTTCTCCACCTGAGGGCGGCTGCTTGCGTTGTGGTCGAACCGTCGTGAGAATTATTTTATTATGTTTTATTTTTATTATTTTATTATTTCCATTCTACGTGACTTTACCGAAAGAACCAAGAAGATGAATCCCTGCAGTCACGAAAGCTTTAAATCGCAATTTATTACGTTGTTGTTTCAGCCAGCAAAAGCCTCACCGAGTCTCAAGACTCGTTTTCAAGAGGAGGGTCCTGCCAAGTCGTTTTTTTTTAAATTAGCGGTTATGGGGAGCGATCTCAATCGAGTAAATTTGCGGGTGTTCATTGATCCCCCCCCCCCTTCCCCTCCCCCCCAATATTCATGAGAGATGTGTGGTCAGCTTCATAAGTTCATAACGATGTAATTGTGTTGATATATTCGTTTAACAATCAGCGGGCGTCTCTCTCTGTTGCTTCTTTGCACACTCTTGACCATCATCGCGATCATCATCACGATCATCATCACGATCATCATCACGATCGTCATCGTGATCGTCATCGTGATCGTCATCGCGATCATCATCACAATCATCATCGCGATCATCATCACGGTCATCATCGCGATCGTCATCGCAATCATCATCGCGATCATCATCGCAATCATCATCGCGATCATCATCACGATCATCATCACGATCGTCATCGCAATCATCATTGCGATCATCATCGTGATCGTCATCGCAATCATCATTGCGATCGTCATCGCAATCATCATTGCGATCATCATCGCGATCATCGTCGCGATCGTCATCATCCTCCCGGTGGCTTCTCGTGGCCCCTGCGAGCCTCTGGAATTTCCGGGCGAAAGACAAAAACAAAATCCTAAATCCGCCAAAGAGTGAACGGGAGGGGGGTGGGGGTGGTGGGGAGGAGGAGGAGGTGTGGGTGGGGGGGTGGGGGTGTGTGGGGGGGAGACGCACAGAACATTTAAGTGTCCCAAGGGGTGTCTTGGAGTCTCTCTCTCTCTCTCCGCGGGATCGAGGCACGCTCCCGAGCTCCCCGCCGCTCCAGTGTCCAGGACTCGCTCGGGGTCTTCCTCGCGAATTCCTCTGCCTCGATGCACGCACGCACAAAGACAAAGATCCCCCGTGTAGCCTTAACAGACTGTTAGGGCAAGTGCTGTTAGCGAGCACCTAAAAAGGCCGGCACGGCACACGAGAGGGTGGGTGGCCAGCACCACGCCCGGCCGCCTTTGTCTCCCGAGTAGCAATGTTTACACACCGCATCAGGTACTCATTTGAGGCAGAGTCGACCTACGGGAGGCCCAGAACAGGTTCAGATAATCGTCACTGGTGTTGGTCGTGAGCGGGAATTGAACCCGGGTGGCCGGGTTCATAGCACAGCGCGCTAACCGCTACACTCATGCACACACACTCATACACACACACACTCATTCACGGACTCATTCACACACACACACTCAATCACGCACACACACTCATGCACACACGCACTCATTCACGAACACACACTCATACACACAACAACAACAACCGCCATTCGCCACTAAGTGGCGGTGACGTCACCACGACGCTTGTGCCAGGCCATGTGCACCTTGAGGCCACGTGAAGTGTCGAACGCCCGCTGGCAGGAGGTCACGGGGCAGACCCAGCAGGTGCCACGGGTCGACTGACCGAGATGACCGAGATGACTGGCTGATGCACCACCTGTGCCCCCTACTGTACCAACTTGCTGTGCTTTAGCCACCCGGCGCTCCGCTCGTTGTTGTGAGCGTCGCTCCTCCGCCCTCCGTTGTTGTTGGAGGGCGACTGCCTCCAACTGCCCAGTAGCGTCCTTCACGAGCCTCCTCCACTGAGGCCGATCTTGACACCGCTGGTACCAGTCATCGGCAAGTCCACTCAGTTCCACGTCCTCCTGTACCACATCACTCCATTTCTTCTCGAGCCCGTGCCGCGCCCGTTTAGCCCCCTCGATCCGGCCGAACAAAAGCTGTTTAGGCATGCGGTGGCTGGGCACGCGGGCTACATGACCCAGCCAACGCAGCCTTGCCTGCCGGACGAGCTCACCGATGGGACTTTGCCCAGATTTTTCAAGGATTTGGGAGCTCCTATTGTGCAACGCATTGGGGTTCACTCGGTGTTCGTAGTCAATGAAGAGGCGAGTTGGTTAAGCTGTGACGAGCCTCAACGCGGCAAGCGTTCCCCTAACTTCCAAATTTCCCACGGGGCCCCCCGTGGTTTACCGACCACTGATTTGCCGAGGGAGATTTCCCGTACGCAAGGTGCTTCAAAAGCAACGTGAACACTTATATGGGACTATGGTTTTTAATGGAAAAAGAGCGAACGACAATGACACTCCAAGCACACGTACGTTCGTAGCGTCGCCATCGTTGTCAACGCATTCCTGGAATCTTCTCCAAGTGGTCTCCAGAGCCCGGAGGAAGCGCATTTCTCGTGGCGTTGTTGTTGCAAATTCTCGGAAGCGTTCACATTCTTTTGAAGCACTCTGTAATGTACAAACACACGAGCAGATAGAGACCCCTCTCCCTCACATAGCCTGTAACAGACTGCCGGGGCAAGGGCTGTTAGCGAACAGCAGCAGTACTCTATGAAGGCCGGCACGGTGGCCTACACGAGGGGGTGGGTGGCCAACACCACAAAGACAAAGGTCCCCCGTGTAGCCTGTAACAGACTGTCGGGGCAAGTGCTGTCAGCGAGCAGCAGCAGCACCCTATGAAGTCCGGCACGGTGGCACACGAAGGGGGGTGGGTGGGTGGTCAAGCACCACGCCTGGCCACCTTTGGTCTCCCTCGTGGCGATGTTTTTACGCACCCAACCATTTGACGCTGAGTCGACCTAGGGGAGGAGGGGGGGGTGAGGCCCCGGGACCGGTTCAGATAATCGTCGGGAGTGCTGCGAAAACCGCCGCGCCGGCTGGAGAGGATGGAATTTCGCCGGCGATCATAGCAGCAGTCACGAGGCGAGGGACAAGGAGAGTCCGGGGCTCTGCGGGCGTGTTGAGAGTGATGCCAGAGGGATGAGTGGGCAGAGCGACGAGAACGATTGCGGGGTCGGGAAAGGTCACTCACCGCGCTCCATCGAGACCCATAGACTCACACAGAGACGCATAGACTCACACAGAGACCCATAGACTCACACAGAGACCCATAGACTCACACAGAGACTCATAGACTCACACATAGACCCACAGACTCACACAGAGACCCATAGACTCACACAGAGACCCATAGACTCACACAGAGATCCGTAGACTCACACATAGACCCATAGACTCACACAGAGACCCATAGACTCACACAGAGACTCATAGACTCACACATAGACCCACAGACTCACACAGAGACCCATAGACTCACACAGAGACCCATAGTTTGTTGTACCACCTCTCCCCTGACATTCGGCCAACGTGGAAGAGTAGGCCAAACCACCCGCCTCCCTCCCCCCACCCACCACTGAAGGGGCTCTGTAGAGCTCCCTCTAGTGGCCAGGCTCCTATCCGCCAGCAGTGACACGAGCAAGGAATTTGCAGGGCCGCGCCTTTAACACTTCACCGCCTGATGCAGACAGTCGCAATTGGCTCCCGTGCCTCCTACGGCCACGAGTGGCTGGTGGCAATTCCACATTCCTATGGCAGGGGCCCAGTCTGGCTCCGCATGACAAACAATGTTGACTTTCCACAAAAAAATTTCTTCAAGACATGCTGATGTTATTTTTTTATTATCTACTGAAATGTTTATTTTTACACTCGCTTGTTTACGCCAGGAAAGAGGTTTTCCTGCCAAAGTTGTCGCAGCAGTGGACATCGCTTCCCCTATCGTTTAATCCCAATTGAGTGACATCCGGTGGTGAAAATAAAAAACCTACAAAAATATCGGAATAGGTTTTTACCCTTTCAAGTGGTACAAAACTGACACCTTTATACAAGGCATCGTGTTTGCAACAACCACAACACAAGCAGTCAAAATGCAAACTAAAAGAAACAACTCTGATTATGATTCTTTTTTTTGTTTGTTTGCATTTTGACTGCTTGTGTTGTGGTTATTGCAAACATGATGCGTTATTTTATTATGTTTTATTTTTCTTATTTTATTATTTCCCTTCTCCGTGACTTTACCGAAAGAACCAAGAAGATGATCCCTTGTATAAAGGTGTCAGTTTTGTATCAGTTGAAAGGGTAAAAACCTATTCCTATATTTTCCACTGGTAAATGAGGTCTCATAGTACAAAAATATTGTCGGTCAATGTGAACTCTGACCTACGGACACGGGGGGGGGGGCTGGAGGGGGCTGGGGGGGGCCCCCCATTTTTATTGTTTTACGAACGACTCCACGGGCATCGTTTTCGCACTCCGCTCGACAAGGGAGCGGGGGAGCGAGCGAGCGGTAGCCGACGTGCGCCCGTAGGAGCGAGTGTCCGTGCGCGGTTTGACCGCGGTGTTAACCAGGGCGGCCCGGGCCGGCGGCCGGTGTCGAACCGCGAAGGCGCCGTCTCATTGGCTGAGGCCGTGACACGTGGCGGAGGAGATTTGTCGCTGTCCGACTGCTGAGTCACGGCGAGAGAATTGCAGATCGCCCCCGGCTGTTCTCGAGATTTGCTTGGTGGCAGATGCCGTGCCGGTTGGTTAACGTTGCTTATACACGATTATTTATATATATATAAAATAAACGGATATAAGAAATAAAAATATTTCTTGCGAATTTACGCGACTTGAATTGCCAGATATTCCAAGAACACGACGTCTCTGTTGATGTTATTCAGCCTCCTGCGTGAAGACGATGGTGATGATGGTGGTGGAAGGTTAAAGGTGATGATGGTAGTGGTGGGGGGTTGAAGATGATGACCCATAGACTTAGACAGAGACCCACAGATTCACACAGAGATCCATAGACTCGCACAGAGACCCACAGACTCACACAGAGACCCATAGACTCACACAGAGACCCATAGACTCACACAGAGACCCATAGACTCACACAGAGACCCATATACTCACACAGAGACCCATAGACTCGCACAGAGACCCACAGACTCACACAGAGACCCACAGACTCACCAGAGACCCGTAGACTCACACAGAGACTCACAGACTCACACAGAGACCCATAGACTCACACAGAGACCCACAGACTCACACAGAGACCCATAGACTCACACAGAGACCCATAGACTCACACAGAGACCCATATACTCACACAGAGACCCATAGACTCGCACAGAGACCCACAGACTCACACAGGGACTCGTAGACTCACACAGAGACCCATAGACTCATACAGAGACCCATAGACTCACACAGAGACCCATAGACTTACACAGAGACCCACAGACTCACACAGAGACCCATAGACTCACACAGAGACCCACAGACTCACACAGAGACCCATAGACTCACACAGAGACCCATAGACTCACACAGAGACCCATAGACTCGCACAGAGACCCACAGACTCACACAGAGGCCCACAGACTCACACAGAGACCCATAGACTCACACAGAGACCCATAGACTCACACAGAGACCCATAGACTCGCACAGAGACCCACAGACTCACACAGAGACCCATAGACTCACACAGAGACCCATAGACTCACACAGAGACCCACAGACTCACACAGAGACCCACAGACTCACACAGAGACCCACAGACTCACACAGAGACCCACAGACTCACACAGAGACCCACAGACTCACACAGAGACCCATAGACTCACACAGAGACCCATAGACTCACACAGAGACCCACAGACTCACACAGAGACCCACAGACTCACACAGAGACCCACAGACTCACACAGAGACCCACAGACTCACACAGAGACCCACAGACTCACACAGAGACCCACAGACTCACACAGAGACCCATAGACTCGCACAGAGACCCACAGACTCACACAGAGACCCATAGACGCACACAGAGACCCATAGACTCGCACAGAGACCCACAGACTCACACAGAGACCCACAGACTCACACAGAGACCCATAGACTCACACAGAGACCCATAGACTCACACAGAGACCCACAGACTCGCACAGAGACCCACAGACTCACAC